TGAGAAAAAATCGTATTGAAAATTTTTGCCAAACAAAGCTTCCTCTTTCAATCAGTTGGGTCGATATAGCATGCTCAATAAATGATGTTCTTATGTGAAAAACGAATCCCAGTTTTATCATCATCGCTCTGACACAGACAAAAATGCTTACGTATTGCTGAATGTTTTGATGTTGATGTGTTTATGTTACACATGTACAATATTTTTTTATATTTAAAGATATATCATAAAGCTAAGTCATATTTTCTTGATTAAATATACCATTTTTTCATAGAAAAATCTAACTAATGATTTTATGAAGACAGTTATGAATATCATGGAATAAAAAGCTAATTTACTGGTCGGGATTAAATATGGGTTTATTCCTCATGACAATTTGATATTTCACATATTGTGAGGGACAATTTGGTATTTCCCTCTGACCCTCCGGGCTCTCGGTAAATATCATATTGTCCATCATAATAAAACCCATATTGAATCCCTCCCACTACATAACCTATATATATCTTGCGAAAATCTAGATCTGTCACTGGAAGGCAGCCCATCTTGAAAACAAGACACGGTGTCTTTGTAATTAGTCCGACTGATATAGCCTACCTAGAGAAAACCGCCGATACCTCAGCAACAATGTTCGAAACAGTAGGTTGGGATACCCCGAATATATCTCCATTTATCATTTGCATACATCCTGTAGCATAAAATCGTAATGAAATGAATACTTTTAGCTGACATGGAATTGCCTGAGGATTCCTTGTTCTTGACGCTAGATCCCCAATATTAATCAACTCAAGAATGAGTGGCCTCGGCATGCGATATCTGTTTAATATCTCATCGTCAGTCATCTCTAACGGCTGACTCCTGTCTCTGAATAAGCGTAAACCTCTTCTATTGTGAACATCCTGGAATAATATGCGCCACATTTTCCAGCTTGATCGAACCCTAATATTTTTATTTTAGCAGACGATATTTGCGAAATGGAATTGCGATATTTATTATAGATTTCACAAAACCAAGGTAGCATAATCATGCACTTTCAGACTTGATTTTGATAAGTTTTGGTTATTTGTGTCTCTAATGTTTTTCAACCTTAATTTTTAGTTGGATGTCTCAAAGGGCACTTCCTAAATTTCTACAACGATAATGTTAATTTAAATAGGAAAACTATCAAGATTCTTGATGATATGTTTGCGATTTATATTGCGGCAGGGTCAGGGATGCCGCAAATAAAGTGGACTTTGTGACATAAAAATCAACTGATTTACGTGGACGCAACTGTGCGATGACTGCATAATACCAATTTGCGTGCGGTTAGCAGTGTATTTGCGATGCGAAATGAAAATAGCGATGCGTCTACCGTGTAATAAGAAAACTGCGATTTGCGCTAAAGATGCAAAACGGCAATAAATTTGCGCTAGAGTGCCTTTGAGATGACCTCATAATATTGTTTTGCGTACGATTCGCTAAATATTTACGTTGCGATTGCGATTTGCGGTGCGTCGACCGGATAATGAGGCCTCTGGTGTATAATATAAGTAATATATGGAGGACTTCCCATTATCCGTGACGATAACGCTACATCGGCTCATGGCAGGATCCTTGCGCTACTTAAAACACTGATAACATGGCGATGGTTGTGGCAGGCGTAAGTCTTGCAATAGATAGCATGTGATTTTTTACCAAAATGTTACTTTCCAGCTGTACCTCAAGTTGCTTTTTTAACATGCAGACTGCTAGTCTGTACAGTGCTGATATATAATAATATAAGGTGCGTTTTCTAACTAAACAGAGTGTTCCTACCAAAATGAATTTGCCTACATACCCCTGAAACTCTTATCTGATAGATAGAATGCACAAATAAAACAAAAGTTTTGCTATTATAGGTAAAAAGTTCTCTTGAAATTTCGAAGTGATTTTACCTGTTAATTCTGTCCATGGTCCGCCATTTTTGCGGAAGTTAAACTGAAACGCAAACTCCATGAAACGAAACGAAATCACTAGAAAAAAACATGGCACACATTGTGCGCATGTGCAGCAAAGTTTAGACCAATTAGATCATTTGATTATTTTGCGCACGTGAATTATTTGCTTCTGAGCACTTACAAGCTTACCACAATAAACAAACCTGGCAGAGACTACCCTTAGCCTACTTCATTTTGGCGAAATTTCAGCTCAAACTCGTGACAAATGCATTATGCATACGCTGGTATGAAGCCTTGGAGACACTCATTTTGGTAAATATGATTTATGGGGTATACTTTTCTGCAGTTTGTGGGAGTTTGGGACATTAAATGTTAAAATTCAAGAAAATATGCCAATTAAACGACTGATCAATTAATATATACCAGCATTGTAGGTCTACAGTTCAGAGAAAATAAAGATGTCGCTGACTATGTTTTGAATGGAGCTAGTTCATGTAGAATTGACAAATCAAGTGGATAACGTCTCAATCTACATAAAAAGATAACTTACATTAACTGTTGGATAACTGCGTTTCCATTCCTTGAATCTGAGTTTGTTCGAATTCACGAGTTTTTCGAGTAAGGGCAATCTACAACTGATTCGGTTCGGTTCTAGTTCGTGTAAGTGCGCATGCGCAAAATGCAAGGCATTTCCCATAATACCTTCCGGTCAAGTCATTCTGTATCTAATTCGGTCATCAATGCTGTGAACGAAAGTATTAAGAATGTCTATATCAATTTAACATCGTTTGTTCGTGTTCCATCCCCACTTACATAGTTTTCCTTTCACAATGAAATCAATATATACAAAAATAATGGATCATATAAATATAAATTGCTCCAGTGCAATATAACGATTTAACCAATCAAATTTTAGATGCGCAGGAAATATGCGCCTAGAACCGAATCAGTTACAGATTGCTATAGAACTGAACCGAATCAGATGCAGATTGCCCTTACTTATTTCCCATGATACCTTTCTGATAGGCGGCATTCTGTGTCTGGTTCGGTTCATCATGCGTATGAAACCTATGGTATTGACCGGGTATTGGCAAATACCGGACAGTTACTTTATTATTTTAGACACTCTAAACCACTAAAGTACTGATCATGTTTTCAATTTGTGTTGCACATTATCCTGTCAAGGTGTCGTACAATCCTTTGGCGGTTCTTGGAGTGTGGGGGGGGGGGCTTGGGCAGTTGGGTGGGCCCAGAAAAAATTAGTCCAAAAAGCCTCAAAAAGTGGGCCTTTTTGGTCATAACTGGGCCTTTAAAGGCCTTATATTTTAATTTTTGGCCAAATGTTGAAGAAAATGGGCCTCCTATTGCCTATTTCCCCTCTATTGAATGCCCATATGCTCTCCCATATTATTGGGGATGGAGATCCATGTCCATACATGCAGCTAAGGGATGTCTGATCCCCTCTCATTTGGCCAAAACCTTTCAAAAGTTAAATCATGCATTTTATGAGTCACCATTCTGAGCTCACATTCCAGTGGTTGGGCCAAGAAACACAACATGATGATATTAGGCTTATGGGCTTTCAAGTAGAAGGGTTTGCAACTCTGTGTAATAACATGAGACCTTCAAAATGAGCAATCCCATGCTTCCCTTATATGGTAAAAGTATTACATAAATGTATATGTTTAGGTATTATTTTGAATATTTTCAAGAAGACATTTGAATTAGACTTTCTTTATTGCCATAATTATGATGAATTCCATTTGTTATTAAATTATCAACATGTATGTAAGATAATCATGTTTTGATTTTTGAGTTATTTCTTTAAATCATCAAAATAAAATCTTCTTGGAATATGTACATTCTCCAATTTTGAAAACCAAGGCAAATCTTATGTATGAAATATGAGAAGTTGCCTATACCCTTCAAGTTGAAAGCCCATGGCCTATCCAATAACTAACAGACAAAATAAAGTTATGATGACTACAGTGTAAGTTATGTTTATTGTACGCAGTTTCCTTACAGGTATATACAATAGTCTATGCAGACTTGTCAGACATCTTGAACACTTATCGCATAATCCCCCCCCACTTTTGTTTGTAAGTGGGGGTTGTATGATGCGATGACTTGAACACATGCATCACTTTTGGTAATTGTCACAAATATATGTTATAGAAAAATCATGACCATGACAAGCCAAAAATAACTGTGAGATAATACATACATATTTTTATCTTAAACATTTTAACAAATGATCATTTTATTTTTTGAAAAATAAATCTTCCCCAAGTAAAAAAGAAATCTAATATAACACTAACAGATCACCAATAGATCACCAATACACCATGAAAAGTGATTAAGTCAAGTGGTTTATAAGTTATGTATTAAAACTGTATTAAAATCTATAGAGATTTTGTACCTTATGGATGTATAAAATTCTGAGATCTCAGGAGTGATTTGTTCTGAAGTAGTCTATAAGACTAGTCATGGTAGTGGTGTATAAGAGCTCAGGAAGTGATGTATTAGTGGTCTATTAGTAATATTTGAGACTTCAGGAGTGATCTATTAGTAGTGTATTACATGCTCTCTGATTGGTCAATAATTGTTATCTCATTTGCATGGTAATTTTTTCAACTAATAAACCACCTGTTTAGTCAATGGCAGAAAGTGATCTGTTAACGAAAATCACCACTAACAAATCACTAATAGTTCATGTTCTACTAGTTGAGTATTAGTAGTCTATTAGTGGTTTATTAGAGTGGTTTGGCAAGCTGTTTTTTTTTCACTTGGGCCAGATTTGTTGAATTTACTTATCATATACTACACATAACTTCCATTATATAGTAATACTAAAATGTAACATATCTTATCATATCTTATACTCACAAGAGAAAGGAAAACCCCATGTTTAAATTGATGACATACAATTTCACCAATATAAATTTTTGCCAAAATTTAGAATGAATCCCCGGGTATTATCTAGGGTATTTCGTCCAGTGTTTCACTTCTTGTTTAGTTTTTTTCCAAAAATATTAAAAAAATGTCTCTCATAAATTGGCTCAGAATTGGTCAGTCACTTATTAATACTCAGGGAAAACTATTACTAGTATCAATTGAGGTGCAAAATGTAAAGGATGATCTCACACAAATGTACAAATGTGGTGAATATCGCCAGTGGTCTTCAAAAGAAAAAATTAACATAGCCAAACATGCCCATTTACATAGTAATTCGCACGTTTAACATTGCATTTAATTTTTTTTTTTTTTTGCATATCCGCCAATATGCCAAATATGGCAAAATCGCCAAATTATCCCAATCTACAGTAACTACCTTCTCGCTTCTTGGTAATTGTTTGAATTTACATAATTTTACAAAATTAATAGATTCAGCATCATTTAAATCAAAAGATAGATTACACCAATATATGTACTATTTGTTTATGTATACACTATGTATTCTATACTGTGAACTTTATAATCCAGATACTAGATTGTTATGCCTTTATACAGTTATAACCTCTACTATTACTTTTGGAACACCTTCAGTAATAAAGGCCTACTAGCAGTTTCCAAATCTTTCCAAAGAAATGTTTTCAGTGTTTTCAAAGCCTTAATACAGCACATTGCTGTGTACATATCATAATGCTCCTTACTTCAACCTTTAGAGCAAATATTCATTTTTTATTCCATGTAAAGAAAACAGAAATTGATAAAATATTGACATGTCATAAAAATAAAATATTGACAGAGTGAGACCGCATGTTGAAATGGACGATGGTAATACCACGCACCACATGCATTTTGAATTGAAAATGAATCTTATTGATGATATTCCACAAAAAACTTATTTCTAATGGGCCTCTAATGTTTTCAAAGCACTTGATAGTTGATGTAGCACTTGATATACATCCTTTAAATCCCTGTGTAATGCGATGGGTGTCTAAAAAGTTCATATAGCATTTCTGCCTGTAGTTTTGTAAACCCGTCCTTCTGTTGTAGTAGATGTACAACAATCTATAAATAAATAATATTCACATCTGAATGAACACTACTATTACATGTAGTCCGCATTGAGTAATTCATGCATTTAAAAAATGTACCAATTTTAATTATTTTTCAATGGTGTTTCAATAAAACATTGTGCTTTAAATGTTTAATGTAACATATTTTTTTCTTCGAGAATATAGAACGTTTATTTAGTCACCGAATACTGAACACAGGCATAAACAGTGATAAAACTATAAAGGTCAGAATTCCATACTAAAAAGTACACAATTTCGTCTCCATTTTACCATCTTCTTGTTAAAGTTAAGACTATAATTATGTCTTTTAGTGCCAATTAACTAAGATTATGAAGCTGGATTAAAAATACTGTATCTTACTTCTGGATAGATTACATAATGACTAAAGTCAAAAGATGTCCTTGGATATGCATCTGTGACTGGTTTCATGAAGGCATTGATTATCTCTATCTAAATAAATAAAATATAATACATGGTATATTATTTTTCATATCACTAAGTCTTTGCACCTAGTATTTGCATTCCTTTGGGACCCCAACCAACCCAATTTAGTGCTCAGAGGCATCATTCCGAAAGAGCTTTCACTTTAGATCCCATCGGCTGTACAGTATTTATGAATAATCTGTAAAATGTTAATTTGGGCTATAATTATTTTATATAAATAAATCCATACTGTAGATTGGGTTAATTTGGCGCCCGCTTTAATTTGGCGAATTTGGCGAAATTGAAAAATTCGCCAATATAAATCTTCGCCAAAATTTAGAATGAATCCCCGGGAATTATCTAGGGTATTTCGTCCAGTGGATTTAGGTCACTTCCGGTTTAGTTTTTTCCAAAAATATGAAAAAATGTCTCTCATAAATTGCCCCAGAACTGGTCAGTCACTCATTAATACTCAGGGAAAAACTAGAAAGGAAAAGCATGGTATAGTAGCAGCATCGATCGAGGTGCTGAATATCGCCAGTGGTCCTCAAAACTAAAAATGAAAATAGCCAAACATGCCCATTTACATGGTAATTCGCAAACAGCGCGTAAGTCTAACATTGCATTTACACTTTTTTGCATATCCGCCAAATTAAATAGCCGTCAATATGCCAAAAATGGCAAAATCGCCAAATTAAGTAGCGCCAAATTAACCCAATCTACAGTATTACATGTACAGTATTTGAACATACTAGAACGAAATTTTATTGACATATACTTCAGTCAATGTACCATACAATTACGATACTGTCTATAAGGTTAAAGTATAAGATTCAAAATAACTTGGAAACCAAAACTAGTTTATATGTTCCAATCAATATGCACCAATATTGTTTATTGTTGATTATTGTATCTTTATTTCCCGTATCAGAGATACGGAGCAAAAAACAGTTTTTTCCGAGCCGAATAATTTTTTTCATTTATTACATAATTCAACATGATTTTCCGAATAATTTTTTTCATTTATTACATAATTCAACATGATTTTCATACCTCATATTTCCCTGGGAAAACTTGTATTTTTGGAAAAAATGACTATTAATAAGAAGTTGATGTATATTTCAGTATGTTTAAAGCATGGCATGTGTGTGTAGTGTTTATCTTTGTGAGCAAGAACAAGAGTTGAGATGTTAATATGGTATACATACTGATCTGTCTGATAAGAACATTATTCCTGCAATGCTCCCAAGCTGGAATCGTGTGGCATTTCGTAGATTCACATTCCTGACTGGTTTTCGGCCATGCTCTTCAGCAATTCTCTCCATCATTGCATACCTCCAGGAAGCTCTATTCCCAAGCAAAAGTTCTTTGGTAATTGTCTGCAAAACATAATGATTAACCATGCTTATATCTTGTACAGTAGTTCAATTAGTTGTGATAGATATTAATTGCAATACATAATATCAAAGAATTATTCTGACATATTATTCTGACAGCAATTAATCTTTATGTCATATTTAGTTCATTTTTATCAATGAGATTTCGGTTTCTATTGATATATGTATTTCATTCTTCCTTAAATGGGGGACACATCTGATGATATGGTTTTTGGTGTTATTGCATTATAAGATATATTATTGAAGACTCCATATAGAACAGTTGAATCAATCACAATACTGACCTCATCTTTATTTATATCAAAGGTTAAGAAGGTGGGAAGCTAGGTAGGTATATACGTATATAGGTAGGTAGGTTGGTTGATTGGTTATCATATACATTCACTGTACCTCTATATCCTTCTTTTTACTGGACACAAATGCTCTCATCAAATTGGTACTCAAATGTGGCATGGTCAATCTGAATTAGAAGAATGAGAAAGTATTTTATTTCCTGGGCTGTAGTAGCATCTTGCTACCAAGTGCCATTACAAATGCATCTATAATTCCTCATAGACTAAGATTTAATAAACTAAGATCTTTAAAATTGAACCCTTCAAACACTGTATCATGTCCAACGTATGTGGGTAGGTGGGTATGAGGTTGGAGGTTTTTTATACAAAGCCGTGAAAAACTGCACAATTTTGAAAGAATTTTTGGCCAGGTAACCCCTCTTTTGAAAAATGAACGCCAAACCCCCTCCCACTGGATATGGGCCTGGAGCAAAATACTGTATATTGAAATAATATTATAAATATATAGACAGTGTATGCCCTAAGGAAGTGTACATGTATGCCCTAAGAATCTGAGAACTGCTGGTCAAAATGGCACTACGGATCAGTTGCAATGTTATTTTCCTAAACCTTGTGAAAAAATCAACTGATCATTATTAAAAGTAACCTGGTAATGACCAGCGCTTAGGGCATACCCTGTATATAGATGATTAATCCATTATCATTCAATAGACATACAACCTTGTTTCCTTAGAGATGACCATGTGGCATCCACAGCAGAAAATGTCCTCCACATTGTCTCTAGCCCCAGCACATGCCACATGGTACCAACGTTTACATATATCACAGCTGATCCATGACACAGTCTCCCTATTTTTGTCCTCCCCACTGCACAGATCCCTCTGAAGGAAGTATTGCGCAGCGTACACTTATGATTTTCTTATTTTTATTATTTTAGCAAAAACATGAATTTTTATTAAATCTTCAACCGACCTTATTATTATGTAATTTTGGGAAATATATTCCCATAAAAATAATAGACATTCTTAGGCGACGGGGAAAAAATGACCAAGGGAAATGTGAAAAAACAACATTTTTCAACCGATAATTGTTGGTGGGTATATTAACTACGAAAAAACTCGAGCACTGCCCGAAAAACTTTTCACAGAGTTAGAAAGGTAAATGTCTTCCAAATCGAATACACACGAAATTAAACATACAATCCCTTAAGTATTCCTCGGATAAGATTAATTTTTAAAACCTACACCACACCCACATCATCATTTTTGCTTCATATCAGTTAGAATAGTGACACCATACATCTAAAGTGTACGACGGAATATTTTGTCACTGTACATTAATTTGTGGATGGTTAAGCGGGGCCCTTAAATGTGTAAAAATGATTTTAAAATAAGGTGAAATGGGATTACAAAATGTTTATGTTTATAAGCATTACCGGATTTTCTCGCATATACGCCCCCCTAAATTTAGGCCCATGGGCCAAAAATCGAATGTAGTACGCTTATACGCCCATGGGCCTATAAAAAATGACTATTTATTGATTTTTTCAATAAATTCAAGAATATTTTCTCACTGGCAGATAGTTCTGTCATTACTTTGTCTTTGTTTCAACATTAAGTTCAAGTGGCAGTGGTGGATCGTTCTGTTGTTACTTTGTTTCAACATTAAATCCAAGGTTGTAGGTGACATTTCCTTTATAATTCTTACAAAACATGCGGTAGGACTACAACAGTAGGCACGGTAGTCTTTGTATTCATCAGCTCTTCTCACCTTTACGCCCTAGGAGGTTCACTTATAAACATTGACGGGGATCCTTGGCGCACATGGGTACCTTTTTGGACATTTGGTATGGCAATTAACATTCTACCCTAAACTATGTGTTATTAAATTTAGCACACAGATAAACTAGAGGCAATTTCCAACATAGAAAATTTTTGTTTTCATTTTACTTCAATATCAATAACAATAGAAACACACGCAACTGAACCAATGGTGTCATTACGTAATGCTTTAACCAATTTGACGTCATAAAATCAAAATTTAGAATAGATTTAGACAATTTTATTTACTTATCACTTATTTGAACAATAACACTCTGTTTAAAGTAGATCTTTATGGTATTTTTGAATAGTCTATCGGTAGACTGTCTATATTAAAGACAGGTTCATCGACAAAGCTTTATTTTGGAAATATACTTGCGCTTGATATCTAGTTGTCCAGGTGTTGTCATGGTTGAATCATAAATGCACTACAGTTTTAACATCATATTCATTGAAACAATATAGCAACTTTGGTAGAATGTTCAACAATCACGGGTTAAAGTTATGATCAAAAACTTGTGTGGGGTACTATAATGCTGACCCTACTGTGCACTCACACTATGTGCAGTATTTGTAAAATATCAAAAAATACAAAAATTGCAACCGAAAGGATATAAATTCACAAGAGTTTGTAAAGTTTACTATCTTGTATCATCTCATCAACCTCTTCTGAAATCAATCTACTGAAATATTTGTCACTCAGAAAAGATTAAAAAACGTTGAAAATATTTGAGATAGCAGCATTCTTTCACAGTACACTACATTGGAAATCATTGATAGATCCAAGACTAGATGGATTCGATAAATAATATTAATGATAAAGTTTGCTACATTTAGAATGTAAAGGGTAATAATGTATTCTCTTAAAAGCAGTTTGGTTTCTTCTATTACTGTAAACTCTTTATATTAGCGTATAGTAATCTTTCAGAAATAAATCAACGAAATCTCATCCTTTTAAATAATCTAACAATAATTTTTTAACAGTACGCATTCTATTTATTTATATTTTGTCAAAAAACTAAGTCAAATAAGATAAATAACATTATTATCTCAAAAACAAAAATGATGGGAAATGAAGTATATTTCTCTGTGTACAGTAACATTTTAGCAAAACCCTAATTCTGCTTTGAGAAGCAACTTCTACAGTTTGCTGGAATATGAAACCACATTAATGTTTGCGTTGACAGCTTAATGGGCCTAGATAGGGATTTAACATACAGTATAGCTATACTGGTAGCGGTATACCATTTCTTGATTTGATGGGAACACATTCAAATTTGACATTTTGGTATGGGAATATATTGATATCTGAGGTTTCAGCCTAGGACCCCTGCCAAAATTTTGTACACAGTGAACCCCCCACCCCCAGGCTTTACGCCCACTTGTCCAAAATTCGAAAGTAGTACACTTATACGCCCATGGGCGAAAAATAAGAGGTAAAATAACAAACAAAATTACCCCTTCTTTCAGTTATACGCCCAGGGCTTATATGCGAGAAAATCCGGTACAGGCCATGAAGAAAGTATGGTGCATACCAGGAGTAGTTTAAAGTTTATTGAGCTACTGATTCTACTACAAAATAATCTTGCCGGGATCTATGATTTGACGTTTCAATAAAGAAATCTTAAAAAACAGCATGGGCTTTCAATTTGAAAGCCCATGAAAACAGTGAATGAGGTCCGACAATACAATAGACTCTATAGATTCATTAGCTTCTAATCAGTGTATTTATAAATTTGGATGTTGATAAACATCTAGGCTTACTTACTGGTCTTGCGTTTGATCCTCGTCTGCTCCCTCCATTTCCACGTCCATCTTCCCATGCTGCCCAAAACTTCAAATTCCCGGCAAAACAAACTTGAGAAATGTTGTGGCGACATCTATTTCAAATTAAGGAAATGACGTTGTTTCTTCTTAAATACGATTACAAATGTATGCTGGGTAAAATTCTCTCGTGTTTTTTCCAATGACAATGACATCTATAAACAAATAAAGAAGATAATTTTAATATACATTGCGCATGTACAAAACTAAAATGAACCAATCAAATTTAAAATGCGCATAACATATGCGCAAAGAACCGAATCAGAAAACCGAATCAGTTGTAGATTGCCCTTAGTGAGTTTTTCTGATTGAAACTTTTGAAGAGCTCCTATTTAGGTCATGACAAGCCCTTTTTGAAGACGCGCCACATATTTGCAGCATAGACACCAATGTTGTGATTGATATTCTACACACCTTATTCTTATCTAATCTAAGCTGATACAAGGTCAGGAGCACAGTGTCAGTCTAGCATATGAACATGTCAGAGTCTGTAAGTATATTTTAGTTATGATTACAACAGAGGAACCACAGAGAACTATTTAGATGTAAAATTGTTTATTTTTTGGTGAGCTAGAGTCCATTTCACTGTTAAAGTGCGTCAGTAAAAGCTATAAAATAAGAAATCAAAATATCATTTTGCAATAATATATGGAAAAATATATTCCTATTGAACATGAATGACATTTGTATATCTTGGATTGCTTCTAGTTTGGCTTAGAAAGTGTGTGGCCTCTTATATTTGGATGCTTCTCTGCCATGTTATTTTCAATAAGATTAACATGCCTGAAATTCTTCAAATTACAAGACGGCACAGGCTTATTGCACAAAAAACTAAAAAATCTGATATATACAAATGTCATTCATGTATATTATGAATATACTTTTCCATATATTATTGCACAATGGTCTCCCAATTTCTTATTTTTGCCGTTCTACTGACGCACTGAAGCAGTGAAATGGACTTTAAAAATCATTTTTTCATGACATGTGGCATGTGTAGTACAGTATAACAAGGTGTAATCAAACATGACACTGAAGCAGATAATGCAAGACAAAATGATCATATGAACTATTTAAACTCTTTCCCCTCAATTCTTGGTAACTTCTGACATAGTTTACAGATTCAAAAATGTACATGTATCGATTGCATCACTTTAGCTTCCAAACCCTGTCTGCGATGTGAAAAACTAAGAGTTATTACAACGATATACCTATGGATGTGCCAAAAAGCAGCACTAAACAAAAAGCTATAAATTATAATGATATCATGATTATGTGCCATGGTTGCGCCAGACCCATGCAGAGGGTCGTAACATTGCCATTCTTGTACAAAATGACATTTATTGATCACTAATACAAAACAGCAGTTTAAAATTTTCTAAACACACATCATGGGGTTTAAAGAAAGCCCTTTGAAAGCCCATGCATACATCAAACAATTCAAAATGGAATTTACTTATTAAGTGTTCCAAAATCTTATGACGTGTCATCTCATCAAGGCAAAAATTATTTAGGTAGTACTGTTCTTTGATCAACCATTTTGTACCAAGTCTCTGCTTTGATAATTTGAAGAACAATACTGCAGTCCTTGTATAATAAATGTTTCCTCTTTGTAGGGTAAATTGAAGATAGCTATAATCGGGCAGAGTGTGTTCGGCGCAGAGGTTTATCAGCTACTGAAGAAGAATGGCCATACAATTGTTGGAGTCTTTACAGTTCCAGACAAAAACAATCGCGCTGACCCATTAGGTGAGTAGGAATCATGATGGCTAAATCTAAATATCCATACTCCATAGTGTTGTGGAAAATCTAAATTTCATCAATATTGTACAAAATCAAAATATCAGAGTACTTCATTCTTTCATGAATGTTATGTTGATACTATCACATTTCTCTATTGTTCTAATGTGTTCTATGAATCTATTAACGTTTTCAAATACCTTATCTCTCATTCCAAGACCCCAAACTTTTTGGCATGAAATATCGACCATATCTAACTAGAATGACATATGCATAGAAACCTTCTCTGAGAAAATACATGAATTTTTTATTTGCATAAACATTACAATATACATTTACATTGCTTATTTCAGCTACTGCTGCCGAAGCTGATGGTGTAAAAGTATTCAAATATCCAAGATGGAGGATCAAGGGCCAGGCCATTCCAGAAATCTTAGAAGAATACAAATCTGTGGGGGCTGAATTGAATGTCTTGCCATTCTGTACTCAGTTTATTCCAATGGAAGTTATTGAATTCCCAAAACATAAAACAATCATCTACCACCCCTCCATACTACCTAGGCATCGAGGGGCTTCAGCTATAAACTGGTGAGACAAAGTTCCTAGTAAAGTATGATAATCAGGTCTGTAGCTTAAACTCCCTAATTTTGACCCAAAATCACTTCAAAAGTGTTCAAAAGTTGTTAAAAACTGCAGTATTTTGAAAGAATTTTTGGCCAGTTATGGACCTGATCATATACATGTACATGTATTGTATAACATGTAGTGTAAATATTTATACACATCATAACTACCAGATAAGGTGACGTAACACAGGGCCGGATCCAGGATTTTGTGTTATGGGGAGGCGTGTGATAATAACTGTGAGCAAAAAAAAATTTTGTAAAAAAAGATGAGCCAAAACACAAATTTTCCAACTTTTTGTGGGGGGCGTGCCCCGTCTAGATCCGCTGGTGTAACATGATGTTAGCTTCAAATCGAAGAGGGTAACATGATAAAATAAAAAAATTCAAATATAAAGTGTTAAAATTAGATACCTGTCGAAAGCAAATATGAAGTCACAAACTAACAAACAATCAAACTAACAAACAAACAAACAAAACAGCAATATAGTGAATCATAAGTGAATCTAGACTCATCTGGTTGAAACTGGAAACTGGTTGACCTGAGGTGATTATATACAGTGTACCTTCTATCAACATTAATGACTTAACAATTTATCTTATCATTTTTCAATATTGATTTACTACATGCACTTTTAATAACGCATAACAACATTCAGCTCCCTGGAGGTCTTGTATTGCAGTAACTATTAAAGGTCAATAAATAGTTACGGTATAGTACTATTTGACTGACCTCTCTATTTACCAATGGTGTTTTGAGGATCCTGGTCCTGGTTTCAGATTCTCTAAGATTTAATAATATCAAAAAGATCAATCAGAATTTATCCATTTAATCTGTTTCTGTTGAAGTTCTGTTTGAATTTTCTCTAAGGCTATTTTAGTATAAAGTGTTCCACTTAGAGAGGTGTTCCACTTACAGAGGTGTTCCACTTGATAACATATTAGACTGTTAATGATGAAACAGTCTATTTGGAAGTTAATATTTTAAAGATGTTGCTGAAAATAATTTTCAACTGTCTAGTTAATGCAAGTACCAAGTATAAATGAAAGCAATGAAAAAATATGCAAATCATGCAACTAACCTCCATCTCATTACCAAATGGCTCTTTAAAGGTGCAATAATTAGTGCAGAGGGGTCATTCAACGATCATGGACCAGTGTCAAAATATATTTAAGTTTGGATATTTCATCAAGACTAACATCAATTTTTATTATCTACAAAGAAACCCCCTAGATAAACATTATTTTAGCTGATATTCCTCTTGAGACATGGTGGATCTTAAAAATATAAAAGTGGAAGTCCCCTTTTTCAAGCTTTGAACTGAATTTACACTTCTTAATGCTGAAATTGATAATTTATCCATACATTTTAAGAAAATAGGTATGTCAAAGAAGATGTTAAACCAAATGTTGCCTTGATAGCTCAGAAAAAATGAAAAAACTTTCCTATTTTCTCTACAGTCCTTATTGCCCCTTTAAAAGACAAGTTGACATGAGAGAGAAACACCCCAGAATTCCCAGGTTCATCTTTACATAGAGAATAGGTAGGTTCATTCATGAATTTCTGGAGTATTTCCTCCTCTTAGTTGAAGAATGATGTGTTTCAGGACCTTGATGCAAGGAGACAAAGAAGGAGGCTTCACAATATTCTGGGCAGACGATGGGCTTGATACAGGACCCATTCTCCTTATAAGGAAAACTGATGTTGATCCAAATGATACTCTTAACTCTCTCTATAGAAACTTTCTCTTCCCAGAAGGTGTTAAAGCAATGGTGAGATATTTTTGAGAGGGTGGGGCTGAAGTACCTCCTCATTCTTGTTATTTGGCCAAGACTTGTTTCAAATTTGGCTTAATACAACCTCTATATTGATTCTAAATTCAAATATCTACTTGTTTGATACATTTACATTTGCGCATTTGAAGTGACAAAATCTGTCCAAATACCTGACATAATTTATGACTAAAATCAGATGCACATTTGAAATTGGTTATGAAAAATATTAATGAAAGTATTTATGAGACATTTATGTACTTGAATGATATTTGTTTTAGGATAAACCCATCAATGCCACAACATTATGTCATACACATAAACATTACTAAGTAAACATTATTCTCACTTAAAGCACGGTGTATGTAATTTTGAAAGTATTATCACACATTTTGTGCATATGACGTTAGTCATAAACTACTATGAAATAACGTGGACATTGGAACCCTGTATCAATACCCTGTGAGGACTTACATGAAAATTCTCCTCCTTATAATATGTTAATTTATTGAATGAGAGATATAAATCTCATGTTACCAACAACAAAGTCATGAGTTAAAGATTTTGGAATGCATATTGACTTCCATTTTTGTTTATATCATTTGAGGCTATATAGTCAAGTCAGTAAATATGTGGGCCTCAATGTTGAAATGATTTGGCAGTTGTTAATTATGAATGATCCACAACATTAAAATGTTTTATTAAGTCAGTCGACTGTCAATCATTAGCAGTTCCTAATTTGGGTGTAATTATTCAATATTGTACTTTAGGGCGAGGCTGTTGAAATGATTGTCGCTGGCACAGCACCACGGATAGTTCAACCTGAGGAAGGTGCAACATATGACCCAATGATCAAGAAAGATAAAGTCCAAATCAACTGGGACTCAAGTGCTCAAGACATCCATAACTTTATTAGAGGCAATGACAAACAACCAGGTGCTTGGACCAATATTGATGGCAAGGTATTGTTCAATTAGATCACAAGCAATTTGTAAACAACCATTGAATCATCATATTTAATAAGACCCCCAAAGTTTAATTCTCTGTTATTTTTTAACAGGTACTTGTGACCAAACTGAAAGAAAATGGCTTAAATTTTCAAAAATTAACAAAACTTTATATCCAGTTTTACTTTTTGTTTACCAGTTATAATGAATAATCATGGACCATCATCTCCTTATGGCTAATAACCAGATGGATTTTATCTTAGTAGACATTACATTATAAATGTAGTTTGTATTTCCTTTAATGATGATTGATAAACATAATGGGAAGCATCAAGTATTGGGCTAATGTTATGTAACGTTGACATGATATTAATGTTATATAGAAAAATATACATCAGTTTTAGAGTAGAATATTGGTACATGTATAATATAATCGATTGCTGCAATAGTCTTTCTCAACTTGTATGAAACTCAACATTTTCTAATCCTTAATAATTATGATAACACGGTACTGCGTTATCTAGAATATTATAGTTGTTAAATATGATGAAAAGTTATGATTATATTATGTTTTTTTTGTATCCAGCAAACAACACTGTATGGTTCTAAGCTGTGGACAGCTGAGAGACCAGAGGGAACTGAAGTGCAGATAGATGGCAGCACTAATGCTGCACTCGTACACAGTGGAGGCATGCTGTTCTATGGCAATGATGGCAATGCTGTAAGTTCACATGATTCTATGTAGACATAATTTCATATGATTCTTAAGGAATTTTGATCTCACAATTATGCACCCATTGACTCAACACAACTACGTACCCATTGCATTAACATAATCCATTTTCCAAAACAACTTGCAATATCCATTGCTTCAATGCAGCTGTGTACGCCTCGCCTCAACACATTTATGCATCAGCTTTTGAATGATATATGAGCCAATAATATTTTAATAATAAAACAATTCTTTACAAAAGTCGCTCGCTAAATCTGACTGCCTTTAAAGTTGACATTTGATTTCATTATGATCTTGCAATTCCACTTAATAGCTATAACACACAGTCAGGTTTAGATATTTTTACATATGTTGTCAACTTGTAGGTAAATATAGACCAACTTAAGTTAGATAATGGCAAAACTATACCTGCCTCCAAATTTGGTCAAACTGATGAGGCTCAAGAAGCTCTAGTCTATACAAATGTTGAAAAGGAATACATTGCAAAGCTGAATGATGCATGGGCAGGTATTCTCAGCAAGCAGGTGACGGATGATACTGACTTTTTCAAGGCTGGGGCTGGGTCAATGGACATTGTTCGGTAAGGAATACATGCAATTCTGGCTCCAAAGATGGACAATGCTTGTATTACTACAGTTTTAGCAACACAACGCCAACATTTAACTTGATTATTATTATCTTTATGACTCAAGCTCTGTTTATTTTATTTGCTGCTATATGATCAGTAAATTCAGGATTGGGCCAATATTCACACCCAAGTCTCTGACATTTGTATCACTCTGTATATTGGCTGCATATTTCTCCATCTATCTAGTCTCAACCTACATTCTGTAACATAGTACTTTATATAGTGTACTGTACTTACGTTTATTGTTTCTTTTAGCCTGCTAGAAGAAGCTAAAACTAGGTGTGATATTACCATGACTACAGAAGATGTTTTCATGAATACTACATTTGGAGAATTCAGCCGTGCAGCTATACTATGCAGTAGAGGCCTTGGAGGCAAGAAGGAATTCACATATGATGCGGTATGACAAGCAATATCTACATATAAAACATCAGCATGAACCAGAATACTTAAGTGTTGTCCCAATATGTTCCTTCCTGAAAATATGTAAACTAAAAGTCATCATTTCCTTTTAAAAACTGATGTACACCAAAATTTTGTCCATAAGTGTTTTTGAATTCCTTTTCCAGATCAAAATGAATGTTAACAACATGGACATTACATTCCCGCACCAGCTGTTCATAAACAATGAGTTTGTACCCAGTATTAGTGGAGACACATTTGAAACAATCAACCCAGCTGACGAATCTGTAAGTACATAAGACTCACCTTGTTCAACTTTAAATCTGTCCCTATTATCCTTCTTAGTTCCATGTTAATGTCTGTCAGATATAATTTGAAAGAGAAGTTAAATTACCAGATGGAATATTCTCATGTTACTTTTACTATTAATAACTGACTCTGCTCTTTGAAAGACCAAATGATATATTGATGGTGTTACTATAGTAACTATTGTGTTTCTAGGTGATATATAGGCAAGGAAATGCTGGTTATGTTGGTGAAATAAATATTGTGTAACTATGTGATATGTTAATGTTGTTTTAATAATTGGTGTGTTTCTAGATGATATGTTAATGGAAATGCTTATGATGTTTCTATGGTAATTGCTTTGTTTTCAGGTGATATGTAAAGTGAGCAAGGGGAGTGCTGATGATGTTGCTATAGTAATTGCTTTGTTTTCAGGTGATATGTAAAGTGAGCAAGGGAAATGCTGATGATGTTGCCAAGGCAGTGAAAGCTGCTATTGCTGGTGAAGAGGTTTGGAGCAAGATGAACGCAAGAGACAGGGGTGCCATTATGTACAAGTATGTCACATGCTGGATTTTTTCTTTTCCTGCTCATTAGTATGATATTTTGCTTCTCATCTTTGTCTTCTTTTTCTTTTCAACTAAGAAAGAAACTGGTACCTACACTTTGCCATCCTCCTAGGCAGGTGTCCAGAATCCATACCTCCTTCTTCCCCCCTGCGATAAGCAGTTAGCATTTCCCTGATTAAGAACTCACAATCTCATTGGCTGTCGCAACACTTCGACAGAAATCATGTATAAGTCATTGCGCATAATTATATCACGTGATTCAGTTAAATCAGGCGCTTCCAAATTGGTTATAGCAGGGGGTAAGAAGAAAGAATATATTCTGGATTTTGAAGCCCTGTGATCGGAGGATGACACTTTGCAGGTTGATGTTATTTATAGAATTTATTAGCTTCGGCACTAATTCTTACTTTGATATTCATAGGACATGTGATCATGTCAAAATAAAAGGAGTATTTTTGTAATCAATGGAAAAATGAAAATGGGGCAAAATTATTTTTCACTTAAAAATCTAATTTATGTAAGTAAAGAATATGTATTTTCACATTTCTAGATTGGCAGACCTAATGGATGCTCATCGTGAAGAGTTGGCTACGCTGGAGTCTATTGACAGTGGCGCAGTGTACACATTAGCCCTAAAGACACATATAGGCATGTCCATAGACACATTTAGGTACTTTGCTGGATGGTGTGACAAAATCCAGGTAAAGAAATAAAGTACCGTTTTCATAATAGAAAGTATATAAGTGGCAGTCATATAAATTTGCGAGGTTTGCAATTTAATAGAAAACGAAACACATAACAGTGCTCTCCCCAGGATTTATTTGTGTGGAGGATTTTGTTATTTTTTTAGCGCAACATTCTAGTATTTTTAACTTTTTGTGCAACATTTTATGATTTGGGAATTTTTTTGTGCAACATTTTACAATTTTTGAACTTTTTGTGCAACATTTTATAATTTCCTTATTTTTTATTGCAACATTAGTGAGGCGCATCTTATTGCATTGAGGAGCATTTTGGTTTTAGAAAATACATGGAGGTGCTGCGCCTCAGTGATTTCAATGTGGGGAGAGCACTGCATAATGCTTTCATGTAAAAAATACAGTATATATAGAAAGCAAATGCTCGATAAACTTGAATCACACGACAATCCTATTAAACACCTTTTCAACATGGAGGATGATTCCCTTTTTTCCAATATTGTATGTCTTGTGAAAATAAAGAAATTGAAATTGTAGCAGAATTTATTCATAAATGTAATATAACGAAGAAGGGTGTGATATATGACATAAACAATGGACGCGTATCACAATCACCATTCATGTGCTCATCCATGATACATATTTATTTGTTCATTTATTTATTTATTATGAAGTATTTAAAATTGTGTGTGTTGTTATATATGCTGTTTTCTGTTGGATTTTTTTTTTATTTTATTTTTTTTAATTTTTTTTATTTGCAAATTACACTGTTTTCTGTTGTATTGATATTGTAAAATTAGTGTTTACTTTGTGTACACTTAACCCTTTATGGGTATGCATGTGTAATAAAGTTCATAAATCTAATCTAAATCTATAAATACATGCAAGCAAATAATGTAAAATGCTAATATAGATGGCATTATCTTTGTTATTTTAGGGCTCAACTATTCCAATTAACAATGCAAGGCCCAACAGGAATCTGTCGTACACCAAGAAAGAACCTATTGGGTAATTATTAGAGTAGGCATGTAAATATTATATGCTGTCATATTCAACACACAGTATAATGATTATGGATTAACAGGGAATCGTTATAAAGTACATGTACTTGTAAATGTACATGTATTGCAAATAATGATTATTTATCTAACTTTTCATTATGACTATCTACATTTTAGCTTTCACAACAACAGTGTTAACTGTTTTAACTTTGGTTATGAAGTATTTAGATGACGCATATTTTGGTCATTTACAGCTATATTATGGGGGATGACAATATGAGAACAGTAAAAATGAAATAGAACTTCATCATGTACATGTATTAAATATTCAAGTCGCAATCAAGCAATGTAAGAATTTTATTGACTGTTATATCCTTTGTATTTATTTGTTATAACAGGGTATGTGGTATAATCACCCCATGGAACTACCCTCTCATGATGTTACATCCTTTATATTTCTTTGTTATAACAGTGTATGTGGTATAATCACCCCTTGGAACTACCCTCTCATGATGTTACATCCTTTATATTTCTTTGTTATAACAGTGTATGTGGTATAATCACCCCATGGAACTACCCTCTCATGATGTTAGCATGGAAGATGGCTGCCTGTCTTGCTGCAGGGAATACAGTTGTTCTGAAACCAGCACAGGTTAGTATTTTCACCTACTGTATTGACTTCTAATGTGGTTTCTCATCATTTATGCTTTCATCTTCATCTTGCTTTCTCATCTTCATTTACTCCTTTCTCATCTTCATTTACTCCTTTCTCATCTTCATCTTGCTTTCTCATCTTCATTTACTCCTTTCTCATCTTCATCTTGCTTTCTCATCTTCATTTACTCCTTTCTCATCTTCATCTTGCTTTCTCATCTTCATTTACTCCTTTCTCATCTTCATTTACTCCTTTCTCATCTTCATCTTGCTTTCTCATCTTCATTTACTCCCTTCTCATCTTCATCTTGCTTTCTCATCTTCATTTACTCCTTTCTCATCTTCATCTTGCTTTCTCATCTTCATTTACTCCTTTCTCATCTTCATTTATTGCTTTCTCATCTTCATTTACTCCTTTCTCATCTTCATTCATTGCTTTCTCATCTTCATTCATTGCTTTCTCATCTTCATTTCCTGCATTCTCATCTTCATTTCCTGCATTCTCATCTTCATTTCCTGCATTCTCATCTCATTCTTAACTCCTTTTATATTTGCAGGTGACACCTCTGACATCTCTCAAGTTTGCAGAGCTAGCAGCAAGAGCTGGTTTCCCTCCAGGGGTCATCAATATCATACCTGGGTCAGGTAAGTAAAATCACTGTCACACCTGGATCAATAAAGTCATGTCAATATCAATCTGGCATGTTTTAACATTTAAAGGTGCAACAGCTAGAACAGGGGGGCCATTCAACGATCATCGACCAGTGTCAAAATATATTTAAATTTGGATATTTCATCAAGACTAACATGTATTTTTATTATCTGCAAAGAAACCCCAGCTGATATTCCTCTTGAAACGCGATGGATCTTAAAAATCTATAAGTGGGACTCCCTTTATAGAAGCTTTGAACTGATTACACTTCTTAATGCTGAAATTGATAGTTATCCATATATTTTAAGAAAATAGGTATGTAAAAGAAGATGTTAAGCCAAATATTGACCTGATAGCTCAGAAAAAATATAAATTTTTGAATTTTCTCCAGTCCTTGTTGCCCCTTTAACTAAGAATATAGTGTTACAGTGTTAGAAGTATTTGAGTCTGACTCTAGATATGTTTTATGTTTTCTTTTGAAAATATAATCAAGGCAGTGCTTAATTTACTCATTTGATGTGTTCTTCAGGTCGTGTTGTTGGAACTGCCATAGTGAACCACCCAGCAGTGAGGAAGGTGGGATTTACAGGCTCAACTGAAGTTGGCAAACAGATCATGGAAGGGTGGGTATAAACAATTGAAATCAATATCCCCATCTGCAATATATGTAAACATTAAATGATTTTCAATAATATAAACATGATAAAATTTCAAGTTGACTCCCTCCCTTTCCATCTGAACAAAAGAGATGATGAATTATTTGCAAGTAATAATTTATCAAATATATCAACCCGTTCTTGAATAAGAGAGATTAACCTTTAGTGATGGCTGTGTTTTTTATTGTTGCTTACAGTGCTGCTAAAAGTAATGCTAAGAAGGTGTCTCTGGAACTAGGGGGCAAGTCACCGCTCATCATCTTCAGTGACTGTGACTTGGATAAGGCAGTCAGGATGGTAAGTAAGAAACTACATGTAGTTGATTGGAGAAAATACTAATTAGTGTCAAAGGTGTGAAAACAAAGCAGTTTCAATCATAATTATTTCAATATAACTGAAATTTTTATTCATAGTTTTTATTTGACCGTTGTGCTTCCTATAATTGTTAAATATTGCAATCTTATTATATTTTATTTTACACTGCAGAGGTGGCATTATAATATAGATGGAAATTATTGTTTTAGGGTTGTGGAGGGGTCTTCTTCAACAAGGGAGAGAACTGTATAGCAGCTGGTAGACTGTTTGTAGAAGAATCGATACATGATGAATTTGTCAAACGAGTGGTGAGTGATTTTCTTACAATAAACGCTAGTGCCATAGTTGAATAAGGAGATATTTTGTTACCAAGATTGATTTTAACTTTTGAAATCACATTGCATTTTGTGACACAGACTTGCTTGGTGACTATAGGAGAAATGATGCATATTATGGAGCATGGAGCTGAGAGTCAGTTTCTTTTCCTTGTGTTTAGGAGGCAGTTCACTCATTTTCTCAAGTGTGTTGATCATTACACCTGTTCCAATGGTTTATGCATTAATGTTGCTGTATTAAGACTTCAAATATACAGTGCAACAATTAACTTAATACATGTACACAGCTTTTTGTCATAATTATATTTCATGATTCATATAGGATTTGTATATTTTCAATGAAGTTAAATCTTCGGAGATGTTTTGAAGCAGTTCATACATGTTACAGTATTAACAATTAAACCTAATGAATTTTTCGTCATCTATTTACAGTGCTTTGGCCATTAATTGTGTGAATGAAAATAGTAGGATTAAAAGAAAAATGTTGTCTAGTTTTTGTTGCGATTAACAGGAAATTAGCCAGTTTGATACCCATGTTCTTGTAAAGATTTAAAAGAGCATATCTCCAAAAATATCCACCATTTCATGTACAAAGCTTCTTGAAGTCTTAGATAATTAATAAATTACATTATAATGGCAAATATTTACAATATGCCCATTCATCATCTGGCAAATTATTTGCCTTTATTCCATATACATGTATTCTACAATTGTTCACTGCCTTATTGTATATTAAAGGGGCAATAAGGACTGTAGAGAAAATAGGAACGTTTTTTTCATTTTTTCTGAGCTATCAAGGCAACATTTGGTTTAAAGTGTCTCACAAATTCGATCAAAACTTGCCATGCAAACATGTTAGTCTACTTTACTGGCCCCCCTTGCTGTAACAAGGAACCAAAAACACATTAAAACGTAAACATAAACCTGGAATTAGTCACTTCACTATGAAAGTGAGGGGTGTTAATATCAGTGGTCATTTACTGTGTCAACTTAGTAACCCTTGCATATCGTGCTCACTCAAGTATTGAATATTTTTTTTATGATCTAAATGTTTGTGGTTTATAAAGAAATGTGATATATTTTAGTTAGAAATACATTCATTAATATATTCATTCAAACAGCACTAGAATGCGGGAAGAAAGTGCAATGGTGACAAAATGCAGACAGAATTTTCCGTAAGGGTTTCAAACATTTCTGAACACAATCATACATGTACTTCATGTGAACTGTTATTTTAGTGCTGTATTTATAGATATAATTTCACGTATTAAAATCATATTTTCCAGCAATGACTTCAAATTCTGAACCACAACCATATCACATTTTCTTCAATAACTCCAAACATGTGTAAACATTGACCATGTGCATATAAATTCAGATTTCACGAGCTCTTTCCTATTCGAGTACCTCATACACCCCTGCATGGATTTGAGTTGGATTCGCCTTTTATACGTGAGCCGACACACTCGCAAACGCTGATTGGATAAAGATTGCGAGAAAATTTAAGAAAAACAGCTTCACAGTTGCTTTTAAAACTTTAACATCTTGTTCAGCTCACTTCATTCTAGATCTGATTAGGTTTTGGACCTGTTAGCTCAGTCGTGTCAGCCATTTTGAATGTTTTAAGAAAAGTTAGCGCACAATAATACTTTGTATCATATTGAATGGTGTTTTTCAGTTTTCATACTTTAACTATTTAGTAGCTTTATTGAATGGTGTTTTTCAGTTTTCATACTTTAACTATTTAGTGCTTTGTTGTAAAAGCCTATCTTGTCTTGTCTGTAAAGTCTTGTCTACGCGTTTTCAGGTGAACCGTTTGGTAGATCAATTTCAAATTTTCAGGGATGATTGTTAATATGAAAATCTAGATCTGATTAGTTTTTGGGCATTCTGGGTAAATGTCAAGGCAGCCATTTTGGATTTTCCATCCTAAAATCTTGTCTGTAAAGTCTTGTCTACGCATTTTCAGGTGAACTGTTTGTTAGATCAATTTCAAATTTTCAGGAATGATTCTCAGTGTGAAAATCTAGATCTGATTAGTTTTTGGGCATTCTGGGTAAATGTCAAGGCAGCCATTTTGGAATTTCCGTCTTAAAATCTTGCCCGTAAAGTCTTGTCTACGCGTTTTTAGGTGAACCGTTTGGTAGATCATTTTGAAATTTTCAGGGGTGATTCTCAGTATGAAAATCTAGATCTGATTAGTTGTTGGGCATTCTGGGTAAATGTCAAGGCAGCCATTTTGGATATTCTGTCCTAAAATCTTGTCTGTAAAGTCTTGTCTACACATTTCCAGGTGAACTGTTTGGTAGATCAATTTCAAATTTTCAGGGATGATTCTTAGTATGAAAATCTAGATCTGATTAGTTTTTATGCATTCTGGATGAATGTCAAGGCAGCCATTTTGGATTTTCCATCTTAAAATCTTGCCCGTAAAGTCTTGTCTACGCGTTTTTAGGTGAACCGTTTGGTAGATCAATTTCAAATTTTCAGGAATGATTCTTAGTATGAAAATCTAAATCTGATTAGTTTTTGGGCATTCTGGGTAAATGTCAAGGCAGCCATTTTGGATTTTCTGTCCTAAAATCTTGTTTGTTAAGTCTTATCTACGCATTTCCAGGTGAACCGTTTGGTAGATCAATTTCAAATTTTCAGGGATGATTCTTAGTATGAAAATCTAGAACAGATTAGTTTTTTGGCATTCTGGATAAATGTCAAGGCAGCCATTTTGGATTTTCTGTCCTCATATCTTGTCTGTAAAGTCTTGTTTACATGTTTTCTGGTTAACTGTGTGACGGATCAATTTCAAATATATTCAGGGGTGGTTCTTAGTATGAAAATCTAGAACTGACTAATTTTTTGGCATTCTGGGTAAATTTTAAGGTGGCCATTTTGGATTTTCCGTCCACAAATTGTGTCTGTAAAGTCTTGTCTACTCATTTTTAGGATAACCATTTGACGGGATCACCCAAAGGTGGGGACATTTTGTACACATATGTGTTCTTGTATTTTTTTAAGATCCACCATGTTTCAAGAGGAATATCAGCTAAAATAATGTTTATCTAGGGGGTTTCTTTGTAGATAATAAAAATAGATGTTAGTCTTGATGAAATATCCAAACTTAAATATATTTTGACACTGGTCCATGATCGTTGAATGACCCCTCTGCACTAATTATTGCACCTTTAAGAAATCATAAAACTTACATCCCTAAATATGGTATATTTGTCATATGAGTGCTTATCAACTGCACATACATCACCAAGCTGCTCTGGTGATCCTCTGATTCTGAAGTGAAGAGTACATAAAGGAAGTTCTTAGTTAATGTTAGATATATATTAAAAAGTTGTAATATTATGAAACATGCACTAAGGACAGATCAGGTCAAAGCTACCTGCTTTCAAGTATGTGTTGTATCATCGTATAGATGTTGTATCTTGAAATTTGTGGGAGCGAATTTTGATTGATAGCTTTCCAATTGTTTTCACATAATGCTCATACGTATTTGTAACCATATACCTTATGAGGAAATGAATGATTGAGAGGTGAATGTTGAGTTAATCATCTGATTTCACAGTGAGAGCAATATTAATTATGGTTAAAGCCATCAGTTATGAAATAGTAAGCATATAGTTTAGATTATGTCACCCACACAAGTGGTGACATAATAAAACACCATAGACAGACCACAAGTGGTGACATAAATGTCTCCAACTTTTCTATGGATGGCAATTGGTATTTGGCATCTTTAACATGGTATCTGAAACAAATGGCAGGTGGTGACATTTAGTTATTGGTGATAGTGAAGCACTGTCTTGAGTGAAGACTTATTAGCTTGTACATGATCTATGTGTCATGTTTTTATACAATGGTCAATCAAAGAATTATATAATAGAATCTCAGAAACATGGCTTACCGTATTACTCTATTACCTATATACCGTGGGTGTAACAAATTAAAATGTGTAACAATCACTGAGCTCCCTGTGAAATATGAAAGTAATTTTGCCAATTAACAATAACAGGATATAAAGAAACCATCTATATCTCTGTGATGACTGGATGTCAGTAATGGTTCAATTTTTACAGGCAGGTGTTTCCTGTGCATAGGTCATCTGGCTGTGCAGAAGATTTCAATATGGCTACTCTATTCTATTCACTATTTTTCGTGGAAATGTAATCATTGATAATTCAGTTGTCAGAAATCATTCAAATTGTGTAGGCTGATGTAAGTGATGTTTAAAGGGCAGGGGAGCTCTGCCTTAGATACGATTTACCCTGCTTTATATAATTATGGGTGGTAAGTTTACCTGACAGCTTTCTCCAAATGCTGGTGTTTGTTCAAAATGCCTTCTCAAATAATAACACTTGCAATTTTTCAAAGAAAGTAATATTTTTGGCTAACTTATTTTCGCCTTTCATTGTGAGGATATGGAAGTGCTCACACGTGTATCAGTCTGTCTGTCCTTTCCTCCATTCGGCAACAATTTTTGGACAAATAAAAATTGGCAGAATTTATGCTCATATCCATTTTTGGTCAATCTTAGTAATTTTGCCTTGTTTTGGGGAAATCAGGTTTGTCATCAGCTGTGCACATTGAGGTGCAATTTTTCAAATCTTGTATCTAAACAATATACGTACATTAGCCAAAACAATTTACTAAATGGTTAAACTTTTCTTCAAGAAAATAACACGATAAATATGCATGTTCAATCAAGAGGTTCAAATTATTTTAAGCGTTATACACAGAGTATGCTGACTATTCTGTTCTGACTAATCTGATGAGTTGTTATTGTGAAAAGGCAAGCTCCTGGTGGTTGGTGTACAACCTCCTTTGTTTGGCGCTGAGATGTATAGACATGATGTGACAAAAGCAATAATTACTAGTGTCATACAATCTGTAGGTATAGAATATCATAATCACACCAATCATGTTTGAAACAAGATACCTCTACCTTTACAAAAAATTATGACTAAATCAATATATATATCTGTCTAAATTTGCTTAAAATCATTATTTTAATTAGATATTATAACATTAACACAAATATATGGGCATCATCTAGATATTTCCATTTAATCTGTTATTAAAAACTGAACAGGTTTATCAGTATTAAATGGCATGAGATCTATTGTGTGGGGTCGTGTTATAAAATCAGTTGATGTCACTCTTGGAACTAATATTGACAAGATGCAAAGACATAATGGAGGAACTTTTATGACATAGGGATATTTTTATTATCTGTGAAACAGTTTAGATATCATTTTTGCATTACAAATAACATGGAGTAAGTTCTATAAAAACAAATTTTGAATTTGGGAAATACTGGAGATTTCATAAGAGATTGTGAGAACTGAATGGAAAGGAAATCATTATTACAAAGAAAACTAGACAATGCAATTCTTCTTTGACATTTGCCTTTTCGAGCAATGCTTATTTGTGGTAATCTTCATACTGACTTCACACAGTGTTGCAGAATCAGAGTCATCAACAATTGTTCATGATGTCACTGTTTCCATGGTGACAGGCTCTCTAGCTGATGTAGAGGATGTCACCATATCGGCAATAACTGCAGAGGTCCCAGTGACAGAGGAGAGTATCAGCTACTCAGCTTGTGATACAGCAGGTCAAGTCTGTGATGGCAGATGTGGACATAAAGGGAACGCTTCAATTGGTAGATGCCAGTGTGATCCACTTTGTACTACATATGGTGATTGCTGCCCAGATTTCAAAATGTGTGTTAGAGTGGACATTTTGAAGCAGGGTCGTGCAGGTGTGGCACCAGAGTTAGACAGCATGACCCATCAAGGAGGAACATTTGAATGTGTAGCTATTAATCGCAGTAAGAATGTTTATATGAAAGCCAAGTGTGATTCAAGATTCATTGACAATGACGTTATTGATTTATGTGTCCAAGAATCAAGAAGAGTAGATACAAAGATTCCTGTCACAGACTCGTCCGATGGAAACATTTACAGAAATATATATTGCGCAAAATGTAACTTTGCAACAGAGCTGCAGTTCTGGAACATGAGCCTTCATTGTGATGTCAGAGAATACCAGAACATATCGATTTTTAATGCTGACATGTTTGAAACATATCCGAATCAAGAATGTGCGTTGGAATACACAGCCCCACATGTGGATGATACTGATGTTAGAGAATGCAGGAGGGTCATCTCAGATTGTGACAGTTGTGAAGAGAATCAGGTGGCCCTATGTAACACCTATGGCCTTGAACCAATGGTTGATCCTCACACCGGCCTAGTATATCGTAACAAGCACTGCATGAACACATCACAAGTGGCTGCTATCAAGTCATGTGATCAGATAGAACAGTCCAAAATTATTCAGGACATTGTTTGGTATGACATTAATGTGGTTAGTGAGGGGAATGGTAGTATGTTACTTTCTGTGGCTATTGAAGGTGTCTCTACACATAGTGATGAAGATCAGATGATATTTCAGTACTTCCTAGCTGAACAGGGTGAATTTGTTTCATGTCCCTCAAGGTATGATCTTGTAGATGGTGAATGTGTAACTGATGGTGCCTTGTTCCTCTTCAATATCACCTCAGTCATGTACAGGTTTGTTTCTGGTGCAGTCATCAGCATGGATAGCTATAATTCTAGGCTCACAGACACCCTTCAGCAATTTCTTACTGTCATTGGCAACATGAATATTATCACCGAACAATTTATCTGGAATTTTTCTCCATTTAAGATTGACCAAAACAATGTGTTTCATGTTTATTTCCCAGCTTATACATCTAGTGATGCTATAATGGAGGCATTTCAAACCATCACTGATAACATATTTGGTCTCCAGTTGGAAATGTCTGGTAACAAGTCTACCATGAAACTGAGTATCAGCTATATGTTTATCTATGGGGTTTATGGGGTGTCGAATGTGACTGCAGCAGAAGGCTGGACAAGTGATAGTATTCGCGGCCTTGTCACTCTCACTTGTCTCATAGTGTCCTCTACTCTTCTTATTATTCGCATTGTTCTACAGGCCTTCATCCCTGTCTTTCACAACCATCATGGTAAGGTACAGTGTTGTCTGACAGGCTCCATACTTGCTGCAAATGTTTCCTTTCTGATGCGTGGTGTTTACCTTGTTGCAAGTGTGCCCTGGGTTTGTGCCACTATGGCTATCATCACCCATTGGTTCTACCTACATATGTTTACCTGGATGCAGGTAGCGACCTATGATATCTATACCAAATTCAGCAAGTCCTTTGCCAATCTGGTTATCCAGAAGCAAGACTTGGGCTACAGGGGTGTTGTGTATGCTATCACCATTCCATCTGTCATTGTAACATCTGCAGTGATTGTTGATTTTGTTCTGCCTGAAGACAGTCGTTTCAGTCCAAAATATGGTACTGAGCTCTGCTGGATATCCCAGCAGTATGCCTTGATCATTTTCTTCATTGCCCCAATGACTCTCATCCTCATTGGTAACACAGCTATGTTCTTTGTAACTGTCCAAGCGATCTTTCGCAATGGCAACAACCTTCTCACACCTAATATACAGCAGCGCAAAGCTCATATGATTGGTGTGTATCTACGTCCTTTAACGATGGTTGGATTGACATGGTTCATTGGTATATTAGCCAATGTTATATCTGTAGACCCAGTGTGGTACCTCTATATTGTCTTGAATGCTCTTCAGGGGGCATTCCTGGTCCTGTCAGCCCTTTGCTCCAGACGTGTTGTTGACAGCAACTCCAAGTCTAAGAGACAGGCTACCACACATTTTCCCTCATCTAGCAGTAGTCAGCTTTCTATATTCTCATTCAAATTGTAGACATTTATGAGGATTGATTATGGTATGATTAGTTAAGTTGAAGGCAGATTTGAAAGGGTCGTTTGATTAAAAGAAGGAGATGTTTTTCTTGACCTCATACATTATAAAAATGCTTTTTGCTTACTTTAGGCACTTGCTGAACTGTCCACTCACTTTATCTGTCAATATATTTTACAGTTTTTTCAGGGTACTCTTTAAATTTTGTAAAAGGTTTGAGTTATTTTGTTTTTGCCAACATTTTGCAATGTTACTCACACAATGATTTTGTCATGAGCTTATTCAATAGATCATATTGAGTTATTCTATTATATTATTGTTTTATATATTGAGTTATACTTATATGATATATTTGTAATTTGAAAAACTTTTGCCGCTTGTCTTTTATTTAAAAAAAGTATAAGGAATCACCATATGAGCATACTGAATGATGCCATTTTTGGCAATGAGAAGTTCATTTGTCAATGTATTGTATAATTTCATGAGAGTTGCTTTAATGATATTGAAAAAGCAATGTTCAACATGTATTATGATAATGTCAGAGTTGTTTAACATGTTTAATGATATTGAGATAAGCAAAATACTTCTAATTGTAATTGACAGGAAAATATGCTAACAACCTCTCACACAGCTAATATGGTGCCCAAGCTGTAATTAGCATGGAACCAAATTATATTATTATAATATTGTATCTGTTTTTGCCTGATGATTTGTGCATTTTCAAATCCATAATGGCCACCCAAACCTTGGATTGGGGAATTCTGAGATTCCACCAATGTATGCCTTTTTATCAAGTTTTTAACAGTAGATTGTAAATATACTACATGTTTATTGTGACATGTTCCAGGTTCATGAATAATTTTTCAGTTGGGATATGTGATGTAATATTTAGCTACAAGAAGACTGACCAGCATTTGATGGTAGTTAATATTTTCTCTTATATTGTAGCATCACTAGACATTAAGTGACGCTTCTGAACACAGCCCAAAAGACTGTCCTGACTTGTGGCATGTACAAAGTATAATAATGGTAATAAGGTTGTTGTGTTTGTCATATGATAATGAGATAATATTGTTTGACATATTATGAGAACTATGTTATGATTTTGAGTAAAATTATCATAAAAAACTATTGTGATAAAGATGCAAGTATATTTTAGATTAATTTAAAATGTTACAGTTAAACTGTTTCTAAAATTTGCTTTGAGCATGATACATTCGATTGTCTGATGACAATTTTGCAATCCATCCACTATGGTGGCCATTTTGAAAAATGATATCTTGCTATCTTGTCTGGCATTATTAGATGTTAGATGGGATTTGCTGTATGTCTTGGCATTGCTGTAATCTAGTTATAATTGTGAGAATGATGATCGTGATACAGGGTTGTTTCGTAAATTTTATGATAATTTTACTTGAATTATGAAATCAGATGTTTCAGGATAATAAGCAATTATTGGTTATGAGTAAATACTGTAGATTGGGTTAATTTGGCGCTACTTAATTTGGCGATTTTGCCATTTTTGGCATATTGGCGGCTATTTAATTTGGCGGATATGCAAAAAAAATGTTAATGGAATGTTAAACTTACGCGCTGTCCGCGAATTACTATGTAGATCTAGATCTAAATGGGCATGTTTGGCTATGTTCATTTTTTCTTTTGAGGACCACTGGCGATATTCACCACGTTTGTACATTTTTGTGAGATCATCTTTTACATTTTACACCTCAATCGATGCTGCTACTTTTCCCTGAGTATAAATGAGTGACTGACCAGTTCTGAGCCAATTTATGAGAGACATTTTTTCATATTTTTGGAAAGAAAATAAACCGGAAGTGACCTTAATACACTGGACGAAATACCCTAGATGATTCCTGGGGATTCATTCTAAATTTTGGCGGAGATTTATATTGGCGAATTTTCCAATTTCGCCAAATTCGCCAAATTAAAGCGGGCGCCAAATTAACCCAATCTACAGTAATGGTTGACATGTTTGTTATATGATGATATTGGTTAACAGAAATCTAAAACTGATTAGTTTTGAGTTATTGAAGTTGGAAAATCAAGATATGATTACCTTTGTGAGGACATCATTTATGGTGTCTCCTTGTGTAATATAATGCAGGGGAAAAGGAGCCCTGTGTATATAACCTTATGTAGGCTTTCATACTAAAACTATTCTTGCCTTGCCTCAACTGTGGATCAATTGAGGAGCCACTTGGACAATATATGTACAGAGCTATATGAATGTACAACATATATGAGTGATATATGAGAGGTTTTGGATATGGAGTATATCCTGGGAAAAATATAGATATGTTACTCAGGTCCTGTATTCAAGAGAGATGTACCATACCAACTAAAAACATCTTGACTTTTCAGTCTACCTATAGATTTAAATATATATATTTTAAATGTGCTACGTGTATATTTTCTCATATTCATATTTCTTGTGGCAGGTATTAACACATCTCCTACTATATATTAACAGAGACATATAAAACATATATGTATTTTATATGTCTCTGATATTAAACACTCTCCAATTAAACACTGTAGTCAAATCCTTTTTACAATCAATTAAACACTTTGAATCTCCTACATGTACAATCAGTGTTTATATTTGCAATATATCATTAAATGTACCATAAAATCATGAAAAGGTGAGACAAAATTGATCCATAAATCTATTGATGTTTAGAAAGAGAAAATCATCCAGAATTCATAGACGAACCTTTCTTCATGTAAAGATGACCCTCTATCCGCCTTCTTAGTTTAGAGGAACTTCTTGTTTGCCTTCCATTTCTCCGACCTAAATTAGCCACCTAGTGGCGAAACTGCTAACTACCATCGGGTACCTTGATTGTGGTACATTTATGTGAAATCTAGTCTCTGTTGTACAGTTAGTACATTAATAAAAGCATTACAATCCTAATTTTTCTGAAATATAAAAGTAACTGAAGATATATAAGACAGAAATTAAAATTAAAATGGAAGGTCTATTTTGAAGATCTATCCTGTGTGAAATAAAGTCAACTGTTTAGACTAAGAAATAGCCTAGTGCTAGAATATGGAAAGAATGTCACATTTTCCTAAAGCCAGGGGGGCGAACCTCCCCCTGGCCAAAAATTCTTTCAAAGTCATGCAGTTTTTCACCATTTTGAGCACTTCTCAAGTGATTTTAGCCATATTTGGGCCAAAATGGTCAAATGTGAACCCCCCTAGAAATTTTTGAAAACTGAACCCCCCCCCCTTGACAAATCCTGGCTATGGGCCTAATACCATACTATCTTTATCGGCCAGATCTGTTAAATATTTGAATCAATCTTGTGAATCTTTAAAACAACCAAGCAGGACTAAACATAAACAAGATATGAGTTTTCATTCATAGGAAAATGTAATACGATTATTTCACTTGACAAAAACAAATATTATAATTGCACAGTCATTTCATTGACATCACTTCACCATGAGCCACATTTACATCACACTTCAGCCCTACATTATTTATAAAATGGAACATACACCCCCAATCTACACTCTGAAATCACTGTACCGTACTGTACATTAAGAGTATGGTACCATATAGTCTAGTAGGAAGGTATGGTCCCCATGCACCCGAAAGATGTATTTTTTTAATGTACATTTTTGTAATCCTAAAGGTCCATACTAAAGATTTTTGCATGTTCCCAGAATGAAATATTGTCCCATGGTATCCATTGGTGGCCATCTTGTCGGCCATCTTGAATTTTTGAAAGAGTTGGTGTTAATTATCTCAAAGTACAATAACTTCCACAGTTTTGAGAATTGAAAGCTGTAAGTGGTACCAAAATGAAGCTTTTATAGTATCCTATATTATCAGATGCAATAATTATGCAAATTGCCTCATTTGCATAAAATGTGACATCATCAATCATAATTCTTGCCTCTTTACAACGGTATCGCATTATACCTTTCCGCCTGAGTGATCAGTCTTAGTCATTCATGAACATAAATGAATTTAAATATATAGGTACATTAATTTTGAACATATTTGCAATTGAAAGTTTTGGAAAAACATTGTCAGACACATGATTATGTAACTGAAAAGGGGCGTGGCACTTCTTGCGAAAGAATTGATGTTAATCATTTCAAAGTACAATGACTTCCACAGTTTTGAGAGTTGAAAGCTGTTAGTGGTACCAAACTGAAGCTATCACAATATCCTATATTATAAGATACAATAATTATGTTAATTACCATATTTGCATAAAATATGACATCATCAATCATTATTTTTGCCCTTTTTCAACGTAATGCATATTGCCTTTTCCTCTGAGTGACCAGTCTTGGTCTCTCATGAATATAAAGATATTAAATGTATACATTCATTTTAAACATATTTGCAATTGAAAGTTTGAACCTATTTGCATTGAAAGTTTTAGAAAAACATCATCAGAAATTAAGGTATGACCTTTCAAATGATTATTGTTCTGAAAAGGGGCGTGGCACTTGTTGAAAGTCTGTAATGTTATTATATAATCAATGTATCATTTGTAAAATACCCAGGGGTTCACTGAATACACAATTCTGTAGGGGTCCTAGGCTGAGCCCTCAGATATCATTATGTTCCCATACCAATCTGTCAAATTTCAATGTGTTCCCATACCAACCAAAATAATGCCCAAAAGCCATACCAAATATCCAAATATAAGACCAATGCTATATCAAATGCCATTCCAAATATCCCAAAAATATAAGACCAAGGGAATGCAAAATGTCTCAAGCCCCTTGAAGAAGGCAGAACTTTTAGGAAATGATCCTAAACAACCTCAAATAAAGGACATTTGTAAAAACTAGACCAATCCCATACCACAAGTGAGAGGTAACCTATTCTCCATGACCATTCTTGTACCACAAAGTAGAAAAATCCGACCATTGTCATACCTCAAAAGTCATATTTTGGGGGCATTCTCATTCCAGATCCTAAAATTTGGATCCATTGCCGTCAAGGTTTATATACAGTGAACCCCCCCCCCCCCCCCCGGTGTAAAATATAGGTTTTGACTTTTAGAAAGTAGCCCAGTGATGTCTCTTATTCCTAGCTTGTTGGTCTGTTTGGCAGACATTTAAATTTCAGCCAAAGATATATAAGCTGTATCGCTTTTGAACTAAGTACTGTACAGATACGAATGACCACATATCCCCATATCATTTTAGGATAGGCAATGAACTGAAATGGGTACCCACAGTATTTAGTTGTTAAAGCTATATAATAAACTCAATATGTATTAAGCCTGTACCTCCGTCCAATGTTTTATCCAAGAAATCCGACTGGACTCTTAAGTGACCTCTTCCAGAAACTCAGTGCTGATGTCAAAACACATCATCTTCAATGAGCTCATGGTACTTTCAGAGACTGACTAAAATATGTCAACAGCTTAAAAATCCAAGACCTATTTGATGAGGCTAAGACAAGAGGGTGGTATGCAGTTATGCAACCAACAGAAGTGGGATGCAGAGCCCAGCCTCTTCACTATGCTACCTCTTATCCAAGTTAGAACGATTTCCATCCCAGATGCGAGGACAAGGAGTGGAGGAAACATCTGTGAAACACCATTGTGTTGGGCCAAGTAGAAGACAAAAGCTTCTCTTGGGAAGGGGAGATGAAGCCCGCAGTGTTAGTGGACGGCTTCATCACTAGCAAGAGAGCTCCAACAGATGCTTCTTAAGAGATTACTTCAACTTAGTCATCCAAAGATTCTTCTTCCAAAGATAGAAACACTCAGGAAAAGAGAAGCATAGGACCAGGAAGACATTCTTTAAAAATCTCTATAGGCTCACATCAAATTTGTTAGGGAACCAAAGAGTGCCCATATGGCATGTACGCAGGATCAATCAGAAGCAAATACTTTGGCAGCACACAGTGACCCAGATCGAGAGATGCCATTGGGTAATTTTCCAATTGACATCCCACCAGATTTATCATCAAAACCGTTTGACCAGTCAGATTTCAAGCTTGATGAGGTAAGAACAATCATCAGGAAGGCTCAGCCTCAGGTCTAACATGTGTGACATACAGGGTCTACAAGAACTACCGAAAGCTGTTAATACATCTATGGCGATTGCTAACAAGCATCCAGAACAAAAAAATCTAGCAAGGAATTGGACTTTGGTGGAAAGGTGCTTCATTCCAAAGGAGCTAAAATTTGAGCGACTGAACCAGTTCATGTAGACATCATTATTGGATGCTGAGGGAAAGATCTTCTGGGCCATTATGGTCAAGCCTCGAAGTTGTTTCCTAGTGGCATGCCAAGCATTCAGAAAAGTGGTCTCCCAAGACATCATGGGGTACATATAGCAGCATAAGCCAACTTGTGAAGGAAGCCAAAAAAGAGAATCAGTAGTTTGGCTGGACAGAAGGCCTACCTAGTGTCCCTCACCAACTGATACTAGAGGTACAAGTTCACTTTCACGTACCAAAACCAACAGATGTAGTCAATCTGACATGGGAAACACAAACTCCTTGAAGTTGCACAATACATTTTGCAATTATACCACTAATTAGCAGAGTTCGGAGAAAGGCATAGTGGCAGACTGCCCTGTATCAGTAGTTCTCTTCGTAACATCCATGAACCTACTGCTAAATGCAGGGATGATGCAGTGTAAGGTTCCACAAGCAAATGAAGGTGCAAAACACCTACCATACAGAGCTTTCATGGATGACATCACAGTTATGACCAGTTCAGTAGTGAGTACCAGATGGGTTCTATTAGCTATGTAAAGAATGGCAAACTGGACTTGCATGAAGTTAAAAGCCTACCAGGTCAAGAAGCATGGTTTTGGTCGATGGCAAGCTTTCTCCAATGCAGTTCAAAATAAAGGGCAAGCAAATACCAACAGTGCATGATAAAAGAATCAAATGTCTAGAGAAGAACTATGACAAAACCTTGCGTGGTTTGAACAATACAGCTGAAGTCTCAAGGGACCTGGACAAGTGGCTTAAAGCCATTGACTCAAGTCATGTATCGGGGCGTTATGCCATTACTCCCCAATTTCAGTGGCCTTTCCAGATTTACGACATTACCTGGGAACCCTCACTTCAGCAATTCTTGAAATAGAATGACCTTTGGTCCATGGACCGAGGGGAGTTCAATTTCCTATTAAGAGCTTTCCTTGACCTGGTCTCAACTCCATCAAACCTCAGACTTTGGGGCAAGGAAGAAACTGCCAACTGCCCCAAGTACATGGCAACTGAATGACACGTACATTAAATCATATACTCAGTATTTGGGTTACAGCTCCCACTGATGGACAATACAGATGGCGTCATGATTGACACTGAGGATGCCCATACTTTGATCTGGGCCTATCTTCAATATCTATCTTGCGTTTCTTTGATCTGGGCATTATTAACCACTACCACTTCTAACATGTCTCATCAGATCGACTTTTGCATATGTGACAATAAAATAGCCTGATTTGTATTGTGCTGTCATATTGGAATTACAATATCATAATGAACACATCATGTACTTGTAAGTGGTGCACACAAGCTGCAAAATTTGGCCAACATTTCACCAATAAGCAACATTGAGCTCTATCTACATGACTCTGCCAGAGCAGCTTCAGCCTTTGAAGTTGACATTAGTGTTTAGAAGTTAACATTTTGAACAAGAAGTGCCCCCCCCCCCTTTTCAGTTACATAATCATGTGAAGTGTCAACACTTAATTTCTTATAGTTTTTCCAAAATTTCGATTGCAAATAGGTTCAAAATTAATGTACCTATATATTCAAAATCATAAATGCTCATGAATAACCAAGACTTTAACCCAGAGGGAGCGATATTGGTCGTTACCATTGAAAAAAGCCAAAAATGATGGAGGTTGTCACATATTATGCAAATGGGAAAGTTTGCATGATTATTGCATTTTTTATAAGTATATTATAATACAGGTAGCTCCATTTTGGTACCACTTACAGCTTTCAATTCTCAAAACTGTGGAAGTTATTGTACTTTCAAATGATTAACATCAACTCTTTCTCAAGAAATGCCACGCCCCTTTTCAGTAAAATAATCATGTGAAGTGTTATAATTTAGTGTCTGACAATGTTTTTTCCAAAATAAATATGTTCAAAATTAATGTACCTATATATTTAAATTCATTTATGTTCATGGGTGACTAAGACTGGTCACTCAGGCAGCAAGGTATTGTGCGATACCATTGTAAAGAGGCAAACATTACGATTAATGATGTCACATTTTATGCAAATGAGACTATTTGCATGATTATTAATCTCATAATATGGGATACTATAATAGCTTCATTTTGGTACCACTTACAGCTTTCAATTCTCAAAACTGCGGAAGTTATTGTACTTTGAAATGATTAACATTAATTCTTTCACAAGAAGTGCCACGCTCCTTTTCAGTTACATAATCATGTGTCTGACAATGTTTTTCCAAAACTTTCAATTGCAAATATGTTCAAAATTAATGTACCTATATATTTAAATTCATTTATGTTCATGAATGACTAAGACTGATCACTCAGGCGGAAAGGTATAATGCGATACCGTTGTAAAGAGGCAAGAATTATGATTGATGATGTCACATTTTATGCAAATGAGGCAATTTGCATAATTATTGTATCTGATAATATAGGATACCATAATAGCTTCATTTTGGTACCACTTACAGCTTTCAATTCTCAAAACTGTGGAAGTTATTGTACTTTAAGATAATTAACATCAACTCTTTCAAAAATTCAAGATGGCCGACAAGATGGCCGCCAATGGATACCATGGGACAATATTTCAATCTGGGAACATGCAAAAATCTTTAGTATGGACCTTTAGGATTACAAAAATGTACATTAAAAAAATACATCTTTCGGGTGCATGGGAACCCCTCCTTCCTATCCGTCTAATACAATACCCTAGTATGGTGCCATATTGTGTTTGTTGTACCGTATGTACATACCATACCATATTTTCCAGTACCATAGCCAAACTGGTACAGTATGGTACTCTTGGAGATTGATGGTCAGTTTGCCAGTATAGTTCTATTGAATTATGAAGCTGCACATATTATAAAAGAATACCTTGCCTGAGTCTAAACAGTGTTCTGTTAACATAATGGATTCCAAGGTGTATAATACAATGTCTTCTGCACTAGCGTTTGAAGTTCATTACTACTGCGGTATGTGACGGAGGTCTTCTATAACAAGTGCACAATTTTAAGATCTAATATACATATACACTCTTTCCTGTTTTTTCCTTCTCTATTTTTCTGAATTTTTGTTTTAGATTGAAGAGGTTGGGAAAATGAAGATAGGAGATCCATTTGATAGATCTACAGACCATGGACCACAGAACCATAGGTAATAATTATGGTATAGTACTATGGAAAGCGGACATGGTTTAGTTTATGGTAAAATGTAAAAATATACCTACGTCGTATTTGTTTGAATTACAAGCACATGTGGGTACATCAAAGTGCTACTCATTTTAAGGCTGAAATGAATTGAAATTCTGAAAAAAGATTTGTTTATTTTATTTTATTTTTTTATTTTTGATTTCTCAATTCATCCCTTATAGGGTATAAGAGTACAAAAGACAAACTTAACTAATACAGTAACAAACATTGAAATACATCTATATATGTACATTTTTTAAACATGAATAAATGAAAATAAAAAAAAAACTATACTAGACTCCTTTGTCTAACATGCATAGCTTTTACTACAGGGCCCACCTTCAGTCATTGTTAGACTTCTGTAAAGCTGGTGTGGATGGTGGAGCCAAGCTGGTTCTAGGGGGCAAGCAGCCTGATCGCACAGGTAAAGTAGCATTTTTACAGTTGTCAGCTTGATCTGCAAGGTTTCAGCTTATTGGATCCCATACCCTAGAAATCAATGATGGATGCCTTACTATATAAGTATCAGCACTGGCTATGATGTTAGACACAGGCAGATGTCATGGGATATTATGAGAGAATTTAAGATTGAATCAAAAAACAAAACCTGTACTTGAAATATGATGTGCGTGAATAAGGAATACTTGTATAATAATTGTGTTCACATTTCTTTGGACTGCTTTGTTTTACAAGTGTCATCAGCTTATAGAAACAATAGAAAGCCTATTAACTTGTAACTGCATTCAAAACTTTTAGTATTAGTTGAAGCATCAAAAGTTCAATGTCAGATTGAAAACTATAAACGTGTTTTTGAAACATTATGTGTGTGATTTTAATTTTAATACTTTTGGCCATGGATTAATTAAGGATTTAAATCTTGGACTCAGTGTTTTGGAGGATGATTCCACGATGATGTGGTTTCCAAATCTGCATAACCTCGCAGGACGAATGTAAAGTTTAGGAAACAACATCTGAGTGGAATGAAGCAGCCACAATGCATGGAGTCGTGGGCTTAAATTCTTTTCACACGTTGCAAAATATTTTCTATAAAATCACCTAAAAGATATGAATCGGACACACATTGCCTAGCTACACATGAATATATTTTATTTGGACATTTGACAAGATTCGATATGTATGTACTTATGGGGCAAAATCAATATGACTAACTCTTGGACTTCTACATATAAACATATTACACATATTATTGGGACATTTAAATAGTTTTGCCGTTTCAACAGTTTCATGTGGTGTGTGACTGATCTTTCAGAATGAAAGCCCATGTCTGTTGTGTTTGTAATTCTTTTAAAGGATTTGGTTGAATTATATTTTACCTCACGAGTGAGCTCACCACAATATGTTGGCCATCAGCTTCACCCCATATAGGGTATCAGTACCAACTTAGGGGAATAATGCTCATAGTGATTTTTACTGCTATTTTATGTGAGTTTTGTGCAATTATTCATGTATGAACGGGGTTGTTTTCCTGTTGCCTGTTAATACTTGCCATATCATCTAAATCATTATCTAATGCTTTAAAAGACAAATGCGTATGCGAACGTGACTATACAGATACCAGTTTCACACTGAATGTGTATCTCAAAGGCGTCTTTGTCTGTAGTTGGCACCTAAAGTGAATATCTCATTACGTTGGAGTTGTTATGCTATTAGTCTCTGTTGGTGACTTGGTGTTAATTAGTAGAGGTACATTAATATAATTTCTACATTAGTTATTATGTCATGTTGTCAAGAATTAAATTGTCATATTCAATATCTGCATTGTAATTGGTAATTTCTATTTCCCATTATTAGAGCATATCATTGTCATGGTGATGCATATCATTTTTTGTGTAACCCTGCAGAAATATTAGGATATCTCATATCATGGCTGTTTGATGTCAACACAGTTGTCATACCTGTGTTCCTAACATGTATATATATTTGCCTTTCATTGAAGAAGGTATGAAGTGATTTTGATTTTTACAAATAAGTGAAGGGAAAGAATGAAATAAGATATTGGTCTGAAAATAACAAGTTCTTTGAAATGCTGCAATTGTTCAATATTGAAAATGCAATTGATGAAAATGTTTTATATTTCCTCCATTTAGAATATCTGTATAATATAAAAATGCACTTCAATTGTATTTCAAGGTCTTTTCTTTGAACCTACAATTTTCACTGATGTGAAAGATGACATGTGGATTGCAAAGGAGGAATCATTTGGACCAGTCATGATCATCTCTAAGTTCAAAGATGGGTGAGAATTATTACTATTAATCATAATGCTAGAGAGACAATTACAACAACATAGAAATTAAAACACCCTTGGTTTTATTTTTAAACATCGTAATTAGCCAAGTATAATATGTTATCATGTTTCAATTATCTTTATCATGAAATATCTGAAAACCTGAGAGTATTATATAACTTGTTATTTACGTGAGTTCTCAGACATGATTTCCTGTCAGGCTGTTAGATTGCAGTTCATGATAATTAACGAATTCCATGGACGCCCATATGCAATAGAACCACACAGAACTGTTTCATTACCATGTATAGTTTCCTGTGATAGAGTAGAAAATGAATTGTTTGTTCATTAAGTAATATTTATTTCCTGTGTATGATTTCAGGGACATTGATGGTGTATTAGAGCGTGCCAATGCCACAGAGTATGGTCTTGCATCCGGTGTTTTTACCAAAGACCTCTCTAAAGCTCTGTATGTATCAGATCAGATACATGCTGGCACAGTCTTTGTCAACACATATAATAAAACAGATGTTGCTGCCCCATTTGGCGGATTCAAGCAGTCAGGATTTGGCAAAGACTTAGGTAATGTCTGGCTATGGTTATCTACTTTACGTTTCTGAACAGTATACCATTTTCATCTCATGAAATCACCAGAACCTGTCGTCAGATCCCCCGGTCGTTTGATTTTGTTAACAATTGAATTGAGTTAATATTATTATAAATGTTGAAAAGAAATGTCAGAGTTCAGTATATTACATGTATACATGTACAGTAAAACCTGTGGATATTGAACATTTTTTGCCAAGAAAAAAAGTTCAGTGTTGGTACTTACTACTTAGGTGTTCAATACAGAAGTCACTAGAGTATGTGTGGAGGAAGGGTATTCACTAGAAATAATTAGAGAGATGTGTTCACCAAGACAGGTTTAACTTACTCTACCGAGCTGACAGAAGTCAGCTCTGGGAAGCTGGATTGAAAATTCTTGAAGAGAAAAATTTAGCCCATTTTGACTAAATACTGTGCTACTGTACTGTAGCGTTTATAATACACTATATACACCCCCAAAATGCAATCTGATTTTTGACGCCGTTTCGGTGCCAAATTTCGATGCCGTTTCGGCACCAAATGGACTGACTAGTCTGGTAGCAAATTTTGGTGTCGAAAGGTTTCGGTGCCGGAACGGTGTCGAAACGGTGCCGGAACGGTGCCGAATTTGTTCGATGCCGACACGGTGTCGAATTATATTGGCTGTGTATTTGAATCAATACCTAATTTATTTGTTGTTACCTTATTTTGATCCTTCAACAGTCTGTTGTTGTAGTAAATCAATGTTCTATTAGACAACAAAACTTTTGAATTGAGATTGCAGCCATTTTAGGTCTTGCGAGATCTCTTGACATTCGAAAGTAAAGATTTGCTACAAAATAACTTGCACTAGCTAAATATGAATAGTCACGTGATCTTTTAGCGGCAATACCCATGTGCATGTAAAGTACAATGCGCATGTGCACGCATGCGCAAAAGTTAAAAAATGGTGCACACCAGGTCTGGAATTTCTCCACTTTAACTGCAAATTACACAACAAGTAGGACTTATTGTCACCATGCGTCATGAAAAGGGCAAGTTATAGTCAATTATCTTCTTAAATACCGTTAACTTATTCCAGCACACCTGCTGGAAGAGAGAAAACCACTTCACAAGACGGTATATTTGAACGTTCCCTCAGCTGGCTTTTGAGCCAGCTGTGTGCAGTAAGGTTTTACTGTATTATATGGAACAGTTCATCAAATCATTTGATTTCAATTCAATGGCAGATTCTTGACTAATTACTTATATTAGTATATTGGAATTTTAAACTACAAACCATTGTCAGCTGAGGTGTTGTTCTGAGAATTCAATCTTGTCACTTTGGATGGAATCTTATATAAATCAGTGATCTCCCTGGGATTTTTTCTCAGACGGGTGCAAAATTCTCATTTTCACAATTCAGACCAAAATTGGTCAAAATATGCCAATTTTTCATGATTTTTCTCATTTTTAAGTGGGTGCAAATGGATTTTAAGGTGGGTGCAAGCCTATTCTCAAAATCTCAGGTGGGTGCTGCACCCATTTATGCTGTAATGCTGGGTAGATCACTGCAAATATATTCAGCAGAGGTTGAATCCTTCATATAAGGATAATCTGGTATTTATTTTATATATCAAGTCTAACAGTATTAAGGAATCTGCCTGAATTAAGGAAGACCTGCTGGTACAACCAACCTTACGTTTGAGAGGTGATCACATTGAGAGGTTTATGTTGAGAGAGGTTCACATTGAAAGGTGCTTACTTTTAGATGAGGTTCATTAGAAGTAAAAAGAGGTTCATATATAGAGAAATTTACATTAACCATATATTTAACAATATGAATATGACTGTAAATGTCTAATTTGATTTTTGCTACTATATTTGCAGGACAAGATGCTTTGAATGAGTACCTGAGAACAAAGTGTGTCACCATCGAGTACTAAATCAGAAGTTCAACAAAAAGGCTTTATGGATGTGTTTCTCAAACCACTTCTTAGTCTCATGGAACATTATACAGCATTTTAAATGAAAGCTAATGTGCTTCTTGATGCAACTCTCCACAACTGAGCACGGCCCTTTATACTGTACATGTGATTCCACTATGGTGTACGTACTATATAATGTCCACCTTGTAGATTTATATATCAAAAAGTCAATAAGCCATAAAAACTATTCACTGTAAACCCTGTAGATGTAGGTCACATGAATCAGTATGGTGTACCTAGTATATACTGTAAACCCTGTAGATGTAGGTCACATGAATCAGTATGGTGTACCTAGTATACTGTATAAGTGGTATTTAATCCGAGTGGTTAATTTGCCGATTGGTCAAATTTGATCATTTTCCTAATTTTAATTTTCCTAATGACAAGAAACTTCCCATTGGATAACATTACAAAGATAATATTTCCGACATTTAATTTTCCGAACCTGGCCAAAATTAGACAATAGGCAAATTAAATGATTAGGCAAAATTACCACTTATTCAGTATACTGTAAACCCTGTAGATGTAGGTCACATGAATCAGTATGGTGTACCTAGTATATACTGTAAACCCTGTAGATGTAGGTCACATGAATCAGTATGGTGTACCTAGTATATACTGTATACCCTGCAGAATTATATTACACAGTGACTCAATATGGTGTACGCATTATATACTGTACACCTTGTAGATGGATATTGTGTACATTCCATATACTAAAACTGTACACCATGTAGAAGTAATCACATCAAGTCAGAGTGGTATACACACTTATACTGTACACCATGTAGATGTACATTGTATCACATTTACCGGGTGTCCCAAAAAATATTGTACCATATAAGACACAGAAATAACTCTTTTTTCTTCATTGAAAAAAGGTGAAATTTTCACATGATAGAGAGAAATCACTTTTACAATTACCAAAAAAAAGTTCACAGAAACATGTAAATTACCTACTGAGAAATTTCACATTTTAGATGACATGTTCTAAATGACCTCCATCATAATAGATGCAAATCTGAATGCAATTCCAAACATCAAAAATGGGTGATGGTGCTTAAACAACCCTTTCTCAAAAACTAGATAGAATTACCTGGTGAAACTTTTAAATGTTTATGATAATTAATTTGTCAGATGACTAAATTTCAGGATTAGGCCTATTCCTTATTCACTCATAGATTTGTTCCATATTTGTCTCTGTATAACGTGGAAAAAGAAGTGACATTACTGATACAAGCTTTTCTATAAAACTAAATAAAGTAAATTGTATCTAAGATTATTAGATTATTTGTCAGTTGACCAATTTCTTTTGTTTTGGGACACCCTGTAGTCAGCTGCCTGTAGTCAGTATTGTGTAGAAACTATACACTGTACACCCGGTATATGTACATCACAATATTTATCATATTTACACATTATACAAGAGATGCAACCAAATAATTTTAGTTTAGACAGATTATGATTTTGTAGTTAGCTAGCTTATATGGGCAGGGAGATCAAACATAGTCAAGTATTTGCTGCAGGGAAATTTTGAAATGGTGCATATGGTGTATTATGTAGGTGTAATCTGTTATTTATTTTAATAAAATTATTCATGCTTGAATGTAATTTTAGCATTCATGGATATATGTATGATTGATCATTGTAACAGATCTACTGGCTTTAGTCATGTTAAAATCAAAGTAAAATTGTAGATTGGTTATTCATAGCTTATTAGTCTAATTAATATTTTATAAAATACCTGATTTCTCAAGATTGGACCCTGAGGAATTAAAAAGATTGGACCCTGAGGAACCGAGATCTCATAGTGTTTGCCATTCTTTACTGTGTTCTTAAAAAAGCTATGTGCATTGATATTTAATCATTATCAATTTGTTTTCTGATTGTCATATATACTGCTGATTAAATATATCTCTTTTATCAATAATTAATTTTAGGCCTATGTTTTGATTTCTACACACTCTACTACACTTATATTGAGAGGATATTCTATGCTTTTATCGTGATGAAATCATATTTTGTTTATCATATCAAAAGAAAATATAGGATGTCCTTTTTCCATGTGTGTTAAATTGTGATCTCTTAATCTTGCAGGCAGGCAGGGATAATTTTTGGTATACTACATAGCAAACATTTCTCAAGGTTGAATCAAGGCTGATGGCAAATTGGGATTAATTTAAGCTTGATACATGTGATATCAAGCTTCATTCAACATTGAAAAACCTCAATTCTGAACCAACCTTAAAATCAAGCTTGATTCAATGTTGATTTTTCAGGCTTGATTCAAGGTTGAGGATCATGGTCATTTTGGATTTTCTCCCTAAAATCTGGTATACAGTGTCTTGTCTAAACTCTTCTATACAAACTCATGATGGATTGATTCAGGCTTTTAGAAATGGTTTTGGTAAAAGTCAAGAATTGACTAGTTTTTAGGCATGATTGGTAATCCTTAAGGTGGTCATTTTTGATTATTTTCTCTCCCCAGATTTTGTTTATGTGTTTCTGGGCATACTGTTTGATGGATTGATTTCAAATTTTCAGAGATATGTCTCAACCTGATTAGTTTATGGGAGTCGGAATGCTTCAATGCATGTAATGCAAAGCTTTTCATTGATGATTAAGTGGTAAACTACAAGATAGCCATGTTGGATTTTTTGTTCTAGAATCTTGCCTGCAAAGCAAGGTAAAAATCACACCGAAATAGCCGATATCGTCAATGACAAAGGAATCTGAATTTGAAATAATTTATAAAGACAATTGCATACGGTAATACAGTGTCCTTTGTCCCGTATCTCATTTTGATCGGTTAAATTAAAGACTTTATTTCGATGGTAGAACATAATTAACTGTACAATGAGTATAAAGACATTTTGATTGACTGTTGTTCCAACAAAATTTAGTCTAGGTGCTCTATTAAACATACAGTTTATGAAAATCTAATTGAAGCGATGGTTATGTCCGCCATTTGTGACAATTCCAGTGTGTAAATGAAATCCCATAGAATAACCAACAACTCAGTTTAATGCTGTTGTTAAAACTTTGAATGGAATTCATCATAAGACAAAATGATGAGTTAATCCATCCTAGGTTTATCCTTAGACAACAAGCTTTATCTTTAGCAGCACTTTTCACACATACTTTTCATGTAAGAGAGTTGTGACATCATCTCCTAGTACTTTCCTGAAGAATGACTATTGGATCTTACAAATAGAAATAAGTATAACTAAGGTATTAATTTGTTTCCCAAGATTATGGTTTTCAATGCCTTATTACAGTATGTTGACATACATTTTTGTTACTGTATTTTAATTTTTTTAATTAATATTGGCAACATTTCATAAGTGTTTAGTCAAGTTGTCATATTGTTTACTTGTTAATATACTTGTGTAATTACATATCCCATCAATAAGTTCAGAAATTGTAATTTTATGGTAATAAAAGGTTCCACAACATGCAGACTAGACAAAAGTATTGGGTCTCTGCAACCACCTCTTTTCTGCCAGTTTCTATTCTGTTTCTGTTTTTGTATGAAATTAAACTATTTATTTCAAGAAAGAAATTAAAATACAGTAAAAAATATGTTCAACAACATACTGTGTTAAAGTTTCAATGTGGGAAAGTAGTGAAAACCATAATCTTGGGGAAAATATTGATACTATTCTCAATCATACAATTTTAAGGCTGTTATCCCATAGTTGGTGTATCAAATCAACATTATATTCTGACATTTCGTGGTCACATGGCCACATCTTTTATAATTGTCAATTATAGAATACTTTTTAAATTACATCTCAGAATGTATTTCTCTTATTAGTACACTGATGTGTATGTAGGGATATACATGTAGCTATGAGATAAGAGACACAGTAGTTGACTCAGGAAGGAAAACGTTATCAGTAAATCCTATTTGATTGTTACAACAGCTAGAGATAAATGTTTCGTTAAGTTGAGTATGAACAAACATTTGATAAATTAATGAACATTTGAGTAATTGAGAAGTAATTTACATACAATTAAAAAGCAGTGTTTGACTGTACCTGTATAAGTATTACTTACTTGGCTAGAAACAGGCTGGCTTGTATGGTTGTATTGCATGGTTGTATTGTATGGAGCCACAATGCAGAGCAGGAATTTGCTGGCAATCTAATGTTATGTGGCGCTACATGGCTACATGGCTTCATTAACAATGAAACAAAACATTTTTAATAATAATATTTTTTCTTCGATTATCTTTAAACAAACTATTGGAGCATGTGCATTCCAAGTGTTGTCCATTCTAAGTTGAAATTTTATTGAATTTATTTGCATTCCAATATAAATAAAATAACAAAATGGTGATAAGAAAAATGATGTTTATTGACATTCCCACACATAATTCACGTTGCTTATTCAGTAGCTAATCCAATTAGACACTTACTTGAAGAATCTACTTCCATTTCTAATTGTCAAATTCCTTTGCAATTAATAATTAAGAGATCTTCTCCTCCTTTGTTAGTGGATATTTCACATGGGGTGGGAAAAGAGAAGCCAAATCTACTTGACAATTTGTGAATCTGTTATAATCCCATCAGAGAATTAAGGATATAATGGTTGGAAAATCTTAGAGAATTCAGTTGTTGAATTTGTTGTTAACTTGTTACGTTACAAGATGTTTTGTTGTAGAGATTTATTGTTGTTTATTATCATTGTTTTAGTTTTAATTGTTGAAATATCAAGTTTTATAACAAACATGAAGACTGAAGTCGCAAATGGTGTGACAACAGAGAATTTGAAGTTGTCAACTAAAAAATCTAGGAAACTCAACCGAAAAAGGCACAGAAATAACAGGAACAATATGAAGAAAATTTCAGATGAGGGACTCGAGGAAGAAATCAAACTTAAGTCAAGTGGATCTACTACTAAGTTCTTAGTTGAGCTCTATGAGAGGTTGGAAGAGGGTGGTAATATGCTGTATGCTGCAGGGCACTCCATGCATGATAAGGAATTAATGCAGGCTGATGCCGTTAGAACCAATGCTGGTCAAGGTAATATAATACTACGTATTCTGCACCTATGTTATCAAGCTCTAAAATTTTATGATTTTTTCATTGTTTCGTCTTACCAGAAATTCATATTATTCAGTGCATATTGCAACCGCAAATTGTGATCCAAATTGAATATTTTTCAAATGTATTTGGGCAGCCAAGATATTTTGACTTAAGGTAGTTTTGCACCATAATAGGTCTAATAGAAAAAATAATTTGGGAAAATGGCATTTGAATATGATTTTGACAAAATATTCTGATTTTGAAGTAGCCTATGTATTTATCATTATCATGAAAATAACATGAAAATGCTCAATCTTAGAATTTTAATGAATTTTCATTCCATTTTCTGTTTGGATGATATTTCAAATAATGATGATTCAATTCCTATTCGTATTAAATATATCCCTCTTGGGTAAACAAGTTTTAAATGAAAATGAATTTTCAACCTTACAAGAAACATGAAAGGGCAATAACTGAACGTAAAAAACAAATATTCATTCTTATGCTAAATCACAAACATCTAATTTTGGTATAGAGCAGATGCTTGTTATAACTTTCTACCACATTATTTTATACAAAGACACAATACTGATCCAAAAATTAGACTATTAATTCATGTGTCTGTTTTCTTTATTTTTTTGAAAAATATTTTTAAATGTTTCTTGAAGGGCCAAAAGTAAGGAAGTACAAATACACATTTATAACATAAGATCAATCCAACTCATGTTTTTTATTCATTTCAGTTGTGGTTGGAGGCAAGACAACAACAGTCAAGTTCATTCTTCAAAACGTCAACAAGAAAGCTCTAAGAACTGAATTATGGTTTCCATGCAGCAGTGGCAAGCATAGCAACAAGAAAGTCACTATTCGATACCTTAGTAACAACAATGAGGTTATTGCCAAGAAAACCATGAAGTTGAAACTCACAAGATCTCAGATCCGACCATATGGGTTTACTGATGTCACTAAGCTCTTAGAGAACACAGAGGCAGTTAGTGTTGAATTCACTTTAAGAAATAAAGCCAATTCAAACCAGTTGGAAGAGATCACCCCAATGCTTGTCTCATTCTCTAAAGATGGCGCAGAATTCTTGAACAGCGAATCACAATCTTCGAAACGATCCAAGCGTTCCATCATTTTGGACAATGTATCTAAGAAATCAATCAAGAAACTGAAGACAAAATCTGAGAAACGTCAAAGAAGGAAAGGCTGCCAAAAGAAAGACTTTATTGTTGATTTTGAGGAACTTGGTTGGGATTCCTGGATTGTGTACCCTAAGCAATTCAATGCCTACCAGTGCTCTGGAGGATGTCCCAACCCTATTGATGAGAGCTACAACCCAACCAACCATGCCCTCATTCAGAGCCTCATGAAGTTCAAGAAGCCAGACTCTGTGAAGAAAGGACCTTGTTGTGTACCAAGTAAACTGAAGCCACTCAGCATGCTCTACTATGAAGGGGATCAACTAGTGGTGAAACATCACGCTGGTATGATTGCTGACAGGTGCGCATGTAGATAAACTTCAATTCTAGTATACTACAATATGAGATTGTTATATATATGTATATATTGTCAAAGTTACACCATTTGTTATTAATATTATTTGTTATAAAAGTTGTTATTTTATCAGTTATTGTTGACATATGATCATATTTAAGGTGTTATATTTATGATGTTTTTATGATGTAATTCATATCTTTTCTACTGTATGTTATACTGGCTATATGCTACAGTAGATGTATAAAATTAATATTCTGTTAATGTAACGTTATGCACCAGCTGTTGATATACATGTTAGTTGGGAAATTTTGAAAACTGTTACTTTTACAAATATTTATGTGCTATGCATAGTTTTATTATGTTGATGTTATTGTTAAAAAACTAAGTTATATCATAAAACATAAAGTCTGAGACTTCATAACATGTTACAAAATAAGTCTGAGACTTTCGTATTTCACAAAAGGTAACACTTAAAAATAATTTAAGTCTAAGTTTTAAGAAAATGTTATATGTTAAGAAGCAACAACGGAGAGATAGAGATGAGAGATAGGTAATTTATTAAAAACTGTTACCCAGACTTATAGGTTAGGTCAGAACTCTGTATTTGTGAGTTTTGTTCAGAGTGGTGAAACAGGAAGAGTGGTTAAGTGAAACACCTCTGTAAGTAGTAAGTGTTACACTGTACCTGTTCCTTATTGATTTAATGTAACGTGAACCTCTTTAAGTAGAACACATTAAAGTGGAACATTATTTGGAGGTATCAAAGGTGTTCCACTTACACAGGTTTACATTTTAGATATCACTTACCCAAATTCAATTATATGAGATAGAGGTGTTTACAAGGTTTACATTTTCATTATACATTTTTCTATACAGTAAAACCTGTCTGATGGAACACCCTTCTGTTCCTTGTTCGCGGGTTTTACTGTAATGACTCATTGTGAGAAATCACAACCTTCTATCATTTCAAGGCAATGGTATAGTATCAGAATGAAAATTTTTTACTGAGACGTATGAAAAGATTTAAAAATACAATTTGGTTCTTGCTCAATGTGGAACTTTAATCAACTTAAAAAGTTGAAGATCATATAAATGTACATACTGTAATTATATTAATTAATGTAGTTCTTATTATTTCATATTGCACTATCATGATACTCTTCTTTTGTATATATTATAAACTTTCTTTAAATAGTAAACCACTATTCAAAAGTGTGTGCAAAAAGTATTATCTTTGTAGATATGTTTTAGTTAGATTAGGTAGCCAAATCTTTACTGTAAATATTTCCCATCTTTATGGTATAGTTATAACTTTACTGGTTGTATAATCCATAAACTCCGATATATGATATAGTTGTAACTTTACTGGTTGTATAATCCATATACTCCAATATATTGATTATATACTCTGATATATGGTATAGTTGTAACATTACTGGTTGTATAATCCATATACTCCTATATATTGATTATATACTCTGATATATGGTATAGTTGTAACTTAATTGTAATATCATCTTCATGGTTTAGTTGTATCTAGTAGTATTTTATCCTTATCTTTTAGTAGTATTTATCTTTATGTATACTTTAACTTTACTGGTAGTTGATCTATTTTATGGCAGACTGATAACTTTATTGGTAATACAATCTACCTTTAAGGTATTGCTGTAAATGTACTGCTAGTATCTATTTTTATTTATTTATTGATTTATCTGTGTTCCTGTAAGAAATCTCCACCATATCCATGTACTGTAGTTTCAGTAATATGGCACCAACCATGCCTTCTGGAGATTCCTTAGCAGAACAAATCTTAGATAAGTCCTATAATATCACCACTGCTGTAAAAACTTTTTATAATACTGTACATAAATAAAACTGACAAAAAAATAAAAAATCTTAAAAATGAAATTTTATCTTAATTATTTTTACTACGAGCATGAAACTAAGTCACCTGAGCAGTGATGTCAGTTTATATAGCTTTAAGATATTAACTCGGACACATGTCACTTGGTTTTATGTCACCACAGAGAAAGTGACATATTATTTTAGCCACCATTTTAAAAATAAAGTTTTCAGCTTCATTAGCAATTGAAACACATACCAGTATGTTACAAACAATTATAGAAACATTACTACTTATGTGTTCACTCTGTGAGTTTCAAGTGAATCTGACCTTTACTTTTCAAGTTATCACTGTATTAAAAATATTAACAAGTTATTGACATGGAATTGAATACTTCCTAAAATTAGAACATGTTAACATGTTTCAAGTCAATCTTTTCATTTTCTTAATTTTTTTGCTTTTATTCTCAAATTCCATAATGCATTGCCATGGAAACAGATTGCAGAAACCCTAGACAATTGGTTACATCTTAAATGTGTTTTCTTAAAAGTATCTTAGTTCCATATGTTCCAACAGATGGTGTCTAAAATCTGATTTTTTGTAACATCTCGATGGAAGTATATAATATAGTTTGTACTTCCAGTCATTACTTCTTCAATTATTGTGACATGACATGTAAAATGTACTCAGAACAATGTGTCGCTGGTTATTGCAAAAACTTTTGAACCTTTAAGTTATTGCAATTTGTTAGACACCAATGTGTTTCTTGGTAGTGACATAATGGTGCAATGCATAAGTGACAAAATATCACTTCCTGATTGTGATGTATTTCAAAAGTGTAACCAGTTGTTACAGATGCTGAATGCTGGTCACAAAAAGCAGAGGCAATAACAATGTCACTATTTCTTAGTGGTAACATTCAGTAAAAATAATGAACATTCAGTGACACCTTTCTTTGAGTAGCGTAATGAAATTGGTCTTAATTATTATAAGTTAAAGCATTTACGTTATGAGGATACTATGCCTGGTTTAATATGGTGATTTCCAATTACAGGTTGCAGGGTAGTGTTACATAGTTTGAATATAAAGATTTAATGATAGCTTTCTATGGAATTTGAGAGCTTATATATTGCTTAGTCAAATACCGCATTCTTTCAAAAAAGTGCACAGTACGCTTCCAAAATTTACATGGAAAATAGTGAAATATTGAGAAATTCTAAAGATAGGACATTTTTAAAGCAAATTTTTTAATGAAAAAAAATATTGCAAATAATGAGTGAATATCAATACATACAATCTGACAATGCTTCAACTTCCTTTTAGCTGTTATCACTATGTTATAAATACTTTGTGGCTTCCATATTATTACTTTCTTTGCATCAAAAGTAATCAAGAAGATTTCAAATACCTGGAAGCCTTGCTATAAAATTAAGTAAAATGTTATTTGCTGGTAAGTCAATTTTCCTGAGACTGTTCATAATATACATTGTATGTACACTCTTTGGAGGTTGTGCGGTCTTTAGAGAGAATATGGTATATAAATAACACATGACAATATATCGCAATACACAATAATTTATTACATATATATGACTATGTATCTCATATACGTAGATAACATGAAATCTGTATAACATCTATTTAGATTCATAATACTTTTCAAATGCATGGAAAAACTATCTAGTATGTAATATAGAAAATATAACTTTTTTCCATGGGTTTGAAAAAGTACTGCCACTGTGATGTGGTTGAGTAATTCTAGCAACCATATGCACTGAAATGAAACATGAAATGCATCATCAGTTAATATAGATGGACTATAGAAATAGAATCCAAAGATTTTGACTTTGATCATACAGTACCATATACTTAAACTAAGAAACATTCAATGCACAATGTAGAATATACAATCAGAACAAGTGTGATTGCATTCGTATGTACAGAACATGATAATAGATAAGTTATATATCAATCACGTAAATATGAGGCTAACAATCTGTATAACATGGACGGACACCATTAATGGTTGGCAACTGAGATTTCTCACTCTTAATTAACTCGAATGTGTGAGAGTATTAGTTATTATGAACTATCCAGAGACAATAGATCAGCTTCATGTGTGACTATGTGCCATTGATTAACTAAAAGTCATTATCACTGTCATCTAGAGGTTGCTGAGGTTGCCCACCTCTATTGCGAGCACCTCTCACTGCCCTAGCCATCTCCATCTCATCATCTTCACTGTCGCCACCTATATCATCATCATCTATGTCTATGTCTGAGCCACCAGACCCCATATCATCACTGTCCTGCAACACAGAGATTATGCATTACAATAAATCATCATTGTCCTGCAACACAGAGATTATGCATTACAATAAATCATCACTGTCCTGAAACAGAGATTATGCATTACAATAAATCATCACTGTCCTGCAACACAGAGATTATGCATTACAATAAAAATCATCACTGTCCTGTAACACAGAGATTATGCATTACAATAAATCATCACTGTCCTGTAACACAGAGATTATGCATTACAATAAATCATCACTGTCCTGTAACACAGAGATTATGCATTACAATAAATCATCACTGTCCTGCAACACAGAGATTATGCATTACAATAAATCATCACTGTCCTGTAACACAGAGATTATGCATTACAATAAATCATCACTGTCCTGCAACACAGAGATTATGCATTACAATAAATCATCACTGTCCTGCAACACAGAGATTATGCATTACAATAAATCATCACTGTCCAGTAACACAGAGATTATGCATTACATTAAATCATCACTGTCCTGTAACACAGAGATTATGCATTACAGTAAATCATCACTGTCCTGTGACACAGAGATTATGCATTACAATAAATCATCACTGTCCTGCAACACAGAGATTATGCATTACAATAAATCATCACTGTCCTGTAACACAGAGATTATGCATTACAATAAATCATCACTGTCCTGCAACACAGAGATTATGCATTACAATAAATCATCACTGTCCTGCAACACAGAGATTATGCATTACAATAAATCATCACTGTCCTGCAACATAGAGATTATGCATTACATACACATCAAAACTAAATAAAACAAATAAGAAACAACAAAATAGATGAAATTCTCAAAGCTGTAGTTGAAAAACAATATGTCTGTAGAAGGAATACTGTCAATTTCATTTTATATTGTTTAGGTTCTAATGTTTTTAAAAATAAAGTTATTTCAATATTTTCATATTGGCACTAATGTTAACTAAAAGCTGTATAGTCCCAATTCACGAAGCCATGCAGAGAAATCAGCAACTAAATTCTGACAATGTTGCACCATCTACATGCACTAAAGTAAGTTTTAAATGCAACTTTATGCAACAAATTTAATGCAAAAGGGAGTTCAATGCCTACAAAAACTGCATTTTATCATACTGTCAAATAAAACATGTATCATATATATAAGAGAAATAAATTGTGCATGATGAAATGTTTTTTGCCCAAGCCTGTCGTGCAAGCAAATAAAAAGGATTATGAACATGCTTTTTAGACCAGCCCATTGTTAGTACTATACATATTGATTTCTATGTATGATTTTCCAATCATGTTATACAAGTTGTTTATCAGTTTTTGGATGGCAGTATACAAATACAGATATTATGAGGAATCAAAATACATTGTAGTAAACATGAAAAATCTCATTGGTGATAATTTTCCAGTAGAACATGTATTATTGAAGCATAGATATCCAAAATCCAAAATCAGTTTGCTTTTTAAATCAGGTATCAAATATAAAAGTCATAAACCATAATGATGGTAGTATTTTTAAAACACAGTAGAACAAGGCACACAGTAATGAAAATCAAGATGCCAAATGGGAATCAGGTCTAAGATGTTCATATCTAAAAGCGTTACAAATTTTTATTTTGCCACATGCTGGCTCATTCAGCAACCCGCATTCCTGCCAATCAGCACAAGATAGTTAGTGAGGTAGCATCGAAAAATGTACCCGCTTCTGAACAAATTGAAATTACTTGTTTCTTATGTATTTTTATGCGATACTTCAGAAAATTTTTGTCTGATGCGCCGTATCCGGGGCGAAAGTTGTCAAAATTGGGTTTTTGACCCTAAAAAGGAAAATTACAGGGTTACAGGGGGTACATTATCATCATTGAATAATTCATTCAGTTGGTCTTCAATCATCATAATAATTTAATCGAGAGTTGATGAGATCATTTTAAGGTAGTATGCAAAGTTTCAATGGTCTGTCACTCGTGGTTGCCATGGAAACCACAATTTTTGCTGAGAAAATCTTTAATTTTGGTAAAACCTTTACCTGTACATAATATAGAATGTGGATTATTTTTCAAATCAACAGATATCAGAACATTTTAGCATTTTCAAAATTACCAGGGCAGTTCAAACATTTATTTAAATATAAAGGATATTGCAATTAACATAACTGGGGAGTGTCAAAGATCAGACAATTACATAAGTGATCAAAAGTGGGCGTCGCCCTTATCATAGTAGATGATTGCCATTCTCTAAAAATACTTGACTTTTGAGATACATTTATAATGATGTTCTTTGGTTATACTAAATATTAAGCATTTTTGGTAAAATAATGTATATGTAAGTATTATACTTATTGCATTGGGGAGGGGGTAGATGGGGAGGGGGGGGGGTAACAGAATTGGAAGAGGGCAAAGCTAATCACCCTTAAGTATAAATCTCATCTACATAGTTCTGGATTTCATGGGGTACATCTTCTGGGTCTTCTTCACATTCATCTGAATATATAGGATATTATAATTCTGCATGATTGGTAAGTATAAAGACCATAGAATTACTCAAGTGATCAAAAGTGGGCGTCGCCCTTATCATAGATTCATTCTCTATAAATACAGAGTCTAAGTTGACTTTTGAGATACATTTACATTACAACTTCTTTTATTATACTTAATTACAAGCATTTCTGGTTAGTAATGCACATCTAATTGTAATAGTTCTTGCCTGGGGGAGGATGGGGGGGAGTAGTAACAGAATAGGGAGGGGGCAGAGGTAATCAGCCTTCAGTATAAATCTCATCTGCATAGTTCTGGATTTCACGGGGCACATTGTGTGGGTCTTCTTCATATTCATCTCAATATATGGGATATTACAATTTACAGGATTTGTCAAACACCATACAATTACATATTTATAAATGATCAAAAGGAGTGTCACCCTAACAATAGTAGATGGTTGGTTCTTTGTATAAATACAAAATTGAACTTGACTTTTGAGATACACATGGATACATTCATAGTTATACTGAACTGCTGTTATTATAATTTATGTCAAGCATTTCTGGTAAATACATCTGTGTAAGTATTATAGTTTTTACATTTGGGCAGGGGTGAGTAGTAACAGAATTAGAATGAGTAGATCTAATCTGCCTTAAGTATAAATCTCATCTTTTTAATTCTGGATTTCATAGGGTACATCTTCTGGAGTTTTCTGATTCATCTCCTGGTGTTGCTATATCACCAATCTCTTGTATGAGAATATCAGTCAATACCCACTGGAAAGATATGGAGTCATTTAGTTTCCATTCAAGTCCACCTGGTGGTTCACTACGAGGATTTGCAATATGGGCCATACAGACAATAAGTGCTTTATATGGATGAGATGGTTACAACGATCAGACAGTCCTTCATAAGACCAACTTAGGAAAATTATCTAGAGATGAGATGAGTGTGACACCCATAATGACCTTGGAAAGGCACAAATAGCAAGTATAGAAAAAGACATAAAGATGACAAAAACCGCAATCAAAGACTTCCTTGATCCATTTACCATTGAGGATGAAGGTCATCTCTACGATGTATCTAAAGGAAAATCTGTGCCAAATGATGTCGCTGCAGATCTCATCTAATTTTAGTCAAAAGGGGAAATTGCATGAAGAGATACCATCTGAGATTAGTTGAAAAAAAGATTTCATGATCTAATAAAACATATGAAATTGAAAACTATAGCAGCAAACTACAGCAGCAACAGTGACAGTAAAAAAGTATTCAGAACAAGCTTATACAAATACATTCTGAATGAAACATCTTTGAACAGCTTCGATCTTGCTTTAGAACATAAAATTAGCCTAGAATGTCTCCTGCAGTTCCTATTGAGCCCTGTGCCTTGGGCTCTAGGAACACTGACAAGACTTCTTGCAAGAACAGAGAAACGCATCCCTATGCATGAAAATGTACCCACAAGTGCCAAAGGGAAAGGACCAAAATTTGTAATAGAACCCAGCAAGAAAAAGAAAACTTCTAAATGTATACAAGTCATAAGGAAAACAAACCCCAACTATCCCAAACCATAATTCAACTTGAAAGGTAGTTTTGTTTCTGGATCTGGCGGAGACTGTTTCAAGATTCTACAATTGCAGATTGATTAGTTTTTGTATGTGATAATTACATCAAAAATTCTATAAAGGAACCTGAAAGAGGGGAGGGACACCTTGCCCTATTTAAGGTAGAAAAACATGAGTTCCTAAAGATTGGAATTAGTTCTTGTATGATGATGAAAACAAAAAACCAAATACAGCAAAGTGTGCTGCTGGATACTTGAGTTGGAAACAAATGAAGACTGATGTCAGTGGTATTTCCTCCAATATAGACCCTGACATATATGCAGCCTTCCTAGCACTTCACACATTCACAGATGAAGTGCCATGCAGAAGGGGCAATAGCACCTTTTTAAAAGGCAAAGGTGGAGCGCCATATAGATACACTCAACTGAATGACTCTCAAATCTGCAAGTGTAGTGGTATAGTCTCTCACATGATATTGTTAATATATTAACATCGGGAGGTGAATGAAAATGATCAGACTATGATATTAATACTTAAGACTGACTGGCCATTGGCTCTGCCCCCTCCCATTTCTGCTACTACCCCCCTTGCCCCCCCCCCCACAGGGAATAACTATTACAATACTAAATGTAATCAAAGAAGTTTTAATTTAAAAAATAAATCTTAAAGTCAAGTTAAACTCCATATTCATAGAGAATGAATTATCTACTATTGTTAGAGCAACACCCACTTTTGATCACTTATGTAATTGTATGGTCTTTGACACTTACCAATCATGTAAATTGGAATATCCCATATATTGAGATGAATGCGAAGAAGACCCAGAAGATGCACCCCTTGAAATCCAGAACTAAATAAATGAGATTTACATTTAAGGCTTATTAGCTCTGCCCATTTCCAATTCTGTGATTCTTAGAGTGCTAAAATGTTCTGATATCTGTTGATTTGAAAAATAATTCACATTCTTTATTATGTACATGTACAGGTTTTACCAAAATTTAGGATTTTCTCAGCAAACATTGTGGTTTCCATGGCAACCACGAGTGACAGACCATTGAAAGTTTGCATACTACCTTAAAATGATCTCATCAACTCTCAATAAAATCATTATGATGATTGAAGACTAACTGAATGAATTATTCAATGATGTTAATGTACCCCCTGTAATTTTCCTTTTTAGGGTCAAAAACCCAATTTTGACAACTTTCGCCCCGGATATGGCGCGTTAGACAAAAATTTTCTGAAGTATCACATAAAAATACATAAGAAACAAGTAATTTCAATTTGTTCAGAAGCGGGTACATTTTTCGGTGCTACCTCACTACCTAAGATTATTACAGCAGCACTTTTCAAGTGCAACAAATAGTAGTATAGATTGGCTTTAAAATCCACACCCTATAAGTAATTCACCCATGCAATAGTTTAGCCATGCTTTTTAAGGATCATATATGATGGAAGCTGGAATCATTGTACTGTGAATTCAGTCTCCATGGAGATGTTTGCACACTGAACTCTAGGCCTTCATCATTGTTACAATATGATCCTTAAATACAATCAAATCATCCATCATGCCCATATATTGAAATAAACCTTTTTATGTGAGCGCCTTGACATTTTAGGTGTTGTTTTATCATAAAGGCGGGGCCTAGTGGTTGGTCTTCTCGGCGAATGTGGAGGAAAATGACTTGGGGACAGAATCTCTATCCGTGGCTACAATAGGTCAATATAGGAGATAAATGGAGAGACATCTATAAATGGGGAGCCATTTGTAAAATAATGTGAAGCATATTTTACAATGATTAAGCAGCATAGTTATGAAGAGCTCATAGTTGTGAGAGACAGAAACCCAGATGTATGGGTAATGTAGGTTACACATCTTTCAAAGGATAAGTGGCATGTTACACCAGAATGGTGCGTTGTCAGACAACTAATTTATGGGAAAAGTCCTAGATCGCATGATAAAAGTCTGGAGAAATTAAATTTATCTATGAATGAAACTCATATTCTAAAAGTGATAACGTGAGAGTGTCTTGTGGGTATTTCCCTTGATGGTTATAGTAACTAGAGGTGTCAAGTATTAACCGGTTAACCGGTTAACCGCCGATAATGCCTTGACCGGTCTGTGTTTTTATGGGCGGTTAGTTGACCGTGTATAATTCTATTATTTCCCGCGCTTATTTTGCATGCTAATCCGTTTGGTTTTATGGTGTCAGTTTCACGTAAGCTACTCATACATGTAATAAGTCCCATAACTCCTTACAAACATCCAATCAGCAACTTTAATCCCTGCCACATTGCTTCCCGCTCTTACTTTGCATTTTAATCTGTTTGTTTTTCAATCAGTTTCATGTGAGCTACTCAAACATGTGATAGGTCCGATAATTCCTTACAAACATCCAATCAGCAACTTTAATCCCTGCCACATTGCTTTCCCGCGCTTACTTACATAGAATAGAGTAAAGCTTGACGAACGTAAAAAATAAACGCCGATATATCATTTTTCCAATTTTTTCAACTTTCAAGATCGAAGATGAAGATTTCATTTGAAATTATCAGTTCAAATTTCCCGCCGGTTAACCGACTTTAACCGGTAAAAACCCCCGGTTAACCGGTTAATGCTCGAGCGTTTAATTGACACCACTAATAGTAACCCTTGTCTGATACTAATGCACAATATTTGGTCCAAACTGGAACAAACAGCAATTAACCCAAGAATAGCAAATCCTAAATCTTTACTCATTTCATGCTAGATATGACAATTGTCCATTACTCATCCATTCTGTCAAAAGTTACACCAGTGAGGCTAAAGCAAAACTATTCAAATAAAAATAAACTCCCCAAATTGATAAGTTATAGCTCACAAATGCCAAATTACATGGATGAAAAAGCCACTACTTTGAAACACAGCACCATTTTGAAAATTAAATCCAAGCAAATACATGACAGGCTGTACAGACAGAGATGATTGATGCAGCTTTAACAGCTTAAAACTGTTCAAGGGCACAGAAGTCTTAACCAAAGCAAGATAAGTTATGTGATGATAGAAAACAAAATCTACAAAATATTACGATGCCAGAAAATTAATTATAGAATAAAAAATCTGAATTGTTTTCTCATAAAAATCTTTTGTAATAAATGTAAGGAACAAGCTATAGCCCTAATAAGTTATGTTTGCTTGGAAAAAGTTATGAAAATTTCTTTACTTCATCATCTTCATCATCATCCTCGTCGTCGTCATCGCCCATTCCCATAGATCCAAACACCTGAGGTTTCCCGCCCATGTTGTTATCTCTCTGACCAGAGGCGCCTACAAAACAAATCATAGTGGAGAGACAATAAAATACAGAGTGCATGAAGTACATTATAAGATGATAGAAATGCTAAGTAATGAATAATGGAAAATTGAGAACAAAACTTATCCAGCATAATATAACAATCAAACAACTGAAGTACCATAAAACTGTAATACATGTACATCTAAACAAAACCATACAACATGGTTCTCTGAATCTTTTTAAAGAAAGGATTAGGTTGCTTTGGTGGAATAGTTGATTTCATTTAAAATCTTTACTAATTTGAAGTGATCCATTGAAGGGTTTTACTGGAATTACATGGAAAATAGAAAAAACTAGATTGGAGAAATTGAACAAGTTCAATTCAAGACTCCAGATTTAGATTGTTTATCTCAAAACCATTTTGAGATCTGATATTAATGAAAGGGTTGAGATTGTTACAATTTGGTGGCAGCGGTGGGATTTTTTTTGAGATTTCAAAAGCCCATAACTTCTAAACCGGAAGTCGGATCTCAATTTTGTTTTCAGATTCGAAATCTTGAGGAAATTTCCTATATAATTAATACCAATTCTGATAGATTTGGAACATTTTAAAATTCAACATTTTTTTAAAGTCATATTTCTCAAAACTGATCATTTTTTATCAAGACATATATTTGGCAACATGTTTGAAACACTTAGAGAAACCTAGAAAAATATTTATAGCAAGAAATATTGAAAGATAAAAAAGAAAATTGAAAATTTGTGAAATTAAAAAAATTGACCTAGAATTTGAACTTTGACCTAGATAAAAATTTGACCTAATTTCCCAGAAACTAGGTCACATACCCTAACGAACTATGTAATTAAATTTACCCTAAGTCTTCTAGTTATTGAGATATCTTGCTAAGAAAAATAATAATAATAATAATAATAATAATAAGAATACAGGCAAAAACAATAGACTCCAGATTTTCAATCTGGAGTCTAATAATCAAAAATGAATCAATGAGATGAGCTTACTGTCCTTGAATCGCAATGACATGAAATATAAGAAAATGAAATGGTCCTTTATTGCACTTCAAATCATTCAATAACGTTTTTATCGTGTGATCCTGTGTATAGCTACTGAGAATGTCCCCTCTGTACCAATATTTTCTGTATTGCAACTGAGATGATCAACGGGGACAACTTCAGTTGCAATACAGATTGGTACAGCACAAGAACTGACCAATCAGAGGGCTTCATTTTACAGATCATACGATAAAAATACATACCTGCTTGTCTCTCTCTGTTGTGTGAGGGACGTGGACGTCTTTGTTCAACCTGGTCATCATCAGAGTCTCCACTGGCTCCATCATCATCATCAACCAAACCTGCAGTGACATACATAAACATTAAGTCAACATAATATATTATTTAACACCGATAAAAAGTTCTTAATTTAAATCCTTATCCTTCTATATAAAGCTTGATTACACACACAAACCCATACCTACCTTTATACAACCTATATACATGTACATACATGTACATGCTGTACATAAGAATCAACCTGTATACATGCTTTACAAAACGTACGTAAATATAAATATCAACCTGAACACCAGGGCCAATTTGTCACGCTATTTTCCAAGAAGTGTTGGGTGTAGAAATGAACATTTTGGATGAAGAGATGTGTTTTACACTCGACTGTGCCATATTATTCAAAGCAAGGCATTTCCATGCATGTTTATGTTTAAATTTTGGAGAGCTATGTTAGATAATGCCAATTCCACACTGCTGTGCTACACAAGACAAAAGCAATAAAACATGTACATGAAAACCAACATGTACATGATACGAAAACACAATATTTCACTAGACGTGCTTGTTTTGAACACTGATATTAAAGAATAATTGGGTAGACACGACACACCACATGTAAAACAATAATGTGCCAATAATGTAGAATTGAAAACCACAGTATAAACCATGAACAGTTAATCAATGCTAACTGTTGTGTAAACATGACACACTGCATGTTAAACAACCTTAGTGCAAAGAAGTTTCAATTGATGTTGAACCATAAACAGTTTATTAATGCCAAAAGAGAGGACATGGCACACCACATGTTGAACCATGAACATTTTATTAATGTCAAAAGAGAAGACATGGCACCCCACATGTTGAATACATGAACAGTTTATTAATGCCAAAAGAGAAGACATGGCACACCACATGTTGAATACATGAACAGCTTATTAGTGCCATTAACCACAGCATATATCAAGCAAAACTTCAGACTGAGTACCACTGGTAGAGTTGCGATGTTTGCTGTGTCTTGGTCTCGGTTTACGTTTAGAGGCTGCATGTTGCAACTCAGGTTCTGAGCCATCACTATCAACTTCTACATCTTCATCAATCAGACCTATACATACAACATAGAACTTTCTATATAATTTTTTATATCAGACTTTCTATATAACTTTATATCAGACCTGTACATACAACATAGAACTTTCTATATAACTTTTTATATCAGACCTATACATACAACATAGAACTTTCTATATAACTTTTTATATCAGACCTATACATACAAAATAGAACTTTCTATATAACTTTTTATATCAGACCTGTGCATACAACATAGAACTTTCTATATAACTTTTTAGATCAGACCTATACATACAACATAAAACTTTCTATATAACTTTTTACATCAGACCTGTACAAACACTATCGAACTTTCTTTACCGCGTACAAGAAATGAAATACAGTAAAACCTGTCTAATCCGAACACCCACGGGACCAGCCAAAAGCGTTCAAATTGGCAGGTGTTCAAATTTCGAGGATCTTGTTGGTCGGGGGGGGGGGGGGGGGGGATTTTCATTGTTCAGTCCACTATATTGAACACTTAATACTAAGTCAGAAAAAAAAAATGTTGTTGATGAGTTAATTCTACATTAGGCCTATAGCCTATATGCTATGTTTTATTTATATTTTGAACAATATCATCGTTTTAGTAAAAATAACTCTTATGTTTTGGCAAAAACTTTGTAATACACTGTAAAAGTATATGATAGTCTCGTATGAAATCTTATGCTTATCAAATGACTTATCCCATATTATGGTAATATAGCACTGCTTTACTTTTGCTTGAAAAAGTCCTTCATTGTTGTTTGTTTCTTGGCACTTTTAGCATTAGCAATATTTGAGTAGATATCCTCATTTTTCATGAGTGTTCATTCGAGATGATGTATAATCCTTCAAAATATCAAGGGCATTCAGGATGTCAGATGTATGCCTTTTAGGAGACATTTTAGTGATAGGATATTACAAAGTTGATTTTGTTCTCTTTCTTGTGATATAATCTCGTCTGCAAATGTCGTCTGTGTTGTCCTTGTGATTATAAAACATTTGCTGATTGAATTTTAGCTATCATAACAGACCCATGGGATATAAAACAGTTAAGACCTGTTCATAATCCAAATCAAAAACATCCAGTTAATTTACAATAAGGATAAACCAATTATCTCCCAGATTCTCACCTTTCTCTTAATCCAAATCAAAAACATTCAGTTCTTTTCTAAATCTTGTCTGCAAATGTCGTCTATGTTGTCCTTGTGATTATAAAACATTTGCTGATTGAATCTTAGCTATCATAACAGACCCATGGGATATAAAACAGTCAAGACCTGTTCATAATCCAAATCAAAAACATCCAGTTAATTTACAATAAGGATAAACCAATTAACTCCTGTATTCACACCTTTCCAAAACATCCTGTTGTTTTCCACAAATTAGGGATGTCACTGAGACTAAATAAGTTAGTTAGGACAATATTGGTTCTTTGATTACATTGTATATGTAAAGATAAATAACAACTATAACATTGACTCAATATTTGGCTATACTTGAAATGTCCAGACATTTGATTTCTGATAAAAATGTTCAGATTAGACAGGTCACTTTTTAAAATCTGGTTGTTCACTGTTCAAATTAGGAGGTGTTCAGATTTCAAGGTTTTTTTAACATGGGAGTCAATGGGAGGAAAAATGGGACCGAAAAAAAGTGTTCAAATTGGAAGGTGTTCCGATTAGCCAGGTGTTCAGATATACAGGTTTTACTGTACAGTTTGTATTTGCCTTGAGTGCACTGTGGTCAGATATAGTAACATCTACTACTCAACTGCTAAGTTAGAGTCATGGTTGAGCATGTGACTTTGGAAGTCAGTGTCCATACCAATGCATAATCCTCCTATGTCAATTCAAAAAGTTTCCGGATAAAGATATCAGATTAAGTGATCACTGCTACACATTTAACTTACTCTGACATGCAGAAACACACCGTCCCCTCAGCACTTAAGCTATAATGATCCATTTGGACAGAATAAACAGATATCCACAATTATAGGTGAACATTCTATTTAAGCCCAGTAGAAATCCCATTACAGACATTCATAAAGTTATTTGCTATGTTCAAACAGTTTGCACTGTATCTAAAATGTAGCACACAAATAGATGAGATGTTACCTTCAAACTCATCCTCATCCTCTAGCTGAACCTGTAGTCTCTGCTCTTCATTCTTGATCTTGTCAGCCATCTTTCTCAATGACATCTCAGTTTCCTATACAAACAGTAAAGCATTATAATCAGTAATGGATGGATGGATGGGTGGGTGAGTGGGTGGGTGGATGGATAGATGGATGGATGGATGGATGGGTGGGATTACACAGGTCTGGTTCTTGGCAGCTACAAGCCCTTTTGACCCCCCCCCCCTCCTTTTCCATTGAACACACAACTTGGTGTTGAAGCAGATAATGGGAGAGGTCCAGACACTTGAAACAAGACTACTTGGAAGCGAAAATTAACAAAAGACAGACCGGGGCTTCCACACATAGAGCTACTGGAGTTAGATAATGGAACTTAATAAAAAAAATGGTTTGTTACTAACTTCAATATGTAGAACATTGAATTTTTTTTTCATATGGTAATCTATTTATTTCATAAATCTTATTTTACAACAGATGACTTGCCAATCACTAAAAAGGCATTATAGGACATTATAAAGAACATTGAATTTGTGTTTGTACCTCTAGTTTATCTTGTTCCACTTTGTTGTATTCCTCAAGCTGTTGTTCAAGGTAAGTGAGATTGCGGAACTTCTCCAGATATGTCGCATATATGCCCCCAAGCTCTTCTTCGTACCGTTCAAGCTCATCTTGGTAGGCTGGTCTGCAACACAGAGACAATATATACACCTTCCATAACATCACATATCGGTATCAAAAGAGGTATATTACTCTCATGTGTATTGCTAATATTATTAATTAAAAACAAAAGCTAAAATATGAGAAAACTAGATAACGGCAACTCCGCGGAGTAGCAAATCCCAACGAACAAAATATCAATTACTGAATTCCAATTTTTTTTGCGTAAAACTATTCACCAATATACATCTTTCCACTAAATATGAAGAAAATCTGTCAACTAGTATTTGAGTTATCTTCCGGCCAGACGGACGGACTGACTGATGACTGACTGACTGACGGACAGACGGACGGAGGGCTTCACTATATCCCTAACGAACTTCGTTCGTTGGGATAACAAGGGTAGTCAATTGTCACGAAATGATAAAGATAATCTTGTTAGAAAAAATCAATGACCAAGGATCAAACAAATACTTGAAAGATATGGTGACAACATAAGTCACAGAGACTGGAATTTGCAGATATATATATTATATATATATATAGATTATTAGTTTAGTTTAATAATAGTTTATTTCTGTGTCACAGGTTAACTAAAATATTACAAGTAAAATACATGTGTTAAAAACCCAACAGCTGACATTGGCTTACGAGACACCATATAAATATACAAAGATAAGCAAGTAAAGTCTTGAGTCGCTCCTCTTCTCGTATTAATACTCTGCTTATATCATTTATGTATTATTCATACTTGATTGAAATAAATATCATTTCTCTACCTGACACTCTGCAAAGTTGCCAATCGTTTTTGGTTTCTCTCCAATTCTCCTTTCCTTTTTTCTATTTTTGCTTCAAGGTTTGCCTCATCTGATGCCACATTTTCTAAATTAGTATTGGTTTTTGTAATATCATTCTGAAAGTAAAGAAATAATGAATAATACATTTGCTGATATATTTCTAAAAAGATAATGTTTGTATGCAGTTCATGTTTTTGTGTGGACATTTCAAGAAGACAATATTTTTTGTGGACAACTTTATGAAAGATGTCATGATGATATCAGGGCTGTCTTCTTGTCCAAACATTATTAGAGTTTAATTTCCAGACTGCCATTCATAACATAGCTTCCATTATTTATGTTTTATCATTACCTCTACAGCCTTAACAGAATTGATGATTCCTTTCTCAACTTCATTTATTTCCAGCTGACGAGCAATCACAGTGGAACGGGCTTCCTGAAAGAAAACCAGGTCACTATAATAACACTAAATGATAATTACTAAGAAGTCAACAAATGAATGAATAACTGATCATAATCACAATAAATTACTAGAAAATGGCCAATGCACAAAGCAGACATCTCTGAAAATGCAATTCTTAACATTCCAAAAGTATTATGGGCTAATTCAAATGACTCTTTATTTCATAATTTCAGATAGGCTCATTGCATCCAAAAAGAACTATAATTTTTAAGATAATTAAGAGAAAATGTTCATGGTACTCCAAACAGAACACTATTATTCTTTATTAAGAAATGAAACAATAATTTTTGAAATGTTATATGAGCTTGTATGACCACTTCAATGATGGTTAAAATAACAATTGCTTACCCTTAAATCAACCTCTTTACCAAGTAGATCATATAGACTGGCCCCTTTCCTTGTTATTTCAGTGGCTAATCTGCGAGAATCCTTCAGATCTCCAATCTGAAATGCATTAACATTTTTAAAAGCATTCTTCTAAAAGATTCACAAAATTAAAGTCATCCAAAATTCCTCAAATTTCAGCATACTAGATTTACTGGGCAATTATTCTTAACCAAATATGCTTTCAAAAAGTATACTGTACATTTATTGATCGATGCATTGATGACTAGGTTATTGTAAAACACAATCAAGACCAAAGTTTTAGATAATCATTCAATGGCTGTTATATCAGGGTAAGTTTGAAAAGATGCTTTTTGAAGATCAAACGTAAAGGACCCCATATAAAAGTAGCCATCATTTTCTCAAAATGGCTACCATGTTCGACAAGTTGTTGAAAGAAAAATGTCATTTGACGTAATTATTTCTAAAAGTAACAACAAAATATTGCTTTATGACTTCTAATGTTAAATTTTGAGTTGTGAGCTACGCCTTACCCTTGATGAGATGTCAAATGTTATAGGTGTGTCATCTTCATCATTTGTGACTTCCCCTCCAATGTTAGTCTTCATAGCACTGTATAGAACAGATGTCACCTTAAGTAGTTCCTTAACAGCATAACCATCTGCTTGGTACAACTTCTTGGTGTTTAGCTTGATGTGTGCCTTTGTAGCCTGAACATATTCATCAAATATCAAGTTAATGTTCATTCTATTATTGAATGTCAACAAATACATTTTTCCATGAGTGATAACCATTTTGAATATTTTACATAGGCCTATTATGTTGTTAAAATTGAACAGATTAAAAAATGTTCATATTTTTGAGTACTCTTCAAATGGAAAATTATTCACTTACTTTGTGAGATTTCTTTTCATCTCTTATATTCACAGAAGAGAAGGTTTGCAAAAAGGTTTGTTGTGATACAAGCTACAATTCTAAATTGTATCATTTTTGTGTAATTACAATCAGAAATGGATACTTAAACTTACCATAAACTGTGCAACTGACTTGATGAAGATAACTCTATCTTGTTCAGTATCTGTATCTGAGGGAATGTCAGCATTTGGGTCATATCTGCATGAACACAAGCAATAGCATAACCACAACAACAAGTGATGAAGATAGAATTGTAAAACATTTCCAACACTTTAAACATATTAATTTGAAAACATCACTGGTCAATTATGGTTCAGCATTGTGCATACATGTACAAGCAACTATTTTTCCTCAGCTTAACCAAATAGAAAATTAACATGATTTTCCCAAATGGCTACTAAATGCAATATATCATAAGAAAAATACATTCATATTTCAGATACAAAATGTTTGTATCATTCGTCAAACATATAACAAAATATTCAGCAAAATCCATCTTGATAAATGTAAATTAATGATTAAACATTTGTTACAGACGTCAAACGCCACCAAGACAAAAAAAAAGTTGGAGACTTATGGTGGTGACATAAAAGTTTTTTTTGGTAAAAGTTGATTTGTTTCGCTCATCTTTAGGAGAACAGTTTTACCTTTTGACAAGCCATATAAGGACCTCCGCGACCAATGGAAAGTTTGGAGAGCGGAAGTTTTCCATGGATATAAGCCTTGTATAGCCCAAGGCCCTCATCATCTCTGTGAAATCTAGAAAGTAGAATAGAATACTGTCACATGAGGGTTAAGTTGACACATTTAGATCTCACCTTTCCAATTCAGTTATATCACAGAAAATGCAAAAATGATTTCTTTTGTCAATCTATTTTGTCTCCAATATTGCAACAGGGTTGAATCCCTATGCATAATCTGTTAGTAATTCTGCTGACAAAAGATCACTTACAGTCAGTATATCTGGTATTTAAACCTTAAAAATCTAATAAAATTTGCACAACTTTATATCAGTCTATGAGTGCAAAGCACAATAGTAGTACAGTTTTGGCACAGACTGAATTCCTAGCTTAGGCAAGACAAAGTATTTGAAAAACTGGCCCAATACTTGTGCAAAGGCAGCTGTGGTATGTCATGGGCATAGTCCAGAGTGAGATGTAATAGGTGCCTCCCGGGGACACCTTTAGTGAGTATCTGCTACAGCTACAGTCAATAATTAGGTAGTTCCTAGCAGTCAAGTTTCATTCAGTGAATAATAGCAAAATTTGATGAGTCGCTTCATGAAATTAATACAACAATTTGATCAAAATAATATGCAAAAGCAGTACCATTTTGAAGTCAAACAGCTGTGCAACATAATGCAATGGCGCAAGAATTTCTTCTTGGTAAGGAACTCAGAGAAAAAGCTAAACTCCAGATTCCAAACTCTCAACTTTCCCCGAATTAACAAGGCAGCAAATGTGCCTCTGGGGCAATGGCAAATATCAGATATATAAACAAAGGCCCAGAGGCGCATGAATGCACCTACAGTCACCTTAAGCCCCGGGAAGCGGAACCATGTAAAAAATTGGGTCAAGTTCTGCCCAGTAATCAGACAAAATGAATGGAGGGGGGTAGGCGATTTCTAAAAGAAAATTCAACAAATCTGGAATATGTTAGGTCTTGTAATATTCTTTTTGAAATGATACCCTTCTAAGATATGAGATCTATTAAAAAGGTGCAATCGTCACCAATGTGCAATGGTCAATAGTTTTCAAAAACTTTTTGCAAAACTACTTCGATAGATTTCGATTCGATACTACTGTTTGTATGTGTGTGTGGTCCAGTTTAGGTTGTTCGTGATTTCAATTCCTAGATAAATATTATATTGAATGTGAGTCACAGATTTTAATTCTTCCCCTAACATAGTTTACATGTGTGTGATGGGTGATTTACGTCTGTGAATACCCAGTACATAGCATTTTGAAGGATGGAATTTCATTTGCCATGGATTTGTCCAGGAGACCAGTTTGTCATAGTCATCCTGGAGTAACTTAGTGTGTCCTGTTAAAGTTCTCGACATACGTGAAGAGTAGGCTGTCATCTGCAAATAGTATGAGGCTGGTTGTTGGTGATAAGTCGCTGCCCATATCATTGATATAGACGAAGAAGCAGAGCACCGTTCCTTGTACAGTCAGCACCATCTATCTAATATAATAGAATGAAGTCCGGTAACTTAGTCCGGTGACTTTGATCAGTGATATTACATGTTTATTCAACTTTCATATTTTTGTAACTAGTCAGAAATTATTTTTTTTACATTTCTTGGCGATCTATAAATAGATATGAGGTCATGTCCATGAGCGGAGTTTTGGACCAAAAAAGTAAGAAATTTGAACTTCAAGCTCAATATCTACAGTTTGCAAGCGATTCTGACCATGTTTTATGTAGCCCTTTAGAGTATTGAGACTACCCTGCGTGCAGAGTCTAGTTAAACTACACTCTGCCTAGTAGAGACCATATTACAGTTTAGTAGCCCCGCCCCCACAACGGGTACCGGTGACAGTTTGGGTAAATCACTTTTGACCTACGCGCTGACCTCCCACCAATCAGCGAGCTTGAAGAAACATACGCCAAATGCATTCTAATTAAATATGCGCATGTCATTGGTCAATTCCGGACTCAACGATGACGTCAGAAGGAATGACCATATAAAGAACGTCGGTAAAATTTGGCCAACGAACAGTGATTGGCACGGTGAGTTCACAGGTTTATTTTAGTTTGAAAGAGTGAAGACGAAGCTCTCTTTGAAGAAGTGAAGTCAAACGAATGCAAAGGGTACATGTATATTGAGACTCAACTGAACTTAAAAATTAGGTAAAATATACACCAACTCAGTGGTTATGACCAAACAAAAATGGAAGTCCAAACAGGAAGTCAAAAGAGTAACCGCACTTTCAGTCTAATTATTGAATAATGAAGATTGATAGTGCTCACTGTGGTTCCTTCGAGGGACACCCGAATTCACTGGTGTTCTTGTACTAGATTCCCCATCCAGTACTACCTGTTGGGACCTTCAACGAGCCAAGATCTGAGCCAGCTCAAGTTGTTTCCACTAATTCCATATTGATTAAGCTTTAGGAATAGGTGCTCATGTCGGGGCTCATGTGCGACTGTATCAAACGCTTTGGAAGTCCAGTACCACTCCGTTCATTTTGCTCAATTTGTTTGATCACCGTGATTGAGAAAAGAGAATTTATCCTTTCGTTCAGAACTTGACTGATTTTTAAGCATGTTCCCGGGGCCTACATGTATGTCAGTCACGGTGAATCGTTGATGTAAACAAACACAACAAATCACAACAAGAATCAGAAAATCCAAATATTTTTTTCAACATTTAGATTTAGTCTAGGCTAGTCTTATACAAATATTCTCTTGTAAGACAGGGTCATAGTCTTGCATCAATATTAAGTCCTAAGAATGATGACAAAAAATCGCTTGTATATTGATATATAGGCACCAAATACGATAAATTCACTTACTTCTAAGATCTCTGTAAGACATTTTGAAACTATTTTTCGCGCATGCGCAGAATCAGATCTAGTAACCATCAACTCCACTTTTCAGTTCAGTTCAGACACTTTCATAGTTCACAATACATCCTGCACGAGGATTATTCAGGTAATCCAGGTAATGTATATAATTGGAGTACTAAGAAGTTAATTTCACGCCGGCCTATTTGTAGAACCTCCACAAATAAATCCCATATGGAAAATGCAAAGTGCGAACAATAATATGAATGAAGTTTTTCGTTCGTATTTTAATCGTAGTGATAAATTATTTGCGCATGCGCAAAAGTAAAACAACAATCTCATCAGAGGTCGATCCGCTGGATATGAATCATTCGTAATAATCCGTACAAACTAAGACAAAAAAATGTTTGGAAGGTCAACAACAGGTTTTGATAGAGCTCTAGGTAAGTTTGAAATACCAATTTTAGCAGATAATTCTCATTCGGTCATAGAAAGAAACTTTCTTGAGATTTTGATCAACCGGAAGTCAGACTCGGCCCAGTGGGATCTCAGTGGATCGCAATGGAACAAAAAGTAAGGAGAGTTCTACCAGTGACAATACATGAATAAATAGAATTGAAGAAGGAATTGAGATTGGTATGCCGGAGAGCCACTTGTGTCAACTGAATACCTTTCCGGAAAATTCTGAAGCTGCCCATCAATTCAGCATAACTATCACGGACGTCAAATACGTTCTTCGCATGCTTGTTAGCCGTCATCTTAGTCTCAAATCAGTCATCTCAATAGACATAGCCCTCGACACAGTGAGCACTAAGGGAGATCCATCGAACTTTGACACATGGGGCTACTTCGTCATGGGTATATTTTGAGCATGTTTGTTTTTTGAAAATTTTAAAAATAGATCAAAATCTCCAACAGATGAGATCTTAATCCAAAATGACCGATCCTGGAAATTTGAATTATCGGCAATGGTCGAAATAACCACATGGTCGAAATAGCCCCATGACGAAGTAACCCCATACGTCGAAGTTCGATGGATCTCCCCTATCAATCTTCATTATTCAGTTATAAGACTGAAAGTGCGGTTACTCTTTTGACTTCCGGTTTGGACTCCCATTTTGTTTGGTCATAATCACTGAGTTGGTGTACATTTTACCTTATTTTTTAACTTCATTTGAGTCTCAATACTGTAGGCATTATTTTGATACCTAAAACATGGTCAGAATCGCTTGCAAACTGTAGATATTGAGCCTGAAGCACAAATATCCTACTTTTTGGGCCAAAACTCCGCTCATGGACATGACCTCACATCTATTTATAGATCGCCAAATTAAAAAAAAAAAATTTTCTGACAAGTTACAAAAATATGAAAGTTGAATAAACATATAATATCACTGATCCAAGTCCCTGGCATGAGAAAAAAAATATTTAGAATTTTCTCTTGAAAGCTCATATTCTAAGTAAACAGACTTCATTCTATTATATTAGATACTAGATAGATGGTGCTGACTGTGGCCCTCAATATCTTTATCATACCTGCGTCATCTCAATTTATTAGAGCACTTTTGTTAGGCCTATAGGTAAATTATTAGATATATCATTGTAGAGGTTGTTTACTTCGAGGGATTCAATATAGGTTTTATTCTGAGGGACAATATGATATTTTCTGAGGGCACAGCCACAGAGGGCCAGAGCCATTTTTATGTTTGTCATTTTATGATTTTTGCGACAACTGAAAAGGTAGTAGAGGAATATTGTAAAAATGTCAGCCGTGGCTGTTCGATCTGATTTGCTACGCTTTGGCATTGCTGTTATCTGGCCTAGTTTAACAGTTTTTTGCAATATTTTTTTTAGAGAAGGCAACAAGCCAGTTATTGCTTGAGCCAGATTGGGACTCTATACTCCAGATATGTGATCATATACGTCAGAATGATATCACACCAAAATATGCCATGAATGCTATAAGAAAAAAGGCTGGTCATGAGAATCCACATGTTGCAATGTTTGCATTACAGGTAATTAATTAAACATTTATGATTGTCCAAAATATTTTGAAAAATGTTGTGCTTTGGAAAGTCTGTATTTAACAAGGTATAATATTCAGTTATCAGATCGCTAGAAATTTTTATTGAATAGTTGTGTTTGTACCATTGTTACCATAGTGATTCATGTAAGGAATAGGGTACGCTATTCAAGTCATTAATTTGGATGTTTTTAGAATTATTCCTTATTTTGCATATTTTACAGAGTCCACAGTTCTAGCTTTCTTTCAGAGAAATCTTTTGAACGTTAAACCTGCCTGAGTCAAGCAATTGAAAAAGGGAGATCTCTGCGTCCTAAATGCTTTCTATATTTGAATCAGATATTCTTTTTTCAGACAAATATTAGAATTACATTAAATAAGTTCATAGTCTGGTAATATTAAATCCATATTGTCACAGACTTTATCACAATTTTTTGTTTTAGACGTTTCGAATGCAAACTGCATCCATTTTTTTCCTGTATTTACCTGATTTACAAAATCATGTCTTTTTGCTCACTTCAGTCATACATGATGTGTTAGGTATGATTAGTCTTCAACATTTATTACATTGCCTCTGGCATATGGAGATCTTAAAACTTTCTTGTACCTGAAATCAAATCACATTTTTTATTGCAGGTGCTGGAATCAGTGGTGAAGAACTGTGGATCTGGAGTGCATACTGAGATAGCAACCAGAGAGTACATGGAGTACATGAAAGAACTTGTTAAGGTAAGGGTTGCTGTCCATGTATCTATATTTTCTTATGGTTTTACTTTCCCCCTCCCCTCATCTAACAAACTTTTTAAATGTTGACTCAAGTCTTTTACTTAATAAATAAAATCAACAACAATCAATTACAAACTATCATTTACCCCCGCCCTCTCTAATGAAACTAACTTTGTTATTCCGTGACTGGACACTATCCCTTAACATAAACACCGCATCACATTGCCTTATTTTGCAACCTCTAACATTGGAGTCATTTGTAAGCCAAGTAAACAGTTCCACATGAAGAACTCATTGCCTTTACTGCCCGCAATTCTCTTTGGTCAAAATGTACAGGTTCCAACTTGAGATTTGACCATTTAGGGTCACCCGCACTATGTCCTTTTACTTTAGTAACTCAAATTCAATGATATTACATTGTTCTTATTGACTTTGATCTATCGAGCCTTGTCCACCAGGAAACATTGATGTATTGATGTTTACTTTGATCTCAATAGACATTTTCCCTGTGAGATGACCTAGTATTGTACTGTTTTCCAATCTTTGTTCATATGTACTCATTTAAATCTATTTTATGAATTTAGCTGCGAAGTGATCCTGTTAAGGCAAAGCTTCTCGAACTGGTTCAGGTTTGGTCACATGCCTTTAGAAATGATCCAAGTCTCAAGATGATACAAGATACATACCATCTCATGAAAATGGAAGGTGAGTATTCAATGACAGTATGTTAATCCTATTCTTTGACCTATTTGAAGTGTGTAAAGCAGATTTGTAAAATGTTGTTTATTTAAAGTGTTAGGATATGTCTGCCTAAAATATATTTATTTCCAAATATATTCTACATCAGAGTCTGATGCTTTGTTTGTTTTTAATACTTTCAGGCTATTCATTCCCCACTCTGAAAGAGTCTGATACTTTGTTTGTTTTTAATACTTTCAGGCTATTCATTCCCCACTCTGAAAGAGTCTGATACTTTGTTTGTTTTTAATACTTCCAGGCTATTCATTCCCCACTCTGAAAGAGTCTGATGCTATGTATTTTATACTTTCAGGCTATTCATTCCCCACTCTGAAAGAGTCTGATGCTATGTTTGTTTTAAATACTTTCAGGCTATTCATTCCCCACTCTGAAAGAGTCTGATGCTATGTTTGTTTTAAATACTTTCAGGCTATTCATTCCCCACTCTGAAAGAGTCTGATGCTATGTTTGTTTTTAATACTTTCAGGCTATTCATTCCCCACTCTGAAAGAGTCTGATGCTATGTTTGTTTTAAATACTTTCAGGCTATTCATTCCCCACTCTGAAAGAGTCTGATGCTATGTATTTAATACTTTCAGGCTATTCATTCCCCACTCTGAAAGAGTCTGATGCTATGTATTTAATACTTTCAGGCTATTCATTCCCCACTCTGAAAGAGTCTGATGCTATGTATTTAATACTTTCAGGCTATTCATTCCCCACTCTGAAAGAGTCTGATGCTATGTTTGCTTCTGAGAAGGCTCCCGAATGGAAAGATGGAGATTGCTGCCACAGATGCAGAGTTCAGTTTAGCACATTTCAGCGAAAGGTAAACAGGGTTCAGATTTGAAATGTTTATGGTATACCAAAAAAACATTGTCATTACAGTATCTCTAAAAGTGAAAGGGATTGTATAAAATAAGTATCCCTGCTACTATTTTATCTTAAATACTTTCGACTATAATTATTTTGTTACCTTATAGATGTGCTGCTTTCTCAAGTTAGGTTTTGACCTGACTCCCAGCTGGCCAAAACTGTATGCAATAAAGAATTGTAATAACTGTTTTACAGCACCATTGCCGTAACTGTGGCCAAGTGTTTTGTGGTAAATGCTCCTCTAAGAACTCCATTATCCCACGATTTGGTATTGAACGAGAAGTTAGAGTATGCGAGGCGTGTCACGATGTACTCAACAAGTAATTATACATTGATAGTTACAATTCACTTAATAAGCAAGTTTGTAAGGCTAGCCGCAATATGTTGAACATAGAAGTTTGTAAATCCTTCGAGATTAATTCCTTTTGACATTCACAAAGGGGCTTTGATTCATTTTTGACTTGTGCTTTGTAGGGGATCAGAGGGCTCCAAGAGCAAGGATGATGATGAGACTCTTCCCCAGGAATATCTCAACTCTCCACTCTCCAAGCAGCCACAGGTAAATGTCTTTGTAGGCCATATTGTTGAATAATAAGCATAGCTTTACATTGAATGTAATGTAATCTCATGGCGCATTACACAGCCTCTACTATTCTCAAATAAAGAAATAAGAAAATAGGTTTAATATCTGAAAAGTGACCAAACAAGGCATTGACATTATTACTGTTTTGCATTTAAAAGGGAATATTTTAATCTGTAATACAGTCACTACTATTTGATTATTTATCAACAATTTTGTCTGTCAGACTAGGTTCTTCAAAGGGCTTTTGCTAGTATTAAGTTTAATTTAGGGAAGAGTGTCTTCGTTACAGACCCCTTCAACTGGAGGAAGCTCAGGAGGGAAGACGGATGAAGAATTGCGTGAAGAAGAGGAACTTCAACTCGCTTTAGCTTTATCTCAAAGTGAGGCTGAGAGTTCTAAGGCTAAAACAGTAAGTTTTTATAAAGATTCCTAATATTAAATAATTTATTTCAAAATTTAAAATGTGATAATATTTTGAATTTTTATAGCATACTTCTCTGTTCAAAGCTTTATCCCTCTGATATTACTCTGTGAAAAATGGTGTAACAATTGTAACATGGAAAAAAGAAAATTTCACTGTAACACCTTAGAAAAAGCTGTGATTATTTTAAATGACTCCGAAAATGTTTAAATTCATAATGGTAAAACCATTCAATTGACTCTTCACTTGAACATACAGATGCTGATTAAATAACACAAATTGAAGAGTTTTGTAAATTTTACACAAAAATTGTACAAAAGTGGACAATATCTGTAACTTAGTTGAAAAGAATTATGATAAGGAATAGTAAACATTTTAATTGGGATAAGATGCTGTCATTTATTATTTGCTCCTTTCAGAAGAACAACTACTCGTTGCATGGCAGCCAGAAGTCGGACAACAGCCACAGTAACATTCAATCAAACAATGCCATCTTAAACCAGACGCAGGTACTAAAACTGATTGGCAATGCCATGTTAAAGAATAACTTAGTTTGAAATATCTTTCCTTTATGTATCAAAGAACCTCATGATGTGATGAATAATATATAGCATATATTATAGTCCAAGACTGTAAATAGGTACAAACTTTTGATTTCTCTGATGTGAAACTGGATGCCCATTGTTTTTCAATACCCTGTATATGATTTCAGTCAGTAAATATTTGATATATGGTAACTTAGAATTTGTCCATTTCTAAACAGGTTGCACCAATGATGGATACCAGTGATATGGATCCAGAGCTGGCACGCTATCTGAACCGCAACTATTGGCAACAGAAACAGGAAGATTTGAAGAGTTCTACTGTTTCTACAACAACTCCCAGTGCACCTGCACCCACAGCAACTAGTGCTAGCAGTGAACCCAAGAACACGAATGTTGTTAGCTCTCAGCAAACCCCTAAAGTGCAAGAGGTAAGGAGAAAATAATATTGTCTGATAATACTGTCATCACAAACTTGCCTGTCCAACACTTAACCTATTATCACAAGCTTTTGGTGATTTGTTAAGTGATACATCTGGTGATGGATGAAGCTAAATTAAAGGGTTTGCCCTCTGTTCATTATTTTATTTTTTAACCTGAGAACATGAATGTGAATCATCCATTACATTATTAAAGTCTCGAACTTTTTATTATTTTTTTGGCTCACACAGTGAGCCTATGGGATCGACCAGGCGTCCGTCCGTTGGTCCGTCCGTCCGTTGGTCCGTCCGTCAACATTGGCCGCACAAATTAAAACTGCTATTCGGATTGAGTCATATCCACAGTCATTTTATGCATATCCATAATGCCTATTTGACCTATCAACGCCATTTCCCAAGTTCGCCCGGTTTTCGAGAAATTGCTGATTTTGACGTCAAAAAGTCAAATTTTCTGTAAATACTAGACACTTTGTTGAAGTAGAACTTTCAAATAACTTGTAATAGTTGCTGTATATGCAACTTATGTCCTCTGAAGGTTTCAAAGCTCTTGGAATTACAGTTTTTGGTGTTTACTCAATAAAATTTGACAAAAAGTAGGACTTAGTCATTTTCAGGGAACTTTCTTATGTATAAAGTCAATGGCAGGTTTTGTGATTGACAAGTTTCTCAAAGTTTGCCTTATACTTGATCATTTCTTGCAATGAATTACATCATAACTAGATTTAAGCATTCCCTACATATTGCTCAATATATGTCAGCATCAGATTTTTACCGTTTTTGAGATCAGTAAAAATAAGTTATTTTCAACTTGCTTCAATTTGACCAAATTTTTTTTGAAAATCATCTACAAGTTACCAGGAGTTCAAATCTGACATTAGTTTTAGGATTTGACCTTTACCTGACCTTCAGTGACCTTTGAAAGGTCAAAAAAGTTGATTTTTCAAATTGATTTTTGGATGTAAATTTTGGTCAGGTTAATCACATAAGACCTTACTGAGCTCTAAATAAGTAAAATTTTCAAGGTCAAAGGTCATCAAACCAGGTCACACAACTGTGCTGTCTAAGTTTCTCAAAGTTCGAGACTACAAATCGAAATCAATATTTTTGTTTGAAAGTCAGGATATACATTCCTCTGAAGGTTCCAAACTGTGTGAGCACAGGACCGTGGGTCCTATTTTTTTGGATGGTGTTCGGTGTTCTAAGTTTGGTGTCTATTACAAATTCTTACAACTTCCAATAACTAGTGCCATTTTGATAATGCCTTGTTCCTAGGAATATCACGAGGAAAAATTAGAAATGAAACATTAAATTCATTATATTTATTTTCTTTTGATTATAGCAGATGCAGAATGGTGAAACTGAAAATGTTGACAGAGAGCAGTTTTTGAGTGCATTGAAGTCGAGTGTTGAAATATTTGTTAATAGGATGAACAGTAACTCAACTAGAGGTCGCTCCATTGCAAATGATTCCTCTGTTCAAACATTGTTTATGACATTGAATGCCATGCACCCACAGCTGATGGAGTATGTGCAACAAGAGGAGGACTCTAGAGGTACCATTAAAAACATCCCTTCTCCAAGTTATTAAAATTAACATCATTTTAACAGTGGATTGAAAATGATCATAGATTAGCAATGTTATCTAAAAATATTCCAAGTTCAAATTGTTAATCTTTAATAAGGCTAAGCCCATTCATCTTCATGTTCTTGGATGTATCTTTGAATGTTGGGCAGGGGATACCAATGACACAACGAATTGAAATCTCAAATAGTTTCTGTTGGTTCTGCTCCTATGTCAGTATGTAGACGACAATTGAAAACATGTGTCCATGTGAGATTTACTATATATGCAAGCTAGAATTGCTTCAATTGAATGTCTTCTATATTTCTAGCTCACTATGAGTCCCTGCAGGACAAGCTTGCTCAGCTACGTGATGCTCGTGAGGCTCTTGATGCTCTCAGGGAGGATCACATGGAGAAGAAGCGCCAAGAGGCAGAGGAACTGGAAAGACAGAGACAGATTCAAATGGCCCACAAACTTGAGATCATGAGACAGAAAAAACAGGTACTTCCTTCTCACCATAAGGCCTTAGAGAAAAGTTTAGAAAACCATCTTCTGACATATTTATTTAGAAGATATACTTGCAAGTGCCTCTATGCTTTAACGTTGACAAGTTTGTTGTCCAGAATTTAATATAAATGATTTTATTTCTAGGAGTACCTGGAGTACCAGCGACAACTTGCCCTTCAGCGAATGCAAGAGCAGGAGAGAGAAATGCAGATGAGGTTTGAGCAGCAGAAGCAAATGACACAAATGAGACAGATGCAACAGTATGGGAGCTTTCAACCTCAGGTAAGGGAACTCCTGTGTGTGACATTTGAAATTCAGCCATTCTTCAATACATGTATGGTGTATACTTATGGTGTAATATCTGTACTCAGGGTAAATCAAAAGACATTAGATTAATTTGTCGATATCATTTTGTTGAAGGGTTACCCTGCACCTGGTGTTGGAGGGTACAGTTCAGTTGAGGGATCCCCACAGCACTATCCTCAGCCCCAGCAAGGCTACCAGCAACCACCAGTGCCACCTATAGCCAACAACCAGGGGGCCCCTGGTTCAATGATTATGCCTCCTGTTGGCATGGTGGCACCCCCTGGTGGTCAACAGTATACACCAGCAGGCTACACACACCCAGCAGGGCCCCAGCAACCATTCCTGCCACAGGGGGCAATGGCTGGGGCACCTCCAGTGAGCACTGCCTCTGGTACATACCAGGCTCCCCCTGGTGGAAGCTACCAGCAGCCAAGTCAAGGCAACTACCAGCCTGCACCTGCCCCTGTACAACAACAGGGATACACACAGCCTCCTCAGTCTATGGACTACCAGAGTTTCAACCTTCAAAGTATGTTTTCTACCACTTATTATTGTTTATACTTTTCCTCTGTATTCTGTACAGTTGAAACCTTGTAAATTCAATATGAAACCTTACTGTATTGTCACATTCACATTTGTTTATTGATATCTAATTATATGCCTAGCTTGCACTTCAATTGTTTAATCTGTGTATGTGTGAACCAGATTTGTGGGATGTAACTTGGTTGTCATTTAAGTGATCCAATTGCCTTAGCCTTCTGTATTTAGTATTACATAAACAGCTACCTGTAGTTTAATAAATTATTTCAAAAATAATTTAACAAATGATGTGATTGCAGGCATGAACTCGGCACTGCCCAGTATTCCAAGTCAAGTGGGCCAACAAGGGGCTTTCCCTCCCCCAGGACAAACTCAACAGCAACAGTACATGGCACCACCCCCAGGCCAGGGACAACCTCCCCCTCAACAAGGCCAACCTCCCCCTCAACAGGGACAACCTCCCCCTCAACAAGGCCAACCTGAGCAGTTGATATCATTTGACTGAAGCACTGTAGAGAAGAATTTTGCTGTCTATGAACTGAAAGGACATTGACCAAAATATGAAGCCACATAACTATATTATTAATGTATCTGTATAACCTTGATCAAAGGATGTACTGCAGAAGAACTGTTTAAACCTAATTAGTATATGTTGAAGAACGTAACATATTAGCTCTGGCTCTAAGAAAATGGATAAAAAGTCAATGTTGTAGGAAAAAACTATATAATATTCCATTATTCGATTAATAGATGGCACAATTATTGTAGATACACTTAATTTTGCCCCCAGATTGATTTGGCTATCAGTAAAATGTGCCAAATTTAAATTCCACCAATTTTCAGAACTAAAGTTTCACTTGTGCGAGTATTCCTATTTGAATGTTGTTGCTACACCAAGACTTATCGTATGATCTGTAAAATGAAGCCTTCTGATTGGTCAGTTCTTGTTCTGTACCAATCTGTATTGCTACTGAGATTGTTCCCATTGATCATCTCCGTCGCAATACAGAAAATATTAGTATGGAGGGGATATTCTCAGTAGCAATACAGAGGGTCACACGATAAAAAAGTTATATAATGATTTGAAGTGCAATACAGGGTATATTCTGCTCTCGATATTCTGTATTGGCACTCGACTTGGTCTCGTTCCAATACGGAATTTCTCGAGCAGAGAATACCCTGTATTGCACTCCAAATCATTCAATAACCTATATTACTGTAAGCAGTGCACATGAATCTGAAATTTCCAGATTAGTGATAAACTGAATCTGCCAAATTAAGTAGTGGCAAATTAAGTGTATCTACAGTACTTGGCATGTATAGTAGTTGACCTATAATCAGTAATGTATTGAAATCATTCTGAATCATTTGAATTTACTGCTAGCTACTGAAGAAAAAAAGAAGTGAAAGACCATTGGTCTGAGGATGTATATTGCTAGTTTCTATTGAAAACCGGATCACGATTGTAATACTGAACAGTATTTGGTTGTTCAAATGTGATTTGGGTCAAAAGGGTTCATTCAAGGAACCAATGCTAGCCAGATTTTCTGTCAAATAACATTGTGTATAATATCCATCAACATATACTATACTCCATATTATGATTGGTCTTTTGTTCATAAATACATGAACATGTAGTACTATTTAATTATTAATGTCCTTTTAAAGAGGATGAACATGTAGCAATTTGTGCAATGAAAATAATAATTAATTTTTCTGATTTAAAAGGGTGTTAATTGTAGTCTCAAAGATGCAACGATAGCAAGAAAATGTGGATTTATTTACATAATTTAAAAGGGTGTTGATTGTAGTCTCGAAGATGCAACGATAGCAAGAAAATGTGGATTTGTTTACAGATTGAGAAGCTCATTTGTAATGGAAGCTATGCTTGCATGTTTTGTCGCAAAAAATTATAATTTAAGATTTAAAGAATAATATATATCCTATTAAGGAACATATTAATAAAACAAATTGAAAAATGAAAGAACTTCTGTTTTTATTTGATTCCCTTTCAATCTCTCCTTAAAATGAAAGATTTCCAAACTAAACTGCGTCCTTGTTACATGCTCATTGATAATACTTCCATAGAACAAAACAACATTTTATGTATGTGTATGCATTTATTTTATTCAACTACTGCACAGAATATTGCACAAAACACAAGACAAATAACCTACTTGGGATAATTCCAATTAATTGGTTATCATCTTAATGGGACCTGTATGAGATCATTTAGAAGTCAATGAATTAAGCCTATCTTTATTTTCATCATTTACAAATTGCAAAGTCCAAATCATATTCTATCTATTTTAACTTTTAAGTGATACTTTTGGAATTTACTGCTGTCTCATGGCACCTGATAAAACAAGTTTTAAACTAGAATTCCCACCCCCCACCAAGCAGCGCCATGTTGTGATACAACAGTTCATTTTTGTAACCATGGGGATCAGTGAATATGATAAATACATTATTTCTCATTAGGTGCTATTCATGAAAAGATGACAGTAGGGGTCTATAATTATATCTCTGTCAAAAGTGAAAAGGGGGAAATGATCTCCCATATTTCAGCAATAGTATGACTTATTATTTAACATCCCAATACAGATTGATTGAAAATGTTTGTTTCAATTAAAACATCATTCAGATGGTGGGGATTATTTCAAAATGAAATCAGATTGTGAAAGAGGTTATGGCTATGGCTTAAAGATATAAATGGAATAAACAAACCACTACTGTTATCTCTTATGTCCTGGAATGGTGCCTATCATATGAAATATTATTAACTTAGCATTGGTACATGAAGAGAAAAAATATTACATTCATGTCACATAAATTTCTTAACTGTATAAAGCATTATCATACTGTGGTCCCATCTCTCTCATTTTAATAGTTATTCAAATAAATACTATTCAGTAGAAATTATAAATAGAAATTACACTGTACATCTTCTATATATGATCAGCAGTAATATCATGATTGGCAAGAGTATTTAATTGGAAGGTTATTGTCCATGATACATTTAATCTAAGAACCTCCTAGTATCAATCGTACATGTACATCCTTTTATTCTGCTATTGTATGTTGCAATGTCCAAGTGTCAGACTGCATGTTACGCAATGGAATTTTGCCTGGTGTTGCCTAGCAATGGTTGTATTGGATTTTCTTCATCTTCATCAATTTCATCATGGCCTATACCATTAATGCACTTTTCTTCATCTTAAAATGAAAACACAATTTCCAAAACAAAAGTTATACAAGGGTTTTTTGAGTTTCACCAAAACGTTTGTATTAATCAAATAGAGAACTAAGTCTTGAACTGGAGTATGCACATGTAAGCCCCAGTCTTTTTCATACAATGCCTAGGTTTGGTCTGGTCTGGGGAGTTTTGTAGTTTTCTTCATGGCGGAAAAGTTGTAGCAAAACAAAATTATAAATTGTTTTGTCTTAAGGCAGTTGCTCTGCTCTTAAATGCAGAACTGAGTACTACTAACTATTATCTGAATAAGACCATGAAACAGTTTTGATGCTAAGATCAAATGACCCCCAAAATAGATGTCATAGGTTTGAACGTGAAATAAATGATAGTTACACATGAATTGAAAGCATAGAATTCTTCTGATTAGGTAGCTGGGTTTTGTTTGACCTATTCTTAGTACCCTTATTGGGTATAGTATAGGCTTGATCAAAGGATTATCTCACCTATTCTTAGTACCTTTATTGGGTATAGTATAGGCTTGATCAAAGGATTATCTCATCTATTCTTAGTACCCTTATTGGGTATAGTATAGGCTTGATCAAAGGATTATCTCACCTATTCTTAGTACCCTTATTGGGTATAGTATAGGCTTGATCAAAGGATTATCTCACCTATTCTCAGTAACCTTATTGGGTATAGTATAGGCTTGATCAAAGGATTATCTCACCTATTCTCAGTACCATTATTATCCCAACGAACGAAGTTCAGTAGGGATATAGTGAAGCCCTCCGTCCGTCAGTCAGTCCGTCCGTCCGTCCGTCCGTCCGTCCGTCTGTCCGTCCGGAAGATAATTCAAATACTAGAAGACAGACTTTCTTCATATTTAGCGGAAAGATGTGTATTGGTGAATAGTTTTACGCAAAAACTGACCCCCAGGGGCCCTGTATGGGCGGTCAGGAAAACAGAGATTTTCGCTAATTTTTAGATCTTTCTGAAGTATAGCTTTATTATACTCATATGAAAGGCAATTAAGAGTAGATTGCAAATATTGTATCTTTTTTCTGATTCGAGCCTCGTAAAATTCAAAATGGCCGTCTAATGTATGATTACGCAATAATTTTTCGATCCCTTCAAAGTATGGCTATATTATACTCATATTGAAGGAATTTTGGAGTAGATCACAATTATGGTATTATTTTTCAGATTTGTACCTCAGAAAATTCAAAATGGCTGCTTTGCAGGAATTCGCAATTCTAAAATCTAATTTTTTCAATTTTAACCAAAGTAATGAGTATAATTGATTGGAATTCAGTAATTGATATTTTGTTCGTTGGGATTTGCTACTCCGCGGAGTTGCCGTTATCTAGTTGGGTATAGTATAGGCTTGATCAAATGATTATCTCACCTATTCTTAGTACCCTTATTGGGTATAGTATAGGCTTGATCAAAGGATTATCTCACCTATTCTCAGTACTATTATTGGGTATAGTATAGGCTTGATCAAAGGATGATCTCACCTATTCTTAGTACCCTTATTGGGTATAGTATAGGCTTGATCAAAGGATTATCTCACCTATTCTCAGTACCATTATTGGGTATAGTATAGGCTTGATCAAAGGTTTATCTCACCTATTCTTAGTACCCTTATTGGGTATAGTATAGGCTTGATCAAGGGATTATCTCAAACTCAGTCTTTAGATTGAGCTCTCTTTTAAAGAAGCAAAATTAAGAAGGGAAGTTGCCTCATACACAGATAGTAGGAATTAAAATATTAACCTGGCAAGGTTGAGAAATCAGCAGCTTCCTCTGTAGTATTGGCACTTCTGAAGCCTGGAATATCTGCCTTTAATAAAACATCCAACACCTGAATCTGCAATTGGGGGAGTTAAAGGTTAGAGCATGTATTATAAACTGCATACAAATATCTAAGACTCGTATGTTCCATACTTTAGAACATTTACTTGGCCAATCGCATTCGTTGATGCATTCATTCGTTATAGTCTATAATATCTGTAAAATTGAAATGAGAGTCAAGGGCATGAAGTGACTTGACAATATAACATAGTATTCTGTATAAATAGATTGTAAATGAATTATATTTCTATTTACTGTCCTAAAAACATGTACAATGTAGTCTAATAGAGGTTGCCTTTGGATTGCCAAACTTATGAAAGGGACATTGCAGATGTTAACCCACAAAGAAAGTCAGATTAAAAAGCCAGAATATCTGCAAGATTAAGTTCCAAACAAGTTTTTCTGAAGGTCAGCAATTCAAACACGAGAATGCTAGCCCCAGAGATGTACTTTTCAGGTAATTCAGCCACTTCAATAATAATCCAATCCCTACTCTAATGCCTTACCTGTACACATGAGAAAACAACACTGCACTTTTTCCTTTTCAATTCACCAATCACTCCCTCTATACCCTAAAACAGAACAACAAAATCAAGTCAATGAGAAAATACTGAAACATATTCATCTAGTATAGGGTTATATAGTTCCAGGTTCTTGCCACTGAATAGCAATATTCTAATATGAGTGGATGCTTTGGTTTGTATTTTTAGTATTTTTTACACACAGTTTTTTGAAAGCCTATCTCTAGGATTCATCTGGTATATGATCAGACTAACCTGTATCGTTGTATAGTCTATTGCAGATATGTGGGAACAATCAATAACTACCATCTTTGGTGGCCCTGAAAATTTGAAAACACAAATCCTATTACTTTTGGGGTTATTGGCTTTGTTTTGCAATAGTCCAATTAAAAGGTGGTTCTTAGTGTTTGTCTTTCCTATCATTACTGTTCATTGACATGATATCTATATACAATTGGTATTGTATTTTCCACATTGGATGAGGATTTCTATTTAGTAAGCAAGGTGAAGTTAAAACAAAAATATGAATGTTGATCACAGATTTTCTTTAAACATAATCAATTTGTTTGTGACTAAAATATAAAAGAGCTTGTATTGTGTGATTCCTGTTCAAATGAAACATATTTAACATAAGAAGTACAGTGTACTTAAAATAAGATATTGTACATATCCTTGAATTAAGATATTTAACTTTCGATAGAATACGATTCAAATATACATGTACATATATGACAACTGTTTGTTTATTTGAATGCTCTACCTTCATAAGAATATCCCTCAATTTGTTCCATGATATATTCTGTGCCAGGGAACATGAGTCCCTGGTTTGGCTGTAGAATGACAATATCCCTTGATGTCTCAGGACGGAGGGTAACCTATAATATGACATTCAACTAATCAGATTTTTTAATCATAGAATTTATATTACACATTACAGTAGAACCTGCTAAGTGGAACACCTCCGTAAGTGGAACACCTCGCAAGTGGAACGCTTTTTCAAAGTCCCGTTTTAAAAACCCATTGACTAATTGAACCTCTGTAAGTGGAACACCTCCAAACTTGAACAGTGAACACACCATATTGAAAAATTAACCTGCTAAGTGGAACAGTCAATTTTCCATAAATTTCAATATTGATACTTATGTAAACAGAATTAACCTCCTACAGTGATATCTGGGTATGAAAACAGGTAATAACGTGATAATTGGCAAATTAGGATTACCATATAGCAAATTGGATTAACCTCCTGTAGAGATCAACATGTGATGCTACGACTAATTAAATTGATTATTAGCAAATAAGAATTTCATAAGATTATCATTCATCAAATTGGATTAACCTCCTGTAGAGATGGACATGTGATGCTACCTCTAATTAATACCCCTTGCTGTTTGTTTCAAACTTGATAAGTAAGATTAAGAATGTCGGTTAAAAACAAATGAATTATTAGCAGTAGGAACATTAAAACTTAATTGTCAAATCTTTTGTGCCTGAGACTGGCAGAATGAGGAGGATTAAGAATGTCAGAAAACATTTTTGGCAGAATGAGGAGGATTATGATTGTCGGATACCTTTTTGAGTAAAACAAATGGATAGTTAATGGTATAATGCTGCCCTGCAATGAATGGAGAATCATATTTCCGGTGAAACATAAAAACCCTATATTTGATCTTGTATGTTCTTTAAATCCCCGCGAACCCAAAACCTCCGTAAGTGGAACAACTCCTAAGTGGAACGCTTTCTGGCAGAACGGAGGGTGTTCCACTTACACAGGTTCTACTGTACATTACTGAGCACTTGCAGTGGCTTTGCTACATGTATAGGCATTATCAGCCACTTGATTGACATTTGCAGGGTTAGTGCTAGGTGAAGAGAAAAGAAAAATGAGCTAGTCAGATTTTACAACAATGATATTTTACAGCAATAATTTTGATAACATGTTAAACTATATAGCTAGCTCAAACATAAGCAATGGTTAGAGCAAATCACATTTGAACAAGAGTTTTGTATTGTTTTGGACAATACAAGTGGGACTTATGTATGGCTCTTATAATAAAAAATCCATATTTGATTTATTGATGATTTTGACAATAATCAGACTGGTTTAGACACCTACTTTGACTGTTGGTCGGGCCAGAGGATAGAGTACTATGAATAGAGTCACGAGAATACCTATAAGGATTCCATACTGGAATAAAGTAAAGAGAAAACTATTTTACAATTTACAAGTGTGACACAGCCAAGTTAGGTGCAGGTATTTGAGTGAGAATCTACAGTTCTTGACAATACATATACTAATACTTGTAGATCATAAAACAAAATTGAAGAATAAACCTTTTATCAATTTTACTTTCTGTGACATGACTCAATCTGTGTTATTTGTGGATAAATAATGGGGAAAATGCATGACAGACAGAAAGACAAGTATTTAAAAGGAACCAAGCAATGATAATTTTAATTATAACATTTTACTTATCCCATGTAATTGCCAGTACTGCCAATTACTGCCTTGAGATAAAAAACACCTTTTCAGAGTTATAAAAGTAAAGTGTTCGATTGTCCCAAAACATCAACTGTAGTTTCAAAGTAACTTACTTCAATTCCTAGTGCAAATGAGAGCAGGAAAGTTATACCCAGTGGTATCAAATCCAATTCTGAAAGAAATGAGAACATAACATGCATACAACAATTCAAAACAGATGTACATGTATATCTGCAGGGAATTATCCTTTCAACAAAAAATAGTGATTTGTAGTCTTGAATTTTGATAAACGCAGAAAACACAGTTTGTGACCTATTTTGACGACTTTACACCTTGAAAATATTACTATTTCTGAGGTCAGTAGGTCTTTTTTGATTAAGCTGACCAAAATTTGAATCCAAAAAATCAATTGGAAGGTCAAATCTTAATACTAAGGTCAAATTTGAATTACTTGAAACTTTTAGGCCTAGATGATTTAAAAAAAGATTTGGTCGAATTGAAGCAAGTTGAAAAATAACCTATTTTTACTAATTTTTTTACTTCAAATATCTCAGAATTGGAAAAATATTAATACTACAGGGTGGGCCAAAAAAAACGCCACTTTTTTTTCAAAATGCTATAACTTTTTTCATTTTTGATACAAAATCATAATTCACATACCAAATGAAACTTGAGGTTGTTATCTAGCCATTGATCATGAATTATACACTTTTACTTGTATAAAATATGTCACCAGCGTCTCACTTAAACATGTGGTGTGCCATGAGAAATAAGCATAATTTGCATAATGTTCCTAAACTGATACGCCCTGATGACCGCAAGCTACCATATTCTCTGTATTTACCGCCCACTCTCTAATAAGCGCCCACCCCACTTCACAAAGTTCAAGAAACATCGAGGAATCAACAAGAATTGAAGAATATATCAGGAAAAAAATATTTCTCAAAATCCAGGAGCGGGCGATAATAGAGTACTTACCCTAAAACTGCTGTAAACACGACGCGTTTTGTAATTCTATGCATCCTCTCGATACATATCTATCGATGGGTGCTTCCCACACCATACCATGCTAATATTGTCTCCAAATAGTCCATAATGAATGAAGGAATTGTTCTTTATCGGCATTCAGAAATTTCAAAAGCTACTGCGCAGATGTTCTGCGCATGTCAAGGTCGTGAACTTTCTGGTTTCTTTTTAATGTTTCTCGACTTTTACACGACTTTTGCACGAATAATGATGATCTCTCATCAAATTAGAAATAATGTATAACTTTAGATCGATATCCAGCAGTCTCTAGTGGAAATATTGAAGGTAATCGGCGATAATGACAAAGTGGGCGTGCCGGAAATAAATTAGACATAGACGGGTCTTCAACCACTGTCAATATTGTCTAAGCGATCTTTACCGTATTCTCTCCAATAACAGCACTTGTCATATTATTATAAAAATATATGTTGAAGTAAATGCATTCTTGTCAAGAAAAATTGCCATACATGAAATTCCTCGGGATTTCTGATTTCTTTCATACATGGGCGCTTATTAGAATGGTCTAAATAATGTATTTTCAATTTTCTAAACGCCCTGGGCGCTAATTACAGAGAATACGGTAATAGCCTTAATTCAAACCCAAGTGAGTATAGGGCATGGGGAGGTCTCCAGGAGATGGTATGAAGGCACCCGATCTAAAAAATTGCTTAACTAAAGCTGGCAATTAAGACACATTGAAAAAAATATAGCTAACATTTCATTGATACTGCTATATCAGCAAGGCGACTAAAACTAAAATCTATCATCAAATGGGGTGGCGGACCAATTGAACTCCTCTTTTTAGATCAAATATAATCCCAGTTGAAGGACTCGTTACATTATATTATTACTAGGAACCCTTGGCACTATATAACTGCAAAATTTGGCGAATGTAGGTTGGAAAATAAAAAAGTTATAGTGTCTTGAAAAAAAGTGGCGTTTTTTTTGGCCCACCCTGTATATTAAGCAATTTGTAGAAAATGCTTAAATCTAGTTACAATTTAATTCCCCTCAAGAAGTAATGAAATAAAAGGACAAACTTTGAGCTGAGAAACTACAAAACCTGCCATTGACTTTATACATCAGAAAGTTTCCTGAAAATAAGTCCATACTTTTTGTCAAATGTGATGGTGAAGACACAAAAAACTGTAATTCCAAGAGCTTCGAAATTTGGCTTTTTGACATCAAAATTGGCAATTTCTTGGAAACAGGGTGAACTTGGAAAATGACAGGTCAAACAGGTCAAACTATGGATATCCATAAAATATTAATGTGAATATGATTCAATAAGAATAGCAGTTTTAGCTTGTGCAACCAATCATGATGGATCGACAGCCGGACCAACTAGTCTGTCTCTTGAAAGCCCTTGGTCCGACCAACAAGATGAATGCCTTGTCAATCCCAAAGGCTCACTGTGTGAGTCGAAAATCATTTGCCATGCTTGTGCGGGAAACTTGATTCTGCCTACCTTTTCAATTTCAAATTGTAATGTAATTCAAAAGAACTTACTTTTAACTTTCCATAGTTTCATGATTATCTTAAAGTCGACCATCTGAAGTACTGCAGATATGATGACTGCAGCCAGGGCAGACTGTGGAATGTAGTAGAAGGCAGGGGTAAGTACAGCTAGGGCCAGCAATATCAGACAACCTAGAAATATCAGAAGAGTACAGAAGATGTGATGACTCTCAGAGCTTGTGTCTAGGCAGAGCTGGGCAGATTTTAGGCATGGTTGTTATGTCTGATAACTGACTGTAGCTGGGTGAAATCAAGCGGCTTTCGGTAAGACACTGCTCATGTCTAGTATTGTGTAGTCCCATATGAAGGGTGACATTGAGCTAGGGATGGCCAAGGGAAGGTGTGCCAGTTTTTACAAGTTCAGTCAGGATTTTAACCTTCCCTATGAACAGACCCACCAATTTATGCCTAGCAGGTAATTTCATATTGGTTGGAGGGCTATCTAATTGGAATAGTGTTTTTCTCTCAGAAATACTCTCCTGCCATTTGTAGGGATATAAGAGAAGGCTAGAATTGGAAATAACATGAATGTTCAGACAGAGGGACACATTCTCTATATCACCCAAACCTTGATGGGATAAATACACTGAATAAGACACCTTCATCTTGTGGAAAGTCGTTCTGGTACCAGGGGTTCTTATACTCCCTTTAATGTCAGTACATGGCGAGTTATTCATGTTAAAGGCAATGACTTACCTGTGAATATACCCCCTGCTGGTGTTTTTACTCCACTTTGAGAATTGACAGCTGTTCTGGAAATAAAACATTCAACAGGTCTCATAAATAGATGTACACTACATACAGACAAATCAAAATGTTGACTTTGATATTAGTGAGCTTAAACTTAGTAGAGCCTCCTAGCTTACAAATATTAGTAGAACTAACTGTACTTTTAAATAAATAAATACTTCTGCCAAATTAAGTAGACACCAAATTCCTCAGTAATTTTAATTCCATGCATAGTTTTTTTGGCATGTAAATAGTACCACTAGTGCATTGTAATATTTTCAAGTCCCTCTACTTATCCATTTGCAGTGTGAAAAAGGGTTGGCTTTGAAGATGTATAAAGTGAAGACATGCCTACTTACCTAGAGAAGCTTCCAGTTACAGGGTAGGCAGATACAAAAGAACCAAGAATATTCGAGATGCCTATTGCAATCAACTCCTGGTTGGCATCAATTCTATAATTATTCTGCCGAGCTGGAAGAACAAAATAGCTACATACAGCAATACAAACAACTAGAAGGACAATAACTGCCGTTTGCGTTGACTCATCTAAAATGTCTATTGAGCAGTGCTTAGACAGTTCTCTGGTCAAACCTATCTCGATTTTTTGGATGATGTTTTTAAGTTTCCACTTTCTCTTGAATTTGGGCGTATGCCATGGTGCAGCAGACTAACAGCGTAACTAATATTTATGGATTGCTGGGCGGATTTTCATCTTCCAACTTTTTATAATGAGACTTACCAAATGCTTTCCCAATGGCAATAGTTTCGACTAGACTGAGCAATGGCACTACTCCAAAGCCTATCCCTATGTCCTGGAAATCAAGCAGAATCCTGAGTGTGTCATCAGAAGAGTCATGTTTTAATACAAAAGTCAAAATGGCTCAAACTCTATCCTCAAGTATCATTTCCAAACCAGAACAACGGCAAAGCCAAAGCGTAGCGAGTCCCATCGAACAGAAATGGCTGGCATTTTACAAACAAAATATATAGCAAATATCGTAAAATAACACACATAAGAAAGGCCACCATTTTCAAAATGGTTGCTCACTAGCCAAGTTGTCATCAGAAGGAGTAATATGCTTTTAAGTAGCCACATATAAAAATTTTAAAAAATCGCCCACGCATACATGTAAATGCTGGCCATTTTTTAAAATGGCCGCCTACTACCCAAAATGTCAAAGGACAGTATGCAATCCTTACGAGTATTCACATATTAAATATGAACAAAATCACTCTATTACTTTTTGAATTATAATAAAAAATGTAAAATAACACACATAAAAATGGTGGCCATTTTTCAAAATGGCCCACTACTCCCCAAAATTAGACAATTTTTTTAGACAATGTGCCATGCTAAAAGTATTCACATATCAAATATGAACAAAATTGCTCCAAAACTTTTGGAGTTATAGCAAAAAAAGTAAAAATGACGGCCATTTTTAAATTCGCCACTTTCTACGCGAAGTGTCATGAGACAGTGTGCAAGGCTCATAAGTATTCACATATCAAATATGAACAAAATTGCTCCACTACTTTCCAAGTTATAGTAAAAAACATAAAAAATGGTGGCCATTTTTCAAATTGGCCGCCTACTACCAAAAGTGTCATTAGACAGTGTGCCATGCTTATAGGATTCACATATAAAATATGAACAAAATCGTTCTACTACTTTTTGAGTTATAGTAAAAAATGTAAAATAACACACGTAAAAATGGCGGCCATTTTTCAAAATGGCCGCCTACAACCCAAAGTGTCATTAGACATTCGGCCATGCTTAAAGTATTCACATACCAAATATGAACAAAATCGCTCCATTTTTAAATGAGCGGCCATTTTGAAAATTGGTTTTCAAGCAGAACTTCTACCCCCATTGGGTATATGTGTACAAAATATGAACAAAATCGGGTCAATGGTATTTGAGTTATTGCCCGGATGGACGGACGGACGTACATACGTACGGATGTACGTAGGTGGGACGGAAGGACGGACGGATGGACGGACGGACGGACGGACGGATGGACAGACGGACGGAGGCATTCCGTATATCCCTCCGAACTCTGTTCGATGGGATAATAAATTATAAAATATTGAATAAAATATATGAGAGCTGATCAACTGGAAAGGAAGCATTTTTACATTTACACTTTTTATGTCCCAATTTCTTTTTTTACCATTCATGATGCATCATTCAATGAACTATTGTTTCTAAAATTGTAAAGGAAAATGGAGTTTGGATATTCCTACACCTTAAATTGATACTTACAGAAAATATTTGAGCAGTAGAGACAGTTGTACTGCCATTGTGCAAAGTGAAGTTAGGCAGTTGAAAGGTGGGCAGACCCTCTGGTAAAGGGCCCACAACGGAGAATGTGTCAAACCCCTGACTGATACAAGCCGCAGCTATAAGAGCACCTGATATCACAATTACTGCATTGCGGGCTGAAATAAACATGTAATCAATCAGAAAAATGGCAAAACCTAATTGTATTGACTATTTTCAAAATTTCTCATTTTTTGATATTTCACGATATAACTCCTTTTAAATGTACATTGTATGTAGTGCATTTCAAGTATTTCAAACTATAATTTGTTAATGTTTTTTCAAAAAATTTGAAAAATAACTTTTCTTTTGATCTTTCGCATCCCCCTGGCTACGCCCATGGGTGATAATGTTCTTTTTTGAAGCAGGGAAGTCAAAACATTACTAATAGAAATCATAAGAAGCATTTGAAGATCATTTAGAACCATTTAAAATTCAATCCACAGCAAAATTTGAAATAAATTAAATTTTTACATGACAATGTCAGAGAACACACTTCCATTTTATAATCGATTATTTTACCGATCAAAAAATATGCTTATGAATTTGCCCGATATCTGCTTGCATATAGTATGTATATTTGTGTTGATTGTCAAATTGTCAAATTACAAAATAGGTACATGTAGGGTGAAGAATATGTCAAAGTCATTTGATCTTGTCCCAGAAGCAATATTTTGTCATTTCTATCGCCAAGAAAAGTAACTAATGCACACCAAGATTATTGAGATTTCCAGCATCGATGTCTAATATTGGCGCGATACAAGCTAATACTTATATGGGTCAGTCTGATCATTATTTAGGCATACATGATACATAACCATACCTGTTCCAATGACCCAGATAAACTTGCGGGATATTTTCCGGCAAACTGGAATATCTTCTTCATTTTCATCTCCCCAATCTATTGATTTCATTTTCTGAAACAAACAGACATGGTACCTCCATTAAATAGCAAATCCTAATAAGAGTATTTTCTAAAATCATTATGAATTTCTCGTTTTTTATTTGATTTGGGATATTTCGTTATCAAAAACATGAGACAATAAACATACTATTATACGCCTTCTTTTAATTTACCTACTTTTAAGCCAGCCAGTAGAATCAAACAAACAATACCCATTATGAGATCTGCTATTCTGAAATAGAAAACAACATATCTGACCTCTTTATATCTTTACCCTAACTACATAACAGTGAAACCTGTAAAGTAGAACTACTCTAGAAATCGAACACCTTTGTTACTGGAACACTTTTCAAAATCCAAAGACTAACTGACTTATTGTTAAATAGACCTCTTTAAGTGGAACACCTCCCAAGTGGAACACTTATCAAAGGTATCTAAGGTGTTCCACTTAGACAGGTTTGACAGTACAGTACAATAGTACCTATTACTTCATGGTCACACATTATTGGTCCTAGTTACAGTTTGCAGCACGCAATAACATACAACATGCTTGAGTGACCCACTCCAATCACCCATACAACACATGGATCCAAATATATATAATAGCAAAGGGGCGCAGAAACCCTGTGTAATAACTACCTTGTTTGTGGCAATTTGGCAAATGTGTAGTAGACACTTTGTAGGAAGTCTCTTGGAATGTTCTGCAAGCCCAATATATGCTGAAATATATTTAATTAGAGGGGTTTCAACAAAATGTTGTTACATACAATGTTTAAGCAGAAAATGGAAATGAAGTTTAACTGGAGGTTTAACTTATTTGACAAGAGTTAGTGCATTGAAGTTTTATCTGAATATAAACCTGGCTAGTGTAACATAAAAATTCAATGTGGACTTTTGACTTGAACAAATCTCTTATTATTAAATATATAAGGCCTACCCCATAGAATAAGGAGCACTGGCACTGTATATTGTCATATTTATTTTTGTGAGAAATATGGCAAGTTAAATATTACAGCACTTACCATAATTCAAATGAACACATTGTCAGTGCACCTGTACTTGAATAGATTAGAGAGGTGCTCACCTTAACTTGTCCAAATGCAATGATGATAGCAGCAGCAGATGTAAAGCCATTTATCACAGGGTAAGATATAAACTCCACAATAATGCCTACAACATATAACATATAATGCACTAATACATGTACAATGCAAAATGAAGGTGAGAATCATCACACCATTAAATTAAATCCTGTCAATTCAAGGTTTGATCAACTTACCCCAAAACTCCAAAGAGTCAAAGACAATGTAAGATTCCGATTAAAATAGACCCATTTCTATACCAATGGCCATTTATGTAAATTGTCTGTCATGCAGGACATTTAAGGAGTATGAAGGTTAATACCCATAAGCCAAAACATGGTAAAACCATGAAATAAAATGTGACATGCATGTAGATATATAATATCAGGGCATTATCCAAATGCAAAACAATAAAAATGTTGGTCAGAAAAAACAACAGTTTTATGCAAAACAGTTCTGTAAAACTTACCTAGGTTTAATATACCCATAAGCAACTGAATGCATCCACACATGAGTGTGAGTATTAATGCATATGTGGCATTATGTGGAACTGGGGAGAGGCCACTGGCAAACTGTGCTGTCATGAGAGACATGATTGCAGTTGGTCCCAATGTAATATCTTTTGACGTCCCAAAGAGGCAGTAGATGAAGCAGCCCATGAAGGACGAATAAAGGCCATACTGGAATGATACAAAATCAGAGAATTACCAATGAGGAAATACTAAAGTTGGTAAAAATGAAGAGATGTGTGTTTGGATTGCTTTAGCCAGCATGAACTTTTGTTCCAGATGCTAAAAGTTGATGGTCATGGCTGAATAGGCCAGCATGGGCGGTGCACTATTTTTCTAAGAAGTATGCCACCACCACGGGAACAAGAGTTGAGTGAATCAAAAATCGAGCATTCAGGGGGTCTGGGGGTTCTCCCCCAGGAAAATTTTGAAATTTGGTTGTATTTGGAGCGAATTTGCAACCATCTGGTACGCCTGTGCGTACCCAGCGTACCGGGCGCTACGCCCATGGCCAGCAAAATGACATTCAGAAAAGATTTAAGGCTAGTACAATGTTACCAATTCTTGTTGGTGGTAGAACAAAATGAAACTAAACAGATAGTGCGAAATTTCAATACGTATATAATTTGGTAGCAGAATAATTTACCTGTGGAGGTAATTCAGCAACTACTGCATAAGCCAATCCTTGAGGTATAACTGTGAGTCCAACTGTCAGTCCAGCTATCAAATCACATTGGAACCACTGGCAGCTGGAACAAGATAAAATTACTTTACCACTGGCAGATCTGGGGCCCAGGGGCCTGCCCCCCCCCCCTTGGGTGGGCCAAGAAAAAATAAAAAATTGGGCCCAAGAAAATGTTGAGCCATAAAAGGCCTTAAGGCCCCAAAAAAGTGGGCCTTTTTGGTCATAAATGGGACTTCTAAGGCCTTATTTTTTAATTTTGGGCCAAATTTTGAAGAAAATGGGCCTCAAAATTTCAATTGGGCCCACTCTTTGGTTTTAGGGGCCCAAAATTTTTTTCCGTGCAAGCGCGGACGTTTTTTTCTCAGACCAGAAATTTGCCCCCCCTTGTTGGTTCCCAGATCTGCCCATGAGTACAAATAGTGAACCCCTCTCTACAGTGAGCATTTTTTATTTGGTAAAACATTTTTCTCACATTGACTGTTGACTCCCATGTTACAGTGCATTCCTAAAGTGAACACCGAACACCTACATACTATGAACAGTAAACACTAATATAAACTTGGCAAAACATATATGATATGTTAAATCTATATGTAAATCAGAAAATTCACGAAATATGTGTGATTTCAATCCTTTCCAACAATTGCTTTAAGTATATGCTTACCAGTATTTTGGCAGCCATTGAGTTATAGGCAATGTTTTCTTGGCAGTTTTCACAGAGCAGATTTCTTTAGCTTGTGTCTTTATTTCATCACAGACAGTCATTTTGACATATTCACACAGCTCTCTTAATGATATGTGAGCACAACATCAAATGCATCTGCTATATTGTACCTACAAATTAATGTAAATACATAATATTAACTTTACATGAAATCAATATAATTTTAAATAATCATTACAGCCTTCCAGATGTTGCATTGAAATGAATGCATACTCAGTCATACAATGTGCATGAAATTATGGTATGGTTTCATTTCAGAATTAGATCTGTCAATCTGTCATTTTGAAATGGCCATCCCCTTTTTCAATTCTAATGAATTTGGACATACGGTATGTACATTTTCAATAACTCCTATGTTGGATCAAATGTTTCAACAGTCCTCTGCAAATATTATTAGTATTGGTTTAGGATTGATTATAAGGGAAACACTGGCTTGCTTTTCAAGAAGTTTGCTCCCAACTTTTTACACTCTCTTTCAGCTCTTTCAAATGAACATTAATTTGTGGTGTGCCACAAGGTTCTGTATTAGGCCCACTTTTATTTTTACTTTTTATAAATGATGTCTATAGAGTGTCCAAAGATCTGGTTCAATGTGAATAAATTGTCATTAAATATTGAAAAGACAAAATATATGACTTTTTTAAATATAAACTGAATAACACTTAAGAGCTTTTCATGATTAGAAAAATTGGTACCTGGCCCACCCATCCCTACCCCACGTTGCTATTTAGTAACCATTTTAAGGCTTAACATTAACCAGATGCTGAAACTTTGGGATATGATAGATAACACATACTTCAATTGCAATATACAAACAATTTTACCTGAATTGAAGAGGATTAAAGAAAGTTAGCGCATATGGTACATTACTTCTGGGACAACCCTCGTATATACTAGTGTTTTCATATATTTTTATATTATACGAGGAATCGATTGTGATATGATAGAACGCTTATTATACCCAAGTTAGAGTTAATTTTGTATATAAATGTGAAATTCGGGAAATCCACTAACAGTTTCCCCAAAGCTTATTGTCATTAGTGAAATGATGTCACATTATATTGGATTTCATGGGTGTAGCCCCCGGTACGCTGGGTACGCACAGGCATACCAGATGGTTGTAAATTTGCTCCAAATACAAACAAATTTTTTAATTTTCCTGGGGGAGAACCCCCCCCAACCTCCCTGAACGCTCATTTATTGCTTTTCTCAACTTTTTTTCCGCTAAGGCCATGGATTTCAACAAGAGCAGGCAATGAGTAATACGTCATCAATATTTTTACGCGAACCTGGCTAAGCATAAGCAGATTGCAATGCTAAACAGTAATAAACACCTCCCCCATTTCAATTTGATGTTGACAGCGTTCTTAGAATTTTCCGCGTCTCCATAAATTTTCTTGGCCGTTAGCCGGGGGCCGGGCCATAAGACATGTCAGATAAGAAACAGGCCAAGGCTAGGTCTAATATTGTTGGACTAGTATCTACAGAGATATAAAGCCTAAAAGCTTAGAGTCTTTGAGGCTAAAATAAATATTTCAGATTCACCTACAAGTTAATGTACTTTATTAGGCTACAACCTGTCTCCTCTCCTCTATCCAGTAGAGTAAGCTTACTTGTACCTTTCTTGAGCCTCTAATTTACAGGCTTTGGACCTAAGTAACTTGTGACAATCTCTGTACTTGGACATCAATTGCTTTCTGTATACAATCACATGACAGACAGATTTAAGTCCTAGTTTTCTCCAAATCAAGGAACATGGACTAGATTATTAGTGTTGGAGCTCTGCTGAGGAGAAAGGCATCAACCTTGAGCTGGATTACGTTTGAATATTATCCAATCAGAAATATCTATTACATTCAGTCCCATCGCACATGAAGTAGAAATATTTTCCTATTTACACGCAAAAACGGACTTTTTAGATAGACAGAACATTTGCCTCCAATTAGAAAGATGCAAGTATACCGGCGGAGTTTACAGCAATTCGCTCGAATTCTTTTACAGAACAGACGGTAAGTTTAAAACGTAGCAGAGTGTGTAAGGTTTACATTTAGTCGAAATTTTTTATGATTTTTTAAATTTTTTTTGAGTGACTGATCTGTGCAGATTGCGATTCAGATTGATGTGGGAATCTCTCAAGGAGGCTTAGTTCCCAAGCAAGGAGGATTGGCTCCCAGGGACGTAACAATAGATGCCCACACGATTGTATGCATGGGCGTAGCGCCCGGTACGCTGGGTACGCACAGGCGTAGCAGAAGGTTGCAAATCCTCTCCAAATTCAAACATTTCCTGGGGGAGAACCCCCAGACCCCCCTGAATGCTCGTTTTTGGATTATTGACTCTTGTTCCTGTGGTGGTGGCGTACTACTTAGAATGAAGGACCCACGGTCCTGGTATGTAGAGTCCATTTCACTGGTTCATTTCGTCAGTAGAACGGCAAAAATAAGAAATTGGGAGACCATTGTGCAATAATATATGGAAAAGTATATTCATAATGTACATGAATGACATTTGTATATCTTGGATTGCTTCTAGTTTGGCTTATAAAGTGTGTGGCCTCTTATATTTGGATGTTTCTCTGCCATGTTATTTTCAATAAGATTAACATGGCTGAAATTCTTCAAATTACAGGACGGCACAGGCTTATTGCACAAAAAACTAAAAAATCTGAAATATACAAAAGTCATTCATGTACATTATGAATATACTTTTCCATATATTATTGCACAATGGTCTCCCAATTTCTTATTTTTGCCGTTCTACTGACGAAATGAAGCAGTGAAATGGACTCTAGTATAGTATCAGTTATCCCGTGCCAGGACTATAGTCCTGCAGTGAGAGCATTCTTTTGCCTGTACGATTACAACATGGGAGAATTTTCTACGCTTCTTACACTTAAGATACCTATTTCAATAGATTCCTTGGTATTTTAGCATTCTTTTCTTGTAGTTAAATCCACAATTGTCTGGGTTTATCGGCAGAACAAAGAAATTTTCGTTTTTAATCACAATATTTGTGTGTTTATTTAACTTATTTCAACCGTCAAATTCCTTCATTTTTGGTGCTTCCGGGCCACTTCCGGGTCAGTCAAACGGGGAATCCCCTTTTAAATCCAACCGCCATTTTGGAAAGTGATGGAATATCTCTAGATGAAAAAGAACAATGTTCCCGTTCTGCCGATATACCCAGACAATTGTGGATTCAACTACACGAAAAGAATGCTAAAATACCCAGGAATCAATTGAAGTAGGTATCTTAAGTGTAAGGGGTGTAGATAATTCTCCCAAGTTGTAATCGTACAGGCAAAAGAATGCTCTCACTGCAGGACTATAGTTCTGGTACGGGATAAAGTATCAGTACCTCGATGATAATGTCTCAAGAAGATGAGACAGTAAGGTTTTTCTATTTTTCATTTCACAAGAAACATTGGTTACCTGTATTTTACAGGTGCGCAGGCTTACTCGAGTCTCTAGCTTACAGCTAGACGTAACTTCATTGATTTCGTATGTACTCTAGAAAAGGTGCTACACGCACCTACACGCACCTAGAACTCATTTTTAATAAATTTTATAAATGTTTTTAAGAATATTAATCATATTTAGGATGAAGCGTTGCTTGTCTGGATTTAGATATTTCAAAATTTCATTTCGGAGTTTGACACATGGTGAAATTTTCTCGCTGTAGCTAAAAATGGCTTCCGGTTCTGGACGTGAATAAAATTTGAAATTATTCTCGCTTAAAGAAATCAAATATAACAATAGTTTCAGACGGGGATGTGAGCTGAAGTTCTTCAAATCTATACATAAAGGTATATTTTATATTATTTTGCCATATTTACTGTGCGTGTGACACAATGATTTACAATATTTATAATACTAAGGCAGCTCAATCCTCCTCAAAGCCAGAATATAGAGAAGGCTTTGGACCGAAGTAAGCGCAGGCGACCCAGGCGGGCGCTTTTATTATTTTTTCATAGGGGTGGTAGGATCAAAAACACATTCCAAAATTAATTTATGGACTATCTTTGAGATTACGTTGTCATAAAAAAAGCTAACATACTTGGGCCTTAGGCCTACCCGAATTAAAAGTATCCAAATTGTCCTTGAAAATAAGAAATCAAGTTTACTGAAGCAGGGTTTAAATTCTTGTTTGTGACGTCACAGGCGTGCTACCTAACCAACAACAAAACAAACAAGTATATGGTATCGTTCAGTGCCTTACACTACTGATGGTATCAGGCCGGGGTATCAGGGCTAGGCAACTTTTTTCTCCAAGCAGATCTTGACAAAGAGTTTGCTGCATTATCTTGTTGGACCTATCTTGTTGTTGTCGTCTTCCGGTCAGGTCAAGGACACTGGATTTTTAACTTCCGGTCAAGATTTTAATAACACTAAATTTAGGAACTTTCCAAACAGTTTCGGCCCTTTAAATCCTGTGTAATGTTTTGCAATATTGTTCAGTTTACTTATGCCATGCTCAGTTTGTCCCAATTTTCTCTAAATTTAATGTTCTCAGTGGTCAAGCAGGTGACCTCACTTGATGGCTGCCATGTGTTTCTTAAATATCTACATGTCTAGCTTTACGTCCTATAAAACTTTTTTACATTTAAAACACATTGCAATAATTGCAGTTCTGTATACTATACCTAAATAACTGTAAAATCGGCACTAAAATGGCTGCCATTTTAAATGAGCGGCCATTTTGAAAATCTCTCTCGAGCAGAACTTCTACCCCCATAGTGCACATGTGTATGAAATATGAACAAAATCGGGTCAACAGTATTTGGGTTATTGCCCAGACAGACAGACGGACTGACCTATGGAAGGACGTACGTACGGACGGACGGACGGAGGCGTTCCCTATATCCCTCCGAACTTCGTTCGATGGGATAACAAATGGGTGCTATCTTGTGAAGAGCAAGAAAAAACAAACCTCGCCCGGATTGCCCTGATTCCTCCCAATTACACATCCCAACCTTGCTTCAGTAAACACGATTTCTTATTTTCAACGACAATTTGGTTACTTTTAATTCGGGTAGGGAACTTTTTCCAATTGTGGTTAGCAATATAGTTACACGACGACAGAATCTCAAAGATAATCATGCAATAAAATAATTTTGGAATGTGTTTTTGATCCTACCACCCGTATGAAAAAAATAAAAGCGCCCGCCTGGGTCGCCTGCCCACCTGTAAAATACAGGTAACCAGAAACATTAGCTTACATAAGTATCTATGACAAATCATACCTCATTTGAAGTGTTTTGTTATTCTGTATCTCCAAAATTCGAACAAAGGTTATTCAAACATTCCTACATTATATACATGTACAAGAGTGAAAAATAAGGTAATTTGTCCTCCAGCACTGACTACGTACTCAAGTCGGGAGCAGACAAAAAATACATTACCACAGTTAAACTTATAACATCCTTCATACCCCATTTGATGAATTGCGATCACCGGATGGATTCTAGTTTTTAGTGACGTCGCAATTAGGCCACTCAGCTATAGATGTTTGATTTTTAGAGATTATCTTCAATATTTCGTGCTTTATTATCCCATCAAACAAAGTTTGGAGGGATATAGGGAACGCCTCCATCTGTCCGTCTGTCCGGGCAATAACTTGAATACCGTTGGCCCGATTTTGTTCATATTTTGTACAAATATACCCAATGGGGGTAGAAGTTCTGCTCGAAAAACCGATTTTCAAAATGGCCGCTCATTTAAAAATGCCGGCCATTTTAGTGCCGATTTTACAGTAATTTAGATGCAATATGTAAAACTGTAATAGCATGTATTTTAAATGTAAAAATTATATAGAACATTAATAAAGCTAGAAATGTAGAGTAAAGAAGCACATGGCAGGCATCTTGAAAAATGGTGACCTTTACTCGTTATATTACGATTTTTGCTGTAACTCCAAAAGTAGTGGAGCGATTTTGTTCATATTTGGTATATGTGAATACTATAAGCATGGCACACTGTCTAGTGACACTTTTGGAAGAAGGCATCCATTTTGAAAAATGGCCGTCATTTTAACATATTTTACTATAACTCGAAAAGTAGTGGAACGATTTTGTTCATATTTGGTATATGAATACTATAAGCATGGCACACTGTCTATTAAATGACACTTTTGGTAGAAGGCGGCTATTTTGTCTATATACTTTGTTTGTAAAAATGACAGCCATGGCTGTTCGATGGGATTTGCTACGTTTTGGTGTTGCTGTTGTCTAGTTGATTTATTTTTCACAAAGGTGTTTGATTTGACTAGATCAACATTCATTCTAAGCACATGCCAAGTCTAGGATCTTACTGACTGCTGACATGATTAAGATAGCGAAACACTAGCCTTGTTGAAGGCTTTAGCATTTGCAGATTTTTAAAAATTAGCAAATGCTAAAGCCTTCAACAAGGCTAGCGAAACGCATTTAAAGATATCCGACCCATGGTTTTCATAAAAGAAACTATAACATTTTTAGCTCAAAACTGCCACCTGCCCTCCATTTTGTCTCTCCATCATGTCTAATATCATTTTTATACCCATACCATTGTTTGAGGGAGGTTTTGAACAGTGATAATTTTTTCCAGTGATTTCTTCAATTTGGAGTCTCATCTTGAGGTTTATTGATAGATCCAAGCCTAACTCCTGGGGCCTAACTACTACTATATACAATCTAGTCTGAGCAATAAAAATCCAGGACTTGCATTAGGTTTGAAAATTTGTCCAAAGGAAGCAATTTTTTTTAAAAAGTTGTCCTTTCAAAAATAAGTGTTTCCTCATTACAAGCCTGTTTTGGGGTATAATTTTATTTTAAAAGCATATTTTACTGAAACGGTACCTTTGGTTAATTTTGTCAGCTGATTTTCTTTGTATCAACACCATTCCAATGATACATTTATTACTAGTTAAGAACTGACACTTACATATACAAGGTTTTAAGAGATCAAACTCAAAAGTTCAGGTGGACTCTCACAATGTTCTTTAGAGTTCAAACTTAAAGAGTTCAAGCTGACTCTCTCAAACTTGAGTTCAAGCTGACTCTCACAATGTTCTTTAGAGTTCAAGCTGACTTTCTCAAACTTGAGTTCAAACCGACTCTCACAATGTTCTTTAGAGTTCAAGCTGACTCTCACAATGTTCTTTAGAGTTCAAACTGACTCTCACAATGTTCTTTAGTGTTTAAACTTAACATCAAACTGATTCAATGTTAAAACCAGTGGTGAAGTATTGACCTACAAAATTTTATGTCCAAAAACAGAAATATTTTCAATTTTTGTGTCCTCCAAATTTTTTTTATGTCCTTAATCGGGCGGAGTTAATGCGAGCCCTGAAAAACTGTGGTTTTGAAGTGGTGATAGGAAATCGACTACTAATTATTTATTGCTCAAACTGTAGGAACGATTATCCAGAGCTTAAAAGTGTATTTTTGTGAATTCATCTTTGCAATCTCATCTTTGTAACATACCTTGTAAATAATAAATAAATGAATTTACAAAAAAGTCTACCTGCTACTACAAGTTCCTTTAGTATTATCAGGCTGTAGCCAGCTTTTGCCATATGAAGTTCACTTTAAAAAAAATCTAGGGGGTTTACACTTGACAACTTTGTCCCTTTAATGGGTTTGGTTTAAAAATTGACGTCATCGACTCTCTTTAGATAAGCTGAATCTTAGTTTGAACTATAGAGTCAGGTTAGTACAAAAATACCAGGGGAATGATAACTGTTTTTGTTTCATACTTTAGGCTTAATCAGAGAGTGACAACAACTGTGGTAGGAACCAACCATATACGCCTTTGCAGTTCACAAACACTCAGTTTGCCACACGAAGAGGGTTCTGACAAACAATATTCAAACAAAATTACAAATATTGTAGAGGAAATCAGTCAGCTCACTCTTATTGAAGTTGCAGACCTAAATGAATTATTAAAGGTAAGCTATTAAACAGTTTGGCCTATTGTAATGAAAGAGTACTTACAACCTGCAGCCAAAAAGACTGAATTGAAATCTGTACTGAAAAAATTCAAATCTACCAAATGACCAAAATAAAAAGAAAAGTTGATATAAAACACCACTGTATATCTATCTATCCATCCATCAAATAGTAATGGTCAAATTTTGTTATATGTATGGGCTGTACAGGGAAGTAAGTTCTGGTTGGATTGCCAAATTGTCAGCTGGTCTCAAATGGAATTAATGTGATATTTTGTTAGCAGTAGCACTTGTAAAATTGTAATGCTAAAATCAGGTTTTATCACAAGAAATCACATTAATTCAAAATTATTTTTTCAAGATATTGCTGCTATTTTGAAATGTCCACTACAGGCCCAATAGATGGGGTCAGAAAAAAGTCAAAATTGTGCAACGACACCCCTCTTTGGGAAGAGTATCTGACGTACCTGGACTAGGCCAGATATTCGATGGGATTTGCAATGCCCTGGCGTTGCTGTTTACATTGTAAAACTTTGAATTTAAGAATTACTCTAACACAATGGATGGGTGTTTTCCTTGGGAGGCATGAATCTAAATTTCTCTCTGGGAAATTGGCATAAAGCTCTGGCAGGGGGGTAAATGGTGGTTTTGTGAGCGAATAAGGTTGATTTTTTTAAATATTCAAGTGAATGACAAATCAACATTTTAAAATTTTGTTAGTTGAGGGGAGGGGGGAAGTCAAACCATAACGAAATTAACTTCATTTCGCATGACTGTCGATAATTTGACACCATCCCTTAATTGATGAAATGTTTTTGATTTTTTTTTGTAGAGGAAGTTAAAGATAGCTGATGCTCCTGTGATGGCCATGGGTGCTGCCCCTGTAGCCCAAGTTGCAGCAGAGGAGGTATGTTACTGACCATGCTACACACATCCATTCAGTATTAGGCACAGTACCACATTTTCAAAACTTCAAAATGGACCAGTTGATGACTACACTATAACGCTTGAAAATTGGTTTGATTAAAAATGATTATGTATGCATGTTAGCTCTAGTTTCTGCACAAAGAAGACAGACACTGCAGATATACTGCCATTGTGAGGAGGGATTTGCTAATTGAGCTTTATGAGCCACTGTTATGACACTCTTTCAAAGTCATCATCGTGTTCTGTACTTATTCGTACAACCTCAAATTTATACAGATGTAAGACCATCTCAAGGTTGACAGAACAAATGCATATTTAATTTCACATTTTATTTCAATAACTGATTTATTACATGTATTACTTTTTTAACTGAATCCAGTGCAAAATATAGTTACCCTATTTTGTTTTCATAGACAATAAAATCTTCATATACCTTCCAAGGATGTTACACTATTCCAGAGCAATTTGTACATATAGCTGTAATTTCAGGAACCAGAGGAAGACACAGGGCCAAAGAAACCCTTAGCTTTTACTGTTAAACTAATGAAGTTCGACGAGAAGAAAAAAGTGGCCCTTATCAAACAATTGAAGGTCCTCATGGAGGGAATGAATCTTGTTCAGGTAGATAGGCAACCATATTCTATTGTGTATATGTCATATTTATCACCCAAAATAATAATCGTTTAATAGCTGCACTCGACAAAATTATCATTCTAGTCTTCCCCTCTTGTTCATTGCTTACATGAACATCAATCAATTTGGCCTTTGGCTGGGGCCATCAATAAGACAAAATTCAACCAAAAATATCCAGATTTACGAGATTTGCTCCATCGTCTTTACTTTTTGTCTGTCTGTTGATCAACATATTTGCAAATAATTATTACCTGGTTTTGACTGATTTTTCAAAATTTTTCAAAAATGGCCACATTCCGTTGGCTGACCTGAAAATGAAACATTGCAGTCTCAGCTTACTAATGGTGTCAAAATCATATCATAATAAAGTGCTTGGAAACTACACTTGCAAATACATGTGCATGTACACTCAAAAGTGGATTGATAATCATATTCTCTATTTTTAGGCCAAAAAATTTGTAGAGTCAGCACCAGTAACAGTGAAAGCAGATATTCCTAAAGAAGAAGCTGAAAAGTTAAAAGAAGAAATTGAAAAGGCTGGAGGAAGTATAGACATTGAATCATCATAGTAGAGTATAGATGAAGGGACTGGCAATGTATGTAGGATGAAATGATATCAGAACATGTAGTTATCATTCAAAGAACGATTTAACAATGAGTGGTGATACATAAAAAAACATATAGGCTTCATCACAAAATGATCATGTATCACTTGCTGAAATGCCTGATAATATCTTTATTAGTCTTGCGAGTAATGTAATGAAATACTGCAAAAAAATAGAAATATACTATAAACACCTAATAAACAAGTTCATTGTTCCTAGTGTAGTAAATAACTGAAATATTATTTTTTTCTTTATCTGAATTATTTATTTCATTTCTTAATTACGCTATATTGGATTTCGGTTGCAAGAATATTATCCGTTTTGTCACAACCAGAAGTGGTGACTTATTGTTATAGTCTCCAACATTTTTGTGGACGATGTTTGGCATTTGGTGCCTGGTGTTCAGCGATTGGTGTTTGGCAGTTGGCATCCAACGTCTGCAACAAATAGTAGTTGGTGACATTTTATATGATAATGCCTTGTTAATATTTAACGATCTTGACTATTACTCTGGGGGAGACAACATATCTATGAAATACTGCATATAGTTGCCTCGTTATCAGTGGCTGTAGAGGGCAAGGGGGGCAGCAAATTACTCGCTGGTTCAAAATATTGTCCATCTATGTACAGTCGTATAATTGTCAACATGAATTCTCGTTTATCTTTCCTATTTGAATAAGTCCACTGTAAAGTGTCTGCATCAATGGTTTTCCCCTTCTTGAGACACACAGACACAGTTTCCGTTGATATGATGTTAACATCTGAATAAATAAACAATAAAGAGCCATTTTAAAGAATATATATAAGATGATATGAAATAGTAACACGCAATGCAAATTTTGTTGAATAATATCAAGTTAAATGCATACCTGCCAATCTCCAGTTTTTAATGGAAATATAGCATAAAATGATTATTCAAAAGGCAAAAGGCTATATTTTCGGAATGATACAGAACAGACACTGTAAATTCACATTAGTTCTGATATAAAGTAATCAATTTCTATAATTACAGATTTTGAAATACAGAATAGATGATATGTTTACCAATAATATGAATTATAAATTAATATTCAGATGAACTAGTAAGGTTTATAGATGCCATGTTCATACATACTTGTAACATTTAGCCATGCAATGATTCTTTTCATTGTTTCTGCCATTCCCTCAAATCCAGGACATGTTTCTGTGTTGCCTTTATTCAACTGCACTGGGACAAATGTCTTGCAATTTAACAGGGGTGGTAGTTTTGGTTTACTTAAGGTCGGCCTTGAAGGTCTTGCTAGAAATATTCTGTGAATTAGTATTGTCTGGCCTTTCTCTTCCAAAGATCTTGTGTATGTTGAATATCCTGTGTTAGGAACTCCATTTTCTGAAAAGGATACTGCCTATTTTAAAACATAGAAAAATGGGAAATGCATACTGTATGCTCTACATTTTGTTGAAAATATTAGTACTATAAAATGGGACATTTTTCTGAGTATACTTGAATATTAAAACTAGAATCCAATATATAGACAGGAATTGTTCTATTTATCCTAAAGTAAAGTTATTTTCAGAAATTTATCGTGAAAGGTAAACAAGAAAGGTAATTATGAGTCATTTTAAGCTCTGGGGGGGGGGGGGTTCCCTTGTCTAAGTAACAGCTACTAGCCCTTTAATGTGCCAGTCAAGTACCTGTTAGTTTTGCATCTGTCAGTTGAAACTCTAAAGATTGTATTGAGATCAATCTGCTTCCGATCTGCTCCCTCAGCCATGTCTGTACAACATCAATAGTGTCAGAGTGACCAGCAAACTTCACCTTTTTCTTCTTCACTTCAACCTTCCTTGGACTAATGTCTTTCATCTCTATATAAAATACAAATTCAAAATTACAAAATGGAGATGGTAAAACAGAATTTAGAAAAAAGATATGTTCAAATTCAGTCACACTTATTTGGATATATATGTGCCACTTACCCAATTCTTCAAATAGAGAGGTTCCTTCAATGTAATACACCCTCAGTGTATATAAATTGCACAGCTGATCCGAGGACTTGTCTACATAGGTTGACTCATCAGCATCTAACGTACCTGTCCATTGAGTAAACATATGTTTCACAGTTTCCACGGTGATTATCTTCCCTAAAATGGTAAAGATGGAAAATAAGTGACAATTACAAAGAATGTAATGAACAAGGCATTAACATGTAAAATGTCACCACCTGCCATTTGTTACAGATGCCAAACTCCGACCCCAAACACTGTCAACAAAAAAGATTATTATTACAATACGTCACCACTTATGGTGGTGACTTAAAAACAGGACAATCCGAAATTTGATCAGAAAGATGGCCATATCAACAAGAGATGCCTTAAAAATCAAATGATCAGATATAAGTTGGCAGGTATGCCTCAAATTACAGGAACAACCCAGAAGTGTACTGGACAGTTAGAGGATGCATCTATTTAAAGCATGTACTGCTACCATGACTACAAAAGAGGCAAATGAATCTACAAGGTGATCCAAAAAACAGAACCCTCTAAAAAATGTAATAATTTCTTGAATACCCATTCTGTCAACCTGAATTTTTTTGTGCATAAACTTGTATCTATGGATGTTAATATGATACTGTACTCCCTGTTAACTTCGCGAGTTTTAAATTTTGAGAAAACATGATTTTGCGACTGTTCAATTCCTCGGATTTCACAAGTTAAGATCCTGTTATTCTCTGAATCCTCGAGCTCTGTAAATAAGGCTACCTATATTTAAAAATTTGTTGGAAAAGGGTATGAGAACACCTGAACGCACTATGTGTGATTGCGTTTAACTCAAACGCACATTTTTTTACTGGACATAACAAGAAGAATGTTCACTGTTATGTAAAGAATTTGGTCTCACATTGTCATCCATAGAATGTTGTTTCTGTACATGAAAAATGAAACTGATTTCATATGAATTAAATAGATTATTTCATTTTTGGAGGGTTCTGTTTTTGGTCACCCTGTATGTTTCTATGTTTCAGTGAATATGTGATCTACAGACAGTATCCAAATGAACTGGTTACATAACACTTATAATCATACTTACCCTGTATAGCCTCTTTCCTTATAATATTATTAAACTTTTGAAGAGTTACAATGATAGAGTCAAATTCTGGCTCTATTCCATTGAAACCTTCTTTTATACATTTTGGCACAATGTTGATACAGCGAATAGTTTGTGGTTCTGAGCGATCAGATGCTGATTTGGGAGATATCCACATTCTGAAAAATACATGTCATGTACGCTATTATATAAATGAGGATTCTACTGATTTACAGTACATGTGTTCATAACATACACTACTGAGATAAAGCTAAGATGTAAAATGCACTTGCATGGCATTTGTGCATTGTGACTTTACACCCAAATTTCCAACTTTTAGGTATGGACATTAAGGAACTTTCTTTTTAAAGGCAAAATAGGCTTTCTTGAATAGTCTGTAGAGAAGCTATCTATATGTAGATGGTTGGTTAAGACAAGGACATATAACAAAGAAGTGTGATATGGATATTTACTTAGGAATTGTGTTGGAAGAACGCCATTAATTTTACCTTTCTTTTTTATCATTCTTTTTACCATGGGCATTCGGTAGAGAAAGCCCATGCTTTTAGGAAGAGTAAGGTCAAAGCTGTAAATTCACAGACACGGTATAACTGACACCATTGATGCATTTAGTTATTGGAATATACTTGAACTTACCTCAGTGCTTTGATGTGCATTAACCTCCCCTTCCCATACTCCGATCTGGACGTTCTGTTGGCATCAAGTTCAGTGTACCCAACTGGCACATGTAGTTCAATAGTCTCACATGTTCTCACTTGCATTGCCGGGTTCCCAAAAAGCCAATCATTTGCCTTTTTCACTAATGCACTGGATGCGAGAAAAAATTCAAATAAAAGTCATTTTATACCATACCATGCCATAAATTTCAACAAAGTTAACCAGTTAAGATTTGTGAATTGAGATTATGGAAACCAAGGACAAACAATACATATTGACATGTTAACTTATACAGAATATTTTCTCAAATATTTTGTATGACAACCCTTATTTGAAGGGTAGCCCAGGTATTAAACTAGGTAAGTTTCAAACATTGAATTCAACCATGTTTCAGTTATATATTACATTTGTCATGCTAGTATATTCTGCCACATGTAATTTTATTTTTGTCACCTGTAATTTTTTTGTGATTGCTCAGGTGTATATGACTTCAAACATCTTACCTGAATAGTTCAAATGTTGGAGCTGTAAAAAGTCCTCCCTCGTTGATACATTGTGGTACAAAATCCATAAAAGTAAGACGGAAGTTGAGATGTGCAAACCGACTCTGTGATTTCATTTTTTGGACAGGTGCCCTTTCCCCTGAGGGATCTGGTGTGACTGGCGTAGCCCACGACATCTCTGCAAAACATTAGCAAATGCCATTACAATCAGCTAACCTTATACATTGAATTATTACCATTGTAAAGGCTTTAACATTTACGTGAAATTTTTTGAATTCTGAGAGTGTGTCAGGTGCCTCATGTACAGTTGTCATAGCAACCATATTTTAGGTTGGTCATAAACTTATGACTGTCAATTATTTGTTGCTGGCCCATCTACTTTACTCCTGTTAAGTTTGATAACATGTCTTCAAATTCTTGCAAAATTTATTGATTTATTGTTAATGGTAAAACTTCAAGTCATGTTATCCCTTGTTTTTCTAAGACAACATGTCTTTCTTAATCAACCTTTTTAGGGGATTTTTCCTTTTGTTTGTCAAGATCATTTCATAAAGCCTCATATGGTCAAGGCTGTTTTGTGTCGAGACTTGTGTTGTCAACCATGGGCTCTACGCCTTTACATTTCAGTTATCCCGTGATCTCCAATTCCCCATTGAACACGTTTCTCAACTTAACAGACATGTCCAAAACTCTTCCATAGACACAGAAAAATTGAACCTCTGATAATTATTATTTAGCCTTGGTCAGATACATAATTTGTTTGTTTTGTTTATTTCTTCTGTGTCCACATCCATATTACCTTTAATTTCATAACATATAGTATACGATTTACCTATTTCTATTTACACATATCTCTTATTATTCTACAACTATAAATAACATGTCATAACAATCTAAAAATGTTAAAATATCTTACCTGGTTAGATGTTCATTTAGGGCTATTTAGTTCAAGGAACTTGTCTACTCTCGATCTGTTGCCATTTTATTAAACTCACCATAGAGCTTATTGGACAATGTGTATAGGGATTTAGAAATTATTGGTAAATCAGTAAAGTTTGGATTAGGTAACAGTGTATTGATTGCTCCTTCTATAAGTCAGCTGGATATAATCTTTCAAAGGTTTATGTGTGTACCCTTTACATTCGTTTGACGTAGTTTTCGGGTTTATACAACCCAGGTTTATTAAGGACTGGCCTATTGCACCATTCTATTTTAGGTCCTTCAAATTATCACCTTGGGGGCATTGAGATCGTAAGTTCAATCGCTCAATCCTTATGTTAAATAGAGATTTGTTACAATTCGATTTATTCATCCATCCATCGTTTATGACTGGTATATGGATTTTTGTTGATAACAGGTGGCACTTCTGCTTAGGCATACCCATGAGTGGGATATTCCGGGCAATTATGGGCTAAGGGTGTCGATAGTAATATACATTTTAAATGAGCGCAGGTCAATCAATCTGTGTTTATTGAGCGAGATTTCTCGCTCCTGTCATCTTTATATTGGCCCAAAACCTTGACTTTGTGTGCAATGAAGACTATTTTTATTTTACTATCATTTGTAATATTTCGCATCACAATGTTCCAGGTCATGCCTATTTTCCGCAAAACCAAACATTGACTTTATTTCATGATAATCCTTCGAATTCAAGATTATCTCGCATTAGTAGAAAGATGTCCCCTTTCAACCAACTTTGATAATTAAAAATCAAAATCCTTGACAATTCTACTACAAACTTGTAACTTGAATGAAGCCAGTGGCATCGACGTAATCATTAGTGAAATCATTCATTTGAGATTCGCAATTGGGCATGTTAGGATTCAAAAGAAAGAGCTAAGGAAAAGTCTGTTATTCCGTATATTCGATATTCGGGAGCCCAAGATATACTAGCCTTGCCCAAGTAGGTCCCTTTTACTTATTTTGATTTCTATTATGACCGGCGGTAATAATTCAAGATTAGATAAGTAAAAAAATACCGACTTGGGCAAGGCTAAAGATATACGTTTTTAAATCGAACTTTTTTTGTGAATGTGTAGAATTCCCGGGGTAGAATTATACAGGGTGTCAAATAAGTCCCGTCCCCCGCTACAGCTAAAATCTGAATATATGGTACCTAGTGTGATATACCATTGCTAAGATCATCCAAAGATATGTTGACTCACCAATTCTCAAGTATTTTGGATGAAATTTACCTATATTTTTATGATGTCCTTTATGGCTAACGTACCCTCCTTTAAGCAGCCCTTTCGCGTCAAAATGACAAGGATATGACCTCAGAAATACGTCAAAAGTTAATCTTTTTCGCATTTCACTTGTTACAAAAGGGTCTTCACCACTATCCTTGCACCTCTATTTTCTACACATCTAGCCCTATCCAGAAATTGGTTAAATCCATTGCCATATACATGTTTAATCAACTTTTGGTCCTTTGACCTTTCTTATATCTGATTCTTTAAATCCTGCCAAATACGCCAAATTGCCATGTTTCTAGGCCTATGGTCTCCTCAATTGTTACAATGTAAAAATTTATAGGGATTGATTGACATGTGTCAGATATTAGCCAATCAACGTAACTCTGGAGGACCTTTCCAATGGTATATTACACTTTCGTATTGTCGTTTGATTTGTGCGTTGGAAATTCCAAAATATCCATCCGATGGGGAATTCTCATTTGTATAGTTATATTCAAATTGTTTTTACTTTAAAAGTAGATAGCAAGCAGCGTTTTATTTACGTTGAGATTTGGTTAAATGTGTTCGTCCAAAATAATCTTTTTATTTGGAAAAAGTCTAGACCGTACGATCGCCATAGCAAATGTGACCTAGGCTCTAGAGGAACATTGATATAATCATTCCTGCAGCAAGTAACATTCTAACTACCCTTTGCATTCGTTTGACTTCACTTCTTAAAAGAGAGCTCCGTTTAACTAGACTCTGCACGCAGGGTACATTCTAACGGTCGCTTTAAATAGAATTTCTGCGATCAGAGTGATACTTTAGCAGTCACATTTGATACAGCAGCCGTGTGGCGTATTTTGATTGAGGAGACATAAAAACTACGGTTGCCCCACGGCCTTTAAATGATGACGCATGGTCGGTCAGCGTAGTGCGTCCATACGCACGGCGGGCGTAGTTTCTTTTGACAAAACCAAGGAAGACTCAAGGCGCCCGCTTGGGGAAGGGAGGGACTTACGGCGATCCTACAGTTTGCAAAGGTCAATATTGTTAATTGTAAAGCCTCAGTCACATTTGCTCTATGACGGCCGTAGCTTCAGAAAATCGATATAGAAAATTCACATTGTACTGCTATGCTGACGCGTATTTATAAATGTGACTGAGACATGACCCATAAAGTCTCAGGGCAGCTACAAGTCGACCGTTTGCCTAACGTACGGCCACGTGAACTCTCAGACTAGCTTCCATGAATATTAGGCCTATTTAGATAAATCTTAACTAGTATGTTCTCTTCTCACATATTATTTATTTCCGAGCACAAGGCACTTATTTACTCAGTTGGGATACAGTCATAGAGCTTCTGAACTCTCTGAATGTCCAAAGTGCTGAGGCGAGTTCTCTGGCCAATCTCTGCATCGGGATCAATGGTGATGATGGTGGGAATGGTACGATCCACAGCGAAGGAGTATGCGCCATAATGCATGCAGCTATTGTAATCATAAGAAGTGTTGAGAAGGTCGATTGTTCCTTCTTCCATGCGTCTAAAGTTGCGCTCAGAACCTGAAGGGATAGAATCATCGATTATGTAAGTGTTTTTTTTTGTTTTGGCATTTGGCATCATTCATCAAGACTCTGTCAATATGAAAAAACGTACTGAAATTGTAAACACCATTGAATATGCACCGTACATCCAACGATGCCAATTTAACTCTGATCTATGGTTATTATTTATTTTGGCTAAGCCCTCGGACGTCGAATGCCAAATGGAAACAATCACATATCTTCATTATACATTTTACATAGAATTGTGGTTCAGAGCCGAATGTGCATGAACGAACACTTGTAATGTAGTTTGAAAATGAACTATTTTCCAGTGCTGATAGGTTATGATGAACTTACCAGACCTGATGTTGTCATAATTGATGATGACAAAGTTATCTCTATCACTCCTAGACTGCTCATGGTAGAATCCCATAGCATGGAGGATCTCGTGCATAACTGTTCCAATTCTCTCACAGCCTCGGCCAATTGACAAGTCTTGTTCACCTCCACTGCGACCAATGAAGGACCAGCAACTAAAGAAAAAGATTATACTCTTAAGTGCAGCTCGATATAACTTCGATCTTTACCATTTCTTCATCCTCGATATAGGTGTAGTCAGGCACGATCAACTGAGTTCATCAAAAACTTAAAGACCTCTTTCTTTTAGACGTTTTTAAACTGGCTAAAACTGTGGACATTAAACCCAAAATAATTACGAAAGTTCAGACTCAACCAACTTAGACACCAATTCTTTGTTATTTTATAGCTATTTATTTATAATTATCCGAGGGATTATTTAGGAAAACAATAAATGTTTCACATAATCCCAATTCTAATTTAGTTTTCAAAGTCTTGAAAAGTCGGACTATTCAAATAAGACTTAAGTGAAACAATGGTTCTGTTCTGACACACGTTTTTGTGCTTTGTTGAGGCTTTTAAGTTTCACTGAGAGGCGGTAGTATAGCTGATTGACTTAAAGAATGTGTCTTAGTTGGCAATGTGGGTGCAAGCATGCAGGTGAGAAGGTTAGTGTTTGAGGCCATGTTACTATATCTAGTACTACATTCTCTGTGCCTTTGGGTGAGAAGGGTTTCAAACAAAATATTACCAAACAGTAGATTGGCTTCAGAATTTCACATTAGCACTTAAAGGTGCAACAATTAGTGCAGATGGGCCATTCAACTATCATGGACCAGTGTCAAAATATATTTAAGTTTTGATATTTCATCAAGACTTACATCTATTTTTATTATCTACAAAGAAACCCCCTAGATAAACATTATTTCAGCTGTTATTCCTCTTGAAACATGGTGGATCTTAAAAATATAAAAGTGGATTTCCCCTTTTTGAAGCTTTGAACTAAATTTGCACTTCTGAAATTGATAGTTTATCCATACATTTTAAAAAATAGGTATATCAAAGAAGATGTTAAGCCAAATGTTGCCTTGATAGCTTAGAAAAAGTTAAAATTTTCCTATTTTCTCTCTACAGGCCTTGTTGCCCCTTTAATCATAATGCTGATTGTGTAGCATTGTTGCAATATCAAGTTTTTGTATGGTGTCACTGTCAAGGCAAACTAATTCCAATTTGCATCTTTATTTCTAGCATAATAAGAATAAAAGGAATATAAAACTCACATCTATTGAAACTGACTAATTTCCTTTAGTTTAAAAATTTCTTAAAATGATAATAGATTTATAAATGAGTCTTCTAAATATTTTATGAAAACCAGCATCTAACATTAAGTAGCTGAAACGGAGCAAATCGCGTACACAATCTATTATTCTCAATTAGGTTATCAGCGTCAGTCCAAAGTTTTGGTCACCAGTATCAATCAGGGGAATGGTGCTCATAGTTGAATAGAAGGTATGCAGGGTAGATTTACAAAATATGTAATAACATTGCAGCAGATGCACCATGGCGTTATCAGCTTTTTTTCAAAATGGTCACCAAAATGCTTATTGCCACAGACAAGTCATATCACACTAGACCGTCATCTTGCTTCATCAAGCTTCGGACCTATTCTAAATAGATAGATAGAACGTAGTGATTGAGCGTGGGAACCGACGATGCTAGACCGTGTGGCCTCACCATTCGCACGGCATGGGCAAATAGTGGCCACAACAAATACTTTTACAGCAAGATACCTCCCTTACACAAAACCCAAGTTGAAATAAGTTAATTAATTAATAAATTAATATCCAAACTTATTCACACTATGGCGAAAGTTGAACTCACACGGCTTAAGGTGACGTTCATAGACATGGATTATGGTCGATAAGGAAATAAACGTATGGGGTTTGCATATTAAGGTAGTGGGGTGGTAAAAATGAATATCACAGTCATGGGTGATCGTGGGTCAAGTGCATCTCAAGGATATACATAGTAACAGTTCTTGCCACAAATAAAACTTTTAAAAGATATACCCTGAGAGTTGGTCAATATAGATGTAATCAACCTCGTTGGTGTGGGGAATAATGTTGATGCACTGTTGGCCATTGACTCGAGTCTGGCTGTTTAAGGTGTCGATTCCTTCCTCAATCCTTAGGACTCTGGCAGCATCTATAACAATACACACCCATATAGTACATGTTTTTCCAAAACTTTGGCAAATGTCTGCATCAATCCGCGGAAACCATAAAAATTTGAGGAGAGTGAAAATTTTCTAATCGGCTGTATCTCTAAAGTTCTGTAGCAGTTTTTACCAAATGCATCACTGATTTCGTATGGTACAATTCCGTTTGTCCAGCGTCTGCTACGATCCACAATGGCATTGTATACTTGCTGAAAAATAATATTTAAATATCACCAATGAAACATATCATCCATTGTGTTATTGAATCAAAATTGGATATAACATTTAGAGCTTTTAACACAATCAATGCCATAGTTTTCTTTATAGGCCAAGCAAATGGGCTCATAAAAGGCCCAAACATCCCAAAAATTGCAACAGTTTTTAAATTAGTCTTATATTATGTATTAATATCAGTTGAAAAACATATCAAAAATATAGAAAAATGTATGCAGTGGACAAATATGAAATTTCACTTCCTAGGTACCCCCTACAACCCTACCCCAAAATTGAGTATTGGTAGGAAACAATTTTTTCTTCCCAAATGGAATACTTAAGTCAAGTATTCAAGCTTTATTATGATAGATCACATATTCACAAATAATTAAAATATTATTTTAATCAATTTTGAGACCAGTAATTGGTCATTTGACCCCAAAGTATAACAAAATAGGCCACAAAACAGGCATGTTATCACATATCTATTTAGATATTTTAGGATCAGTTTGTCAGAAAAGCATGAAAAAAATCATGGTGTTACATATTCATATGAACTTCATATTTGGTGAGTGTCAGAATTCTGAGGTGTATACTAAGGAAGAAAAAAATTATTTCATTTTCATAGTTTTGCCCCGCCCACTATAGGGGAGACTATAGTTTTGATGATTAACTCCCACAATGCATCACATTTGTATTAGAGTTGACATCTAAATCATTTATATAGGATTGTCATCATCTAAAATACAAGTTTTGTGAAGGTTTATACCTTATTAGTATGAAAAATAGGAATTATTAGTTGCACCAGGTGAAATGTCAAGGTGACCTCACTTTTATTTGATGAATAATTACATATCACCACTCTGATATTAGGGTATTTGATAACTGCTCTATACTAGGCTTATCTGAATAATGTAAGTTGTAGTTTTTGTGGAATTTAATATTGTTTAAATTATTAATTACAATCCGCAATTACAAAATTTGCATATATTTAAATTCATCAGATAAATAAATCATTACATAAGAGTACATTACTATGGAACTATCAATTGGATGTATAATGCTGTATAAACGAATTTATGGTTATTAAACGGAATTTAAACTGACAGAGAACATTAAAATCTCAGATATCTGGGGAGTCATTCATTAATATAATTTCAGTGCATAGGAATGATGGTAATTCTGTCTGTCAGGTTGGAAAACATTGAATGTACATGTGCTGCATTCAGAATCGGATGCAGATATTGTGATTGTGAAAACTGCAATCCAAAGTGTCCAAACCTCAAATACAGTACTCATACAGATCTCCTTGTGCTTCTCATTTATCATGCACAAAACACAAACTTTAACATTTTCTTCAAACCTGAACCAAAAGCAGCAACCCAAGAAACAAAATGTTGGAATATAAATGAAATAAGATTGTCTTTGGGAAAAGTGGTCTGTGACAATATTTTGTTTCTTTTCTGGGGTGTGACATCGCATTCAGGTTATATATGGCATAGACAAGAGGCTATCATTGAGGCAGATAAAAAAGAGTGAGTTCTTGAGAAAACAAGCGGTTGTTTTTAAATTACCAAAAGCACTGGTGATACGCTCGATTACGCTTGTCGTTTCGGTAACAAAATGTCTAAACGTCGAAAGTACGATATTTCTTTTTTCCTTTTTTTTCACGTGTTGTAGGCAGAATCCCAACGATGTTTTTTTCTCACAGAATTGTTGACTTAATTCCTTACTTAAGTTAAATAAACGGTTTGGGTTAAAAGTGCAGATCTTAATTGTTTATCGAAATACCGTTTATGTAAATTAAGTGAGGAATTAAATCGAAGATTTTGTTGTCTTCTGAACTATTTGTTCGCAAATATGTACATTTTTTAAACATATAATACTGATACATGTTTGTGATAACAATGTTGTGGGAATTCTGCCTACAATGTGTGAAATAAAGAAAAAAGAAAAATCAAACCTTCGATGTTCCGACATTTTGTTACAACGTAAACAAGTAGAAAACCAGTGAAATGCAAGCAACTCTGTCATTGCAGAGGAACATGCTCTTTTGTCAATTTATCGTGGTAAATGGTGAAACCCTGAATTATCTTAGGGATTCTAAAATTCTATTAAAAGAGAGCAGCAAGATCTGAATTATTGCAGCCCCGTGTTCTTCCTCCATTTTCTGATGCTGCGGAATACCACAGTTACAGAGTGTACCATCAGATCCAGGAGTGGGAGGGAAATAAACTGCCTCCATTATAATTGGGCTGGGAAATAAGCAACGAAACTATGTACCAATTGCCTAAATGCTGCTCCCCTTTCTCAGAGATCATCTATTGTGTGTGTAAGGCAGATTGTATTTCTATGAGATGTTCTTGTAGAAATATGAAATAACTGTTCTTTGACATGTACTGTAAGGTATGCAAAGGCATTTGTGCAAATACCCCCATTACTGATCATGAGAATAATGATGACTAAATAATGAACACTGGGCCCCTCCCACCCCCTTGGGCGGGGCCAGAAAAAAAATTGGGCCCCAAAAAGGCCTTAAGGCCCCGAAAAGTAGGCCTTTTTGGTCATAAATGGGCCTTTTAAAGCCTTATTTTTTAATTGAAGAAAATGGGTCTCAATATTTCAAAATTTGGGCCCACTTCAGGGTTTGAGGGGCCCAAAACTTTTTCCGCTGAAGTTTTTTTCTCAGACCTGACATTTGCCCCCCCCCCCTTGTTGGTTCCCATATCCGCCCCTGATGAAGGCTGGTGATAGACAAGGTTGTAACTGATTGTTGTTACAACATAATAGTATTAAGCTTATTTAATCATCATTATTTTTTGCTCTCTATAAGTAAGACACATATATGAAGGTTAAGATTACAAAATTAAGGCAGCATTTTTGATAATGAACATAACATAATCGAACCAGGCCCTGTATAAAGACCAGGGATTTACTTTGCGTTACACTAGTTAACTCAGGAGGATTTATTAATGTAGAAACCTTTTCCTCATTTTTTATTGAATTTCATCTTGAAATCGAACATTCTTCAGTTGAACTTCTTCATTTCATTTCTCAATATCACTGTGTGGTTAAGAACACCTAAAGTCAAAAGTAACAATTTTTCCTTAATACAGGGCGAGCCAAAAAGGTAACCCAAACAAATCTTAATAATCCAGTCCAATCATCCTGCATGGATTTAGTGTCAAATTTGGTAGAATTGAGTCTTGGTCAATGTATTATCAATCTTCATTCTTATCTCTTGTTTTAATGTTTCAAGTGTTGTTAGTATCGAAAAAAGGTCCACAGATAAAAAAAAAACTGGTGGTATTGATGTCCAGTCAGTTAGGCACATTTCGATATTTTGAGCACATTTTGTAAATGGCCATAAAATCGTGACTATTAAGGATAGATCAATAACACTTAGTAGAATGAAAGAACATTGAACAAGGTAATTGTGCCAAATATGATGTCAAACCCATGCTGAATGACTGGGTTATTAACAAACATTTGGTTGGGTTACCTTTTTTGGCTCATATTAATAAACTGATGTCAGGGACAGGGATATTTAACATTTTGTTGCCTTTTCAAGGACATTTTTTGACCACTGATTGTAACAAATCGTTCTCTGTTTTACCAGAAAAGGTATATTATATATCAAATTGAATTTAAAAGGAAAAAACATTTGATAATTTAACAGTTATCAACTAAAAGTAGGGCTTCCCCTATATTTCACCTGGCATTTGCTGTTTTTCTACTTTTTTTTACATAATCCTTTCCTGAAAACCTCAAAAACTAATGAACTAATTAAACAAAAGTAAGGTCACTCCAAAAGTGGGTGTGGTAAAATATTGAAATTTCAAATATTATTTTCACGCTCAATATTCACCTAATGACTCTGATACTTATCGAAGACAATGTTCAGGTGTACAATACCCTCCTTGATATTTTTCATGCAATTCTGATGAATTGATACAGAAATAAATACATTGTTATATTAAATTCGGGCTATTTGATGGCCTATTTTCAGATATTTGGCGCTAGAAATGCCAATTATTGCACTCAAATAGTTGGTTAACAATTTTTAGTTGCTCTTATGTCAGTAAACTATCATAATATTACTCGTTTAGTTGACAAGAGTATTCCATTTTGAAATAAAAAAATATTTACTATCCCATACTCAAATTTGGAGGGGGGTACCTGGAATGTGACATTTCATATTTGTCCACTGCATATATTTTTCTATATTTTTGATATGTTTTTCAACTGGTATCAATATACAATATAAGCCTAATTTAAAAACTGTTGCAATTTTTGGGATGTTAAACTTCCATTTGCCTAGCCTATTATTACATTTTCCATTGAGTGCTTAAAATTGTCTAATATAGTATAGCTAGATTGTGTTCTGATTGCTAAAATCTAGCACTGCGTAAAATGTGTTTTATGTCCCAATTTTCGACAATATGTGATATTTGTTCGTCTAGTTCTGATTATAGTTCCTCAATAAATTTGAAAGATCTTACATTTTCTTCACCTGGCCTAACAGCTATATCACCCTCGAGTTTACCTGTTAAAAAAATTAAAAAATGCCACATGAAATATTGAAGGGATGATTTAAGTACGATGTTTTTGAATGATATTAAAACCAGCAAAGGCTAGCTTACAGAAGACAGATGAAGACGAGTGCTTTAAATCATCCGCAATTCGAGTCGTGTGCTCATTATTGTCACACAAAACATTTAGATTTTAAACAATTACAATCGGTAAGAGAGTTTGGCTCAAGGTTTCGTAATAAAGTCTTGTTTAAGAATTTAGCTTCGGTTTGGAATTTGGTTTTTAAATGAAGTCGTAACTGATATATTTAGTCCTTCGGATTTTGTTACATTGACGAGTCTTGAATAATATTACCAACGTTACTTGGACGTCGACCTTGCGTCAATGTAACAAAAGCGAGGGATTTAATAATACATTGTGGCTTTATTTATCTGAAACTAGTCTATTTTCATGTCCGTAGCCAGCTTTTTGTAGGGGCATGTATATCCAAAATTATGGCATATTCTATACTTTCTATACTTTCGAACTGCTTTTTTTTAAATGATACTTTTTTCAGTCTTAGACGATTGGACTCTCTAAAGTCTATACATGTCTATACTTTCTATACTGTCTTTACTTTTGATTTTGGTGAATTCCCTATGTTTATACTTTCGATACTTTCTATACTTTACATTTTGGTGAAATCCCTATGTCTATACTTTCTATACTTTCTATACATTGCAAAACAATATGTGACGTCATAAGTTTCTTGGTCACTTTCGATCGAAAGTATAGAAAGTATAGAAACTATAGACATTTGATTTGTCGAAGACAGTTATTAGTCAAATCACTAATGGGTTTCTAACATGGTGATAGTTCGCGATCATATATATTCTTAGATTTTCGGCACACAGACTAATATGGACATTCTAAAAATTTTGATCCGCATTGCCAAGCGCGAATCGCACTCCTTCATGGTGAAAATTCAAGATGGCCGCCAAAAATATCGTCAAATATGTATATTTTTTTGATAATTTTTTTTACTGCCTTTATTTCAATAAAATGTGATAAATTAGTGTCTTCAGGTATTATCTAATAATATTCCTACCAAATGAAATTTTTATTAAGTATAAACATAAGAAATTGCTTTAAAAGCGCCATCTTTTGATAAAATTATACCAAAATTGACGTCAAAATAACAAACATTTCCCGTATTCACTACTTCTTTTCAATAAAAGTTGACAAGTTTATATTTTATCAAGGCTTACTGTTAATATTCAACATATATCCGTCAAAATATTTCATTATAATCAATAAAGAAGAGTGTTGGGTAGCCCCACCTATAGGTATATATGCATTGAACTGCTCTGAAACATAAATTAATGATTATTATTTTATTCATGCTGACCCAATTTGCTTATTCTTAAATAACTGTTATCTGTAATGAAAATGTTAGATATTCGGCACACAGACTGATATGGATATTTTAAAGATCTCAATCCGCATTGCCAAGCACGATTCTCACTCCTTCGAGGTTAAAATTCAAGATGGCCGCCAAAATAATCGTCAAATAAGAATATTTTTTTGATAATTTTTTTTCTGCTTTTATTTCAATAAAATGTGATAAATTAGTGTCTTCAGTTATTATTTAATAATATTCCCACCAAACAGTTTTTTATTAAGTATAAATATAAGAAATTGCTTTTGAGCGCCACCTTTTGATAAAATTATACCAAAATTAACGTCAAAATAATAAACAATTCCCTTATTCACTTCTTCTTTTCAATAAAATTTGACAAATTTATATTTTATCAATGCTTAGTGATAACATTCAACATATATCTGTCAAAATATTTCATTATAACCAATAAAGAAGTGTTGTGCAGCCCCACCTATAGGTATATGCATCAAACTGAAACATGAATTAATAATTATTATTATTTTATTCATGCTGACCCAATTTGCTTATTCTTAATTAACTGTTATCTGGAATAAAAATGTTAATGTTTCTAGATTCAACAACATGTAAGTTGTAGAAAGTAGAAATGAGAGTTATATGAAGGGGGAGGGGGTATGTAAGTGGGGATAAGGTTTGTGGGTATATATTGAGGCATGTCACCCATCTTGATTTTCTGAGTGTTTCTGCACTCTGAAGTATAACAGAACTGTATTACAATTTTCTTCATTTTAGTTATATTGAAGTCCGTTTAAAGTCTAATATTCATTGTCTCTCATGTTGATGTGTATAAAGTCAACAAATTACATCAACCCAGACCAAACACCTGTACTTGCTGCCGAACAGCCCCTCTTTGCAATGTTCAAGCAGTAATAGTGGACAATTGCAAGAGATGGGAGAAAAAACGAAGCTGATAAGGATACTTGGTGGAATACACACTGAGATGGGAGCATTTCACATCTTGGGCAATCTATGAGAGAATACTTGGATGGATAATCTCCCTCTCTCAAGCTGGCATAGCCACATCTGGTACAGCTGATTCCTTTATCAAAGTTAACCAACTCGCACTAACTTGCAGAACACATCATATTACTGCCTGCCCTGTAGTCTTTATATTCTTGACAAAAAAGCCTGTGAGACACATTGTTTGTGCTGTGATATTGATGAATAACCTCAGTTTGAGTTGGATGACTGGGTGAAAAAACAGTCCCAGCTGAATGGCTCTTCCCAATTTAAGTTCTGGTCGACGGTAATGGATCTTAAACTTTTGAGAGGGCAACTTCAGCCTATACAAAGACACCCTTTCAGAGTTGTTGCCATGCCTTTTTATACTCAATCACACAAACTAGTCAAAGTGGCTACCAGTTTTATCCGTGACATGAACCAATTTAATGCAACACACCAATCAGTGCTTGGTGAATTCATTAAGGGAAACTAAACATTGATTAAAACAACAAGGCACTTGACATGAACGAAATCATACCATCTAGACATTGTTTTGGACAGTTATGAAACTACATGTAACAGTTTAGAGTCTGGTATAAGAAATAAGAGAGGAAACAGTAAAAGGAGGCATATTTATCCTGAAAATTCCCTACCTAGAAACTGGCAAGATTGTTTGTGCTTGGAGTAAAACAAGAGAGAACTGTTTCAAATCCTTACTGCAAATGTGAGCAATATAATTATTCATGAACGAAAAAGACTTCTCGCAACCTTTGATCAGGATGTCATGTGTCAATCCACAAAAACAATCCACCAAAGACAAATAACCTTGCACACAATCAACACATTTTTTCTGAATGAACCAATATGAGTTGGATTTGACAAGGGGAGACAGTTCAGGTACTTGGCAGCACATGAAATGGCGAATTCCATTGGGCCTCAAAAAGTCTATGTCTGCCATTATTCCACTCATTGACAAGTTACACCTGGATTTCATGGAAGCAGGGGCAGAATTATAGCATGGGACAGATGAAACTCATTTTCACAACTGATGAATGCACTCCTCAGTCTAATAGATGATCCTTTATTAATGTTATGTTGCTGTATGATAAATTCAGCAATGACACCTCAATCAACACTGCAAGAAAGAATACATTTTTACTAAAGACTACTTCATTATTGACCACATTCCTCCAACAGCTGACGCCTTAATGCAACACTGCAAGGGAGCATTGTACCAAGGTGTGCATATCTGAGGTCAGTTTAACAAACCAAGTCCTATCATTTCCCGGGTATCATTCCATCTTCAAAGAACTGGGGCTGGAGAACAGAGCCAAGAGACAACACTCAGAAGCCACACAGGACTACCTTAAAGCAGATGGCTGATGCTAGTCAACCATTAGTGTGGTTGTCAGAAGCAGTGTTTCCCATGAAGATGTACCATGTACCAGCTTGAAGGCTACTCTAGTATGCACATCATTGTGTGCCTGCAATGGAGAGTATTCATTAGAATAACTAAAGTAAGGGTTTAAATATGGTAATACTAGGCCTATATAAGATGCAAGATACCCCCTATTTACCTCCCCCCCCAAATTTATATGGTTGACATCTTAGAGTTGGCATTCTGCTGTAAAATAATACTATAGAATAGTTTTTTATTATGCATGGTACATGATACAGATCAAATCTTGGCTCTCCAAACCATTACACGCTTCCTTCAACAGTTCAATATATTATAAAAACACAGTTTTGATTTTTAACAATTTCACCAATAGGTGGCGCTATGGGAGACATTCTTCATTATGTGTTTATCTAAATATTGTTTGGAAAGGAATCAGTTTCTACTAAAACATACAAACCTAATATATTCTGATGAAAAAAGGATAGAGATATGATAGGTACAGTACTACAGTATATATGAAATGTACATATTTTAATGATTTATCGAAAATTTGGACGAAATCTTAAAAATGGGGGGAATGAACAACCAAAATCTTCTTATTTGATAATTTAAATATTTTTCAGGGTAGAAATATTATAAATTGATGTTGAAAAATTCTAATTAACCACATTTTATTGAAAAAAAGGAATGAAAAAAATTATCAAATGAATATTATATAATTGTCGGCAATTTTGGCGGCCATCTTGGATTTTCACCAAGAAGGAGTGCGAACCGCGCTTGGCAATGCGGATCAAAATTTTTAGAATGTCCATATTAGTCTATGTGCCAAAAATCTAAGAATATATATGATCGCGAACTATCGAGCCATTATTGACTGGGCTATATGGGGAAAAGCAGATCGAAAGTATAGAAAGTATAGAAACTATAGACATCTGATTTGTCGAAGACAGTTATGGGGAAAAGCAGATCGAAAGTATAGAAAGTATAGAAACTATAGACATCTGATTTGTCGAAGACAGTTATGGGGAAAAACAGATCGAAAGTATAGAAAGTATAGAAACTATAGACATCTGATTTGTCTAAGACATTTCTTGGAAAAAGCAGATCGAATGCATCTGATATGTCGGATACAGTTCTGGGAAATAGCAGATAGAAAGTATAGAAACTATAGACATCTAATTTGTCAAAGACAGTTTTGTGAAAAGCAGATAGAAAGTATATAAAGTATAGAAACTGTATACATCTGATTTGTCGAAGACAGTTATGGGAAAAAGCAGATCGAAAGTATAGAAAGTATAGACATCTGATATGTCGAAGACAGTTCTGGGAAAAGCAGATAGAAAGTATAGAAAGTATAGAAACTATAGACATCTGATTTGTCTAAGACAGTTATAGGAAAAAACAGATCGAAAGTATAGAAAATATAGACATCTGCTTTGTCAAAGGCAGTTAGTATGAAAGGGCATTTCGAAAGTATAGAAACTATAGACATCTGATTTGTCAAATGCAGTTGGTATGAAAAAGCAGTTCGAAAGTATAGAAAGTATAGAAACGTCGAAGGCAGATAGTATGAAAAAGGAGATCGAAAGTATAGAAAGTATAGACAATGTATAGAAAGTATAGACATTGCCATAATTCTGGATATACCTCTGTAGGGGGGGGAGGGTTGAGCCAAAAGTCTTAAGCCCGGTATACACCAATGGGGCAAGTTGGGACCTCCATAGACTTAACATTGCGTGGGACCTCGTGGGACCTTTTGGGATTTTGCCCCATGAAGTCCGTGGGACTCCATGGGACTCCGTGGGATTTTGCCCCATCTTGCCCCATCGAGTCCCATGAGGTCCCATGAAGTCCCACGTGGGACTCGGTGGGACTCGATGGGGCAAAATCCCACGAAGTCCCATGGGGCATCGTGGGATTTTCGATCATATGACGTGTTGTGTGAAGCCCGGCATACACCAATGGGGCACGGTGGGATTTGATGGGACTCCATGGGGCTTGATGGGACTCCATGGGGCACGATGGGGCAAAGTCATCAAGGTCCCATGGGATTTCGTGGGATTCGATGGGGCAAATTGGGATTCGATGGGGCAAGATGGGACTCGATGGGGCAAGTGGGATTTTGCCCCATTGGTGTATACCGGGCTTTATTTAACTCGAACAAGTTACGTTATTTAAAGCGGGCGTCAAAGTGAATATAAACGTATTCGGAATGTATGTGAGCATCGCATGACTATTCGTGTGCCATTTTATCATTAACATGTAAAACATAAAATGTATGTGTCATGAGTAACAGAGTAATGTAAGTTTCAATGTGTTACTTACCAGAGAATTCCTCAGGATGTAAACGCTTGTAGGCTGCAAAGTAAATGAACGTAGTTAAACCACAAAAACAATGAGAAGAGTAAATAAATTGATATGTGACAGATCTCCATAATGAAACTCTCTAGTTTGAACTACAAGTATGATTAATTATATATTGTTACTTACATGTAGGAAATGTTGAATCCACCTTACCTAATGTAGTCTTTATAAAACAAGTTGTACTATTTTGGTTTTGGAATAAACCTACATTTAGCCTTAATGCTACACAATGTCCGTCTTCCTAGAGAAACCTTTACTTACTGTCAAAATCATCCTGAAATAAGAACAACATATTTTCTCAAGTAAACAAGAATAAACAAATTGGGAACGTGTTTGCATTCAAATGCCATATTAAGCAGGCCCGTATCCAGGATTTGCCAAGGGGGGTTCACTTTTTGAAAATTTCCGGGGGGTTCACTTTTGACAATTTTGGTCCAAAAATGTCCAATATCACTTAAAATGTGCTCAGAATGATGAAAAACTGCATGATTTTGAAAAAACTTTTGGCCAGGGGGGGGGGGGTCGAACCTCCCTGGCTACGGGCCTGTTTAGTTTTAAAGCTACAATCCAATTAAAGCTTAGGGGTACGTGAACGTGAATTGCATGACCCGATTTCCTGGTTGAATATACAGAAGTTTCGCAAATCGTTTTTTTTTGTAAATGGATGATGACATTTATATTCATTGGCGTGTGTTGATTTTTGATTACATAGAGTGATGTTTAACGAGGCGAAGTTCTTTTTATTATCATGAAACGCATTACTATGATATTAAACAATAAACATTTTTTACATGTCGACGCACGGAGATACAGATGAATGTGTTTTACCCAAAAAATAATTCTCGTGATGATACAATTAACTTGAAGTTAATATTTCCCTAAGTTTGGTGAGAATTGTTGATAGGGAATGGGGACATCAAAGATAAAATCATTATACTTACCGCAAAGGCCGTAGCCACAAGAACTAGAAGTAACAGCTTCATGACCAACATTCAAGGAGATACCACACAAAACTAAAAACTAGGATTGGTCTGGGTGTTATTATACGAAAAAGGCTTTGTAGAAAGAACCTCCTACCTCATACCCACCTACGTGGGACATGATACGGTCATTGAAGGGTTCAATTTTAAAGATTTTTAATCTCAAAATAGCTCTAATTATTAACATTTCTACAATTCCGGCTTTATTTTACCACTGGACAGATGATAGATCCATAAATAAAGGCATATGGGTGATTTGTAATGTGTAATGACCCGAGGGCGCCACAGGGGAATAATTAACTAACGACCGCGAGCATAGGTCCAACAAGCCAGATAAAGAAATTGAAAATTTGCTAAATTCGATGCCCCAAGTGGGAACCGAACCCAGCTGGGGTGTAGTAGCAACTTTCTATCAAGGGTTATGCACTATAATTCATCATAAACTATGATTTAATAAACAAAGATCTTTAAAATTGAACCTTTCAAAGACTGTATCATGTCCAACGTACGTGGGTAGGTGAGTATGAGGTTTATTACACAAAGCTTACAAAAATGCTCCATCCCATTCAGAAACCATTCAAAATGGTTTGTTACAATATTTCCCATATATAGATTCATAAGGTGAAAATATTCATTTCTTTTTTACAACAAACGGATCTATTGATAAGAAGTGTATTTTAAGATTAAATTTACTACAGCTCAAAAACAGATTTCAGTTCAAAAATTATTCTCACAGTTACATTAAAACAGAATAGGTGAACATACAACTATTTTTGCAAAGCTGAATTGTCTTGCTATAAATCTATTTGGTAGCGATGACTGGTATATTGTTGATATTGCCCATTTCCATCTCTATGTTTTTTGTTCAAGTAACCCCGTTTTTTAATTGTGATTCCTGGATTTCTTTCTTTCCACACCAATCTTTGAAAACTGCTTCTGTAAACCTTTGTAAAATAGGCGGCTGTCTGTCATGTAAGAAACAACGAAGACCTCATTGTGAACCCATGGAATGCTCTGGTGATGATTTAGTAGGGGATTTCATTTTTCAGACTTTTTTCTAATCAAGTTTGTAATTTGCTCACTTGGTCCCCTGGCACTGTCTCTGAACTTTGTCACAAATCAAAGACATATTGATCTGCCTAATAGGTGAATTTGATGAAAATCACTGAACATGGGTCCCAAACATGATGAATTGACACCTTCTGCAATTTTTAGATGACAATCAACATGGAAGTGAATATGCATCAGAAACTGCAGCGGGGCTCTAAAATTTGATACGGCTGGCATTTTTTGTTCTTGCTTTCTTCTACCAGGAGACCAACTGGGCAAATCAATAACTTGATCAGAAAAGTCCCAAAAAGACGAGCTATAATTTAGTTTAATCAACTTAAGTACATATAACCATTATAACTGATGGATAAAGCAAACTACTAATCCAAGGACATTTCCAATGGTATATCAACTCCTAACCTTAATAGCATTGGGGCCATAAATGTTTTGTTATCAATCTCATTACTAAATTAGGAGATAAAGATGTAATAAACATATATTTAGGAGTAATTTTTTCTGTTTTTATTACAAAGTTTAAAAGGGCAGTGTAGTGACTTTAACTCTGATTCTTCAATAACCCAATGTTTTTTTCAATTCATTAAACATTCTGTAACTAGCATCATCAAGAAAATGTTATCACTTTCTTTTCTGTAATATCAAAGTCTGAAAAATTGCTGACCAGCTACTTCATAATTTATTTTTCAAAAACCAACCTGATAATACTGCAAACCTCATATATTGTTTATTAAAGAAATAATTTATTCCAATATTTGATTTTTCAGAAAGTATCAGATAATATAAATTACATGTTGCTGATATTTTGTTGCTGATATTTTGGTAAAGAAATTGTTGTAATCGTAAATATTAGGGCTAAAGATAAATCATTTTGACAATACATGTTTTAACCAATGTTTTTAAATTGTTGTTATATCTTTCTTTAAATACAATTCATGAAATATTTCCATTCAGATCAATTTAAGTTAGTACCATTGTACTTTGGAAGTCTCATATTCTGCAATTTGGCGTATCATATTGGATACCTTCCAATCGTAGACATGCATGTTATCAGAGTGTCCATTCAAAGGCATTCATCTCATCATTACTTTCTGTTGGCAATGCACATAAGATGAGATTAGATTCCAGTATAATTCATGAATTGCAATAATGTGTGTCCATGTAGCATGTGCACCGTGATGTCATGACTTCTTGGCTTTAGCAGCGGCGGCAGCTTCTTTTGCTGAAACATCCAAAGTTATTATTTAGTCTTATATTTTCATGTAGAACATTACATAAACAGTAACCAAAGTTACTCTAAGTGAAATAGACCTGTTACAGGGATATGTTGGTTCATTTACATCCTATGTAAAGCTGGTTCATCGGAATTATCAGAAATATTTGAAGTAAAACCTCACTGACCTTTCTGTTCATCTGCTTTTTTCTTAGCTGCATCTTCCCTTTGTTTTCTAATGATTGCCAAACGTGCCAGATCCGCCCGAGCCTCATCAGTCTTACCTTCCTGATGTAGCTTCTGATAGCGTTCCTTTGCTTTCTGCTTTTCAATTTCTTCTCTACAATCACATGAGAGTCATTAAATTACCAGTTGACATGGCAACCTGCCTGCGTGAGTTTACTTTATGAGTGGATGACTCTTAGAAGCCTTACCTTTCTTTTCTAGATAATTGTGGAGCATCATCAATCTGTAGATCTGTCACTTTTCTCGCCTTTTGTTTGATCCTATTTGGATTTTCTATTTCTATAAGACCACTTACACCCTTAGCCTTGGCATCCTGAAATATAGATAATACATGTCTAATACATAATAGACATTGTGGATATACTATAGACATACATGTATATGCTGTAGACATACATGTATATTCTATAGACATACACAAGTACACACTGCAGACATACATGGCCATATTGTAGACAAACATATACATATGTAGATGTACATGTACAAAGTGTAAATATACTGGTACATTTACGTACTGTAGACAATGTGTACGAACATACTATAAACATACATGTGCATGCTGTAGATATACCTCCCGGGGGGTTCACTGTGTACAAAATTTGTCAGGGGTCCTAGGCTGAACCCTCAGATATCAATATATTCCCATACCAAAATGTCAAAGAGCGAGGGAAAGTATCGCAACAGATTTTTGACAGTAAATAATTTTTTTCTAGTAGTTTCTGGCTGTACAAAAATGAATGCATATGAAAGGCCAATGTATAATCTTTAAGAAAAATTCAAAGAATGGTTTCAAGATCAATTGGATTATCTCATAAGCCATGTTTAATCCACCCATCAACAAGCTTTTTTCAAAATACAATCGTCATTTTCACCATCGTCCCTCATTTTTTTTACAATTTTCATGCAAAGTTACATTGTACTTGAACACATGTTTCATCACTTAAAATATATAAGGAACTCCTCGTGGATTAGGATTATGATAATCCAATATAAGGGGATCCAATGGGGATCTAAAAGCTATGTTTTTAGTACAGCACACTCATATAAGATGTCATTAGTGTGCCATAAAGTTAGTTCAAAATGTTTTCATAAATGAATGGTTGGACTTGTTTGATCCCCTGCTGTTTGATCCCCTATTTAATCAATGGAGCATAACCGCAGCATTTCCCCAAAAATTCTGAATACCTGTCAAGTTGACTGTTTAATGTTTGAGTGCAGTTAAACCTGTGTGTGTGTGTGCAAGTTGCTTTGTTTGTTTGTTTATATCCATCTGTACTAGGTGCTTTGATGCCACCTTTGTTTAGTCTCTGGTGCTTGTTTTTCACACTGTGCTATCACTTGTAAGTTTTACATTGATGGTTTGTAGAAGTCTCTTTTTTTTATTATTTATAAGTTGCTAAGAAATTCTAAATACCTCTCTTTATGATAATTTCTATGATGCCTTATTATAGCATTTACTTTGAACAGGTTTTCTGTATCTTGTTTATCAGTAATGATTCACGAGGTACAGTGCTATTAAAATCATAAATACAGTACAAGAATTTAGTACATCATACCTTTGCCAATAATTTTAGTAAGACAAATATTTTGATCCAGCTTCTGAAAAAACATTGAACATATATGATGATGTTTTATAACACACTTCCTTATTTGAGTTTATCTCCAGATTGATTATTCAAATAATGAAATGAAGGATGATATGCTAAGAATAATTTTTGCATATTCATCAATTCAAGAAATGTTATCCTAAGAAAATGTTATGAGTAACATACACTCTTACCTTAATGTTAACATTATGGAGATTAAGCTTGCATATAAAATCGAAACGCCAACCTATGACCAATCGCCCATACAAATGCATCGCTAAATATTTTCCATTCACATTTAGGTTGTGAAAAACATTGCAAGCTTAAAGTCCCTATTGAGAGTCTCTGAAAACCACAATCAATACCATTGAGTGTGTGGTGTATACTACCTTTATCATTATTTCTAAGATTTACAATAACATCTTTTTAGCAAAATGTCCGATTTTCTTCCATATTAATGTGAACAAATATAAACAAACATAGAATGATTCTATTGGTTGAGTCAACAATTTCAGTTATTAGGGAGGTTAAGATCGCACTATTTTGATGAACGTACACATGGAATGTGTAAACTTATGGTCCCCTATTCACGGTGTTATAGCATGACGGTTACGTCAAGGCGATTTGCAAAATTTTGCGGTAACGATAACAAAAAATGGCGGATGGGAAAGGCAGCATGTCCTCTTTTTCGCATGTAGGAAATATTCACAGATAAGATTTCCTTTTAAACTAGTTCCATTCGGTGACGTATATATGGATGGTTATAAAGACTGGGTCAAATCTGCCAGGTGGTCTACAAGAAACAGAATATAATCTGTAAACCTACCGACTGAGATATCAAAGTTTATAATATTTGGTCCATTCTCGTGTTGTCTCAGTACATGAGCCACTCAAAATATTAACTGTAAGTATAAGTAAACTGTGTATAACTACTGCAAATTCAAAATACATTATTATGGCTTGAGTAGAACATAGGTGGTTTCCAATGCTCAATTGGCTTTGTATGATCGTATGTAGGTTACATCTATATACCACAAGGTTTTTAGGCAATGTAGACCATGCCCTAACAACAAAAACAAAAATAAAGAAATTACTAAATTTTTGTGTAGTTTTGAATTTCAAACTCGACAGTTTTTCTCTTATTTCATGTTATCCCCGGGCATCAATTTGCAAAGGCTACGTTCAAAATATACATTACTGAAAGTATCACCGAATGCGATTTTTACATAAATCGTTCATCCTTTCATTGATACACAGAAATTGAAAATAATGCGCCAACCTTAGTTTTCTCTTCCATCGCGGCCATTTTATTGGATAAATTAGTGAACGTAGCTGTCCAACCTCGTTTTCAGAGGTGGCGTAACCGTCATGCTATTGACTATTTTCACATCACTGGCCTCTTTTTGTTGCCTGATTGATATAATGCCAATTGATGTAATGGTCCCCAGTTAAACCAGTTGAGAGATGGACAACATTACTGGGAGTCATAACAGTACTCGTTCATGTTCAAGTTCTCACACAAGTGTTTTACACAGTCTGTAGCCAGCTTTTACCAAGGGGTAGGAGCAGTTTTACCAAGGGCAAAGCTTTTGCCTAGGGATGAACTTTTTGACAGTTTTGGCTAAAAAATCATGCGAAGTGCTCAGATTGGTGAGAAACTGCATCATTTTGAAAGAATCTCTTGGGGGAGCAGCAGCTCCCTTTATCTCTCCCCCTCTACCTGGCTAATTTTCACATTTTTTATATTTCTACTATTCAAATTGACCAATCCCCATTCATGTCATTTTAACAGGTCCCTTCATTACTTTACACCAATGTTCATTAATCCCTTGTTTTCTAGTCGTATGTGCTTTTATTATTCAGTTTCACTATCTATTGTTTTGCCATGCCAGTTTTACATGTTTGCATGCTGAGTTTGTTTTATGTAATGTTTTTTGTTCCTTAAATGGTTTACACATTCACTCAGTTGAGTTGGGGTGTTGCCCCATTACTAGTTAATGTTGCCTAGAGTTTGTGACTGTACATACACAAAGTATTTCAAATATATATTTTAGAAAACATTTTATATTTGATTCCCACCCAAGGGTCTTCCACTCACCCATTAACATAAACAAAACATGAACTCTAATAAAAATGCCAACAACACGGTGTTATAGCATGACGGATACGCCACCTCTGAAAACGAGGTTAGTCGAATACGATCACTGATTTATCCAATAAAATGGCCACGATGAAACAGAAAGCTAAGGTAGGTGCATTATGTTCTACTACTGCGTATCAATAAAAGCATGAAAGATTTATGTAAGCGTCGCATTCGGTGATGCATTCAGTAATGTTTATTCTGAACGTAGTCTTTGCAAATCGTCGCCCATGGATAACATGAAATAAGCGAAAAACTGTCGAGTTTGGAATTCAAAACTTCATTAAATTTAGTAATTTGTTTCTTTTCCTCGTTAGGGCATGCTCTACATTGCGCAACAACCTTGGTGTATATAAATGTAACCTACATACGATCATACAAAGCCAATTAAGCATTGTAAACCACTTAATATGTTCTACTCAAGCCATAATAATGTATTTTGAATTTGCGGATACGCCAAAAATTGATAGACAGTTACGCGAACCTCGTTCATATATGTAAAACCGAATCATTTCATATCGCTTGTGATCCAAAATTGAAATGTTTTTCAACCGGATTTGAGTTTTGTAAGCTATAATAGATGAAATCGTATTATTACCACCTTGCAGGGCCTCTTCTAGGGGTTTTAGTACCAGTTGAGAAGGCATTTAAATTTCTATATTTACGTGAGCAATATTGTGTCGGGCGTTAATGACTTTAGTCGGGCAATAATGATATTATCCGCCCGGCTATGTTTCCCGGGAAAAGAGATATCGTTCAGTGCGTAAGATTTTCTATTTCAAATTTGCTATTTCAGCCCTGGGCATTAATTGTTATTATTATATACCTCAAATGTATTCTAGATGCTCATTGGCTTATCCATGGTCACATGACATGGAATAGATGAACTAATTCCCTGGAAAGTCCTAAATCCCTGCTTTCAGGGAAGATGAATTGTACTAATCACCAGTTAGGTCATGTGACCAGTCAATAGTTCATTTTATCTTCCCCCAAATATGAGATTATAGGAGTTGAAAGGTAAAATGCCTTTAAATGCCAATAAGAACCTGTGAACATTTGATATTGAAATGAAAAGACTTCTCATTTTGTTTTTGTTTACAGAGTACTTATCAGGTATATAATAAAACAAATAGTGACTGCCACATTTTCGGGAAATAGTGTAAAAATTTTCCTCTCGGGAATATCCTGTCCACTGACTTGTTCCCTCGGCCTGCAGCCTCGGGAACATGTCAGTGGACAGGATATTCCCTTGAGGAAAATATTTTGCACTATTTCCCTCAATGGCAGTCACTATTTGTACAATAATTAATAGTAATAACGTCATTTCTGCGGCCCTTGGTCCAATATTTCACTATATTGCCCTTTGAAATGACATTATTGTACTATTATGAAGATGGTGACATAAACAGCTGAATATGATTTGTAATACAGTAATGGTAATATATGTCTAATGTCACTCATGACATCATCAATTAATTTGGAGTTGTTTTCTTCCGTCGCCTGTTCGTTGTTACTAATTTCTTCCTTTGCCTCTTCATTACAATCATTCTCACTTTCATTGGCTTTCGCTATTTTTTCCTTGCCCCATAGAGGCTCAAGCAAGAGCGTCTCTTGCGAGTCCTGAAAACAACAAATATAGGCAGTTCACACATAGAGAGCTATCCATCTAGGGACCTTGACTTGACAGGCACTTGCATGTAACCGTCCGCTAACATCTAATGTAAAACTAATACAATGCGTTGCTGTCCATAAAAAAGCATGCAATACATACGTATCTGTCTAACGACCTTGCGATCGAAACCTTATTATCTACAATATTCACCACATTTCTGTTCTGCATTTGTCATTTTATGGCTTGTTTATACACAGTTTACGTACAGTTAGTATTTTGAGTGGCTCTGAGGCACATATACTGAGAAAACACGAAAAAGGACTAAAAATTATGAAGTTCGAAATCTCAGCTGGGTAGGTTTACAGCTTATATTCTGCTTCTTGTAGACCACACGACAGATTTAACTCAATCTTTATAACCATTCACATATGCATCACCGAATGGAACTAGTTGAAAAGGAAAACTTACCCGTGAATCTTGCCTACAGGCGAAAAAGAGGACATGCTGTCTTTCCCGTCCGCCATTTTTTGTTATCGTTACCGCAAAATTTGGCCAATTGCCTTGTCGTATCTGTCATGCTATAACACCGTGAACAAGACTGCAAGGGAAACTTAATCTATGAATTGGACTTTGCCATATCACATGTATTAGTCCCGTGATCAGGGAGGGGGTGGAGGGGGGTTGAGAGACGACCCTCTCCCCTAGGCACATTTTCTGTCAACATCCTGCAATTTTTCACCACTTTAGTACTTTTCAAGTGATGTTCGGATGATGCTTTCATTTAATTGCTTGCACTGATGGTTTCTCTTGAAAATTCATGCACATAAGGTGATCTAGTATTTCAACACAGGACCCTGAAAGCGCTATTTGAGCTTGAAGTAGAAGTATTCATAGTATTACTGTTTGTATTATTAATCTCTACGATTTTTCAATGGGCTAACTCAGTCAGTGAAGGCAGGATTAAAACACAACACACATGAGTAATTCACCCACCTATGCATGTTATTATTGAAAAACATTGCCATCTTTTACATCACTCCTAAATTATTTTTGTAAACATGCATTTTAAGAGGTTCATTTTTTCAAAAAAAACTCAAAAACAAACTTCATGGAGTTCCTTACATATTTTACTTGATGAAACATGTGTTCAAGTACAATGTAACTTTGCATGAAAAATTGTAAAAAAAATGAGGGACGATAGTGAAAATGACGAATGTATATTGAAAAAGCTTGTTGATGGGTGGATTAAACATGGATTATAAGATAATCCAATTGATCTGGAAACTATTCTTTGAACTTTTCTTGAAGATTATAGATTCGCCTTTCCCAAGCATTTACTTTTTACAGCCAGAAACTACTCACAAAAAAATTATCAACTGTCAAAATTATCAAAAGTCTGTTGCGATACTTTCCCTGCTCCTTTGAATGTGTTCCCATACCAACTGATATTTTGCCCAAAAGCCATCCCAAATGCCCAAATATGAAACCAATGCCACACCAAATGTCAAAATATAGGACCAATGCCATACCAATGCCATGACTGGTCCAAAGTAGAATATTTCCTGGGAAAAAAGCAATTTATTTAAACTGAAGAAGGTCCCAAGAAGAAGGCGATCTTTGAGGAAAACGAACCAAAACAACCTCATATTAGAATATGTGTAACTACTAGACCAATTCCATACCATAATTGTGAGATAACATATTTTCCATGACCATTCTCATACCAGAAAGTTGAAAAATCTGACCATTTCCATCCATCAAAAGATTAATGAGGGGGCATTCTCATACCACATCCTAAAATTTGGGTCCATTGCCATACCAAATGTCCAAAAAGGTACCCCATGTGCGCCGAGGATCCCCGTCAAGGTTTATATACAGTGAACCCCCCGGGATATACCTGTACATACTGTAGACATGCATGTACTCCACACTGTACACATACATGTTGTAGACATATGTACAAGAAGTACATGCTGTAGATATACATGTTCATATTGTAGACATATATGTACATGTTGTAAAACACGCTGTAGACATACATGATAAGTGGTCAAATTAGAGAGGTGTACAGTACCAGTTTTACTGTATAATTTTGTTTTTTGGATGCACAATGACAATTGAAAAAAAATTAAACTGCATCCCGCAATAATGCCCTAAAACGAATACTGTTGAGTTATGTACAAAGAAACATCGCTGAAAATTTAAATTAATCGATCAAAATGGTTGACATGGAAACATACAGACTCCTCATGTAGACAAAACTTAATTTAAGGACCAAAAATGGCTTAAAATTTTGACATACCTCATCGTCACTACTGTCATATTCACTAGAGCTTCCTGTTGGGGGAAGTCCCCTGGCTGCAGCATTAGCGACATCTGCAGCATCTTCCTCTTCACTGGAGAGACCTTGCTTTTGCTGAAAGATAATATCCCATGATAACTAGGGATTACACTTGCTTGTGCTATAACACAATATTTCATGATAACTATGCATAACACTTGCTCTTGCTGAAAGATAATATCCCATGATAACTAGGGATCATACAAACTTGTACTGTAATACATATAGAATATCTCATGATAACTGGAGATTGTGCTGTGCTGTGATACAATATTTCATGATAACTTGAGATTATACTTGCTTGTGCTGTATCATTATATCCCATGATAACAATGGATAACACGTGCTTGTGCTGTAAGACAATATCGCAAGATAACTGGTGATAACATTTGCTTGTGCTGTGAGACAATTTCTCATGATAACTACGAATAACACTTGCTTGTTCTGTAAGACACTATCTCATGATATGTATGAATAACATTTGTTTGTTCTGTAAGACAATCCCTCAATAATAACTAGGGATAACACTTGCTTGTGCTGTAAGACAATTTTTATCTCATGATAACTAGCTAGGGATAACACTTGCTTGTGCTGTAAGACAATATCTCATGATAACTATGAATAACACTTGCTTGTGATGTAATACGATGTTTCATGATAATTGGGGATTACACTTGTTTGTGCTGTACCGGATTTTCTCGCATATACGCCCCCCTAAATTTAGGCCCATGGGCCAAAAATCGAATGTAGTACACTTATACGCCCATGGGCCTATAAAAAATGATTATTTATTGATTTTTTCAATAAATTCAAGAGTATTTTGTCACTGGCAGATAGTTCTGTCGTTACTTTGTTTCAACATTAAGTTCAACGCTGTGCCGTAAGTGGCAGTGGTGGATCGTTCTGTTGTTACTTTGTTTCAACATTAAGTCCAAGGTTGTAGGTGACATTTCCTTTATAATTCTTACAAAACATGCGGTAGGACTACAACAGTAGGCATGGTAGTCTTTGAGGAACCATTGTATTCATCAGCTCTTCTCACCTTTACGCCCACTGGGCCAAAAATCGAAAGTAGTACACTTATACGCCCATGGGCGAAAAATAAGAGGTAAAATAACAGACGAAATTACCCCTTCTTTCAGTTATACGCCCAGGGCTTATATGCGAGAAAATCCGGTAATGCAATATCTCATGATAATTATGTATCACACTTGCTTGCGATGTAATACAATAATTCATGAAAATTGGATAACATTTGCTTTTGCTGTAAGATAATATCTCATGATCCCTTATTTATGCTGGAATACAATATATCATGTGAAATAGAGATACTTTACCTGTTTTTCGTGTATAGTTGGACCCCTGTAAAAGAAATTATGGTCCCCTGGGGATTATGATCCCTTTTCCATACGGCCCTTACTGTGTATAAATAATAAGGTCACCATATAAATCAAGAGAGAGTAGGACCAAAATTCGATAGGACCACCTACCCTTTTACACCCCCGTGATAATAGCCAGGGATAACTTACTTGTGAAATATTTGATGATCAAGAAAGAGTTGACATTTTATGTCCAGCTTTCACATGATACAAAGCATGAATAGTGAGAAAGTGTATAATGCCTGAAATTTTGAAATACCTGGACTAGGAAATTCTCAACTGATACCATAATGTATTAATAGTAGCCATTTCTTACCCTCCATTCTCTTTGCTTCCTTTCTGCTTCGTTTTGTGCTTCTATTTCCTCAGGACTTGTGAAATGCCTAGCTCTGCCTTTCTTATTGCTCTTTGCACCCCGGCCACCTCCTCTTCCACCACCTGCATAAATTAAACATCTAACATGTTAAACAAACATTTCATACTAAGCAAATATTTCATTCTATGGAGGGCAACACCTGTTCATCTTTCAATGATTTTTGCAGTATGTATTGCCCGCAGCCCGAAGGAAATATATGCTGCATAAAATCATTGAAATCATTTAGTTCACTGCACTTCACAACTTCTTGTTTACAATTGAAGTCCAGTCTTATTTCAATGCATCATTTCAGGTCTTTAGGTATTAATTAGTCAATAAGCAGACAACGCCTTACTGGAATCTTCCAGGCATAAGATATCCAGTATAGTCAACCAGCTCATCAGTGGACATACCTAACTCAATAGCAAACAAGCTAAAATTAACCCAAATATCAAATCAAATCTTGAGTTCTGGGATAAACTTGAAACAGTTGACCATTACATTAATGCACGTAGGTCGTAGGCCATCTCAAAAGTAGACAGTTGACCAGCCTCTTGAAACATAAATCCACCCCTGATCTACAAACTCGTAGTGGCCTAAATGCAAACTTGTCAAAATCAACAAATAGGAAATATATGATGCCTTTTTGTGACTACTAAGGCAAACAAGGATATTCTTCTATGTAAGTTCATCTCTCTGGTTAATATATCAGAAACAAGTCAAATTCTTTACTTCAGAGAATATTTTTAATTTATTGAGACTTTCGACTAATATCCCTTAGTCTTTTTCAAAATATAACAGCATGTATACATTTATGTGACGTCATAAACAGACAATGGAAAATTTAATTATGTAACAATTATTGCTTGATTTGATATATTGATTTTTATATTTCATATTGATTTTTTTTAGGTTACTAGGTCATTTGTTACATAATTAAATTTTCCATTGTCTGTTTATGACGTCACATAAATGTATACATGCTGTTATATTTTGAAAAAGACTAAGGGATATTAGTCGAAAGTCTCAATAAATTAAAAATATTCTCTGAAGTAAAGGATATTCTTATTGAGCACATATAAAAACTGTATAAAATAATATAATCATCTTCATTAATGTCATGCTTGAGTGACATGTCAACACAATTGCATTTTGGGACAGTCCTTTGATTGTTCATTTTTTAGATTCAAAATATTCCATGAAAAAATCGAACGCATTCCACTCTGACTTTTCACACAAATTCTGTATATATGTCACTCAATTGCTTCGAAATGTTTTGTATTATTTTGATATATTTTAACCAAAGTGTCCACAATTTGAAGGAAGGTGTTCAACATTTGTAAGTCACTCATGTTAGGTACTCTTACACCTGAGGAGATAGGAGCATTCTCGGCCACGGTAGAGCCCATGGTATCAGGTGAAAATCTGGGGTATTGTTATTAGACTTTTTACAATATATAGAACCCCATGGATAATATGATGTGTCTAATTCAAAGTTTCAATAAAGAAACCATATAAAACAAAGAATTATTGAAGATGGTCCAACAATGCCCCGTGTCCGAGAATGCTCCTATCTCCTCTAGATAGGCCTAAAGTTGGAGACATTAATAAATCTCAACCATCAAAAGTTGTCACAATAAGCTAAATTCTAAGTTTCGTGTCTCAAACTCTCGGGCTCCAAAATCACCTCAACATTTGAAGAGTCAACATAACATGTGAATATCCACTTCAAATTTTTAGTCCTTATTTTTCATTATGGACACAAATTCCACAATTTTTGGACTTACAAGGACGGAGAAAATAGAGCACTGATTACAATGAGGTAAGAATTTATTACATGTGCGACAGTTCTTAATGTTCCCCACAGTATCACTTGAGGACCAAAGTTGAAAGTTGTCAAGGAAATTCTATTATTTTTGAAAACGAGATTTATGACTACTCTCTGACTTCCTAAGCAACAAAAATCAATGAATAAATAAATACACAGTACAGACAAGCACTCCTACCTACCTCTTGGCATATTTGACAAGTAAATAAGGTGAAAGTAAAAATGTGTAAAATCTTGAAAAAGGACTTGTTACATGCGCATGCGCAAATCTACACTCACTTCCTGTTTGTAATCAACTTCCGGTTCGATAAAATATTTAAAAATACTCACGTTTTAGACCGTTTTTCATTAACTAGACATCGTACAGAATGCCCAAAGTTAAACGAAGTAAAAAACCTCCCCCAGAAGGATGGGAGTTAATAGAACCGACCATAGATGAACTTGATCAAAAATTAAGAGAAGGTAAGCGTGTATTTTTTAATTTTTTTGTTTGCAGAAAATTATTCATGAAATTGAAATTCAAAATGAAATTCGTACAGAACAAAAGCAGTCAATATAAGACTGGAAAAATCACGGACCTCTGCCAGATAAGCTCCTCTGTGTCTAGGCTCAATAAATATACTCAAGGACAAGACACGCCATCTTCGGAAAATTTATTTTTCCTTGATTTTGGAGTCAGTTTATCAATAAATATCACATGCCATACCTCAAACAATGCATACTGTTGTTAGCTTCAACTCCAATCACTAAAGCCAAACATCCAAGAAAGCGTCTGTTGATAAAAGCATAAAATAAGCGAGCGTATATTTAATGGAGACTTCGGCTATCTCCGTTGTTCAAATGATTATTCCCGAAGTCAAATGCCTTTTCTGAGAATGTGACGCCACTCCGGATGACGTCACATCAGAGATTACCGAGAAGTCCCATGACGTTTCCGTAGAAACAATAACGACGGTTTATTAGGCTACGCGATTCTTTACTTTCATTGGCTGTTTGTTGCGATGTGACGTAATTTGAGAGACGAACAACATCGGACACTGCCAAAAATTACCGAAGTGCTCCATTATCTTTACGCTCTGAAAATTTGAAATAAATGTCCCGGGAAAAGTCGAATTACAGCGTCAATAATGGATAGCATGCAACCATTCAAACTAATACATAAAGAAGAGATTACAGGGTAATATTGATCAATCTATGTCTGACAGATGGAAAAATTAAGGTCAGTACGAGGGTCATATTTTTGGGTGGTCATTTTTTTGATGTGCCATTTTTGGCTCGTGTCTCATCTTCCCATTTATCCTTTGAGCCTACTACCAATAGGGGCTGGATCTGGCTCCGGATCTGTGGGAAAAATAATTAATTTGTGTCTGACATCTGGATTTATCAGGTCGCTCTCAGGCAATTTACATGTTTACTATTTTTTCATGGCCTGCTAAAGTAGATTTCATGGCCTGACTTCGTCGGTAGAACTTGAAAAATAAGATTTATCTGAAGATAAGGAGTCTTACTTACCCTCTAAAGGTTGGGAAGATGTGAGTAGGTAGTTACCAGTTTCATCACCAGGTGGCTCATTCGGGTCAGATAGCATGGCGGGTAAAGTAGAAAGTTCCCTTTAACTTAAATAACATTAAATCTGTTTTAGTGGTTCAATTTTCATAATACCCTTATGTATCTAATAGTTGTGCAAATCAAAATATGTCCAGTAAAAGAAAATGTTATCTGTCCAATACAAGAAAAGATATTTCACTTTTTGTGAATTTGTAACATGGGGTCTACAGGTCTATGCGGAATCCACCCGAATTTTGCGTTATAAACAACAGTTGATGAACAATTTTCCAAACCATATTGCTCGATGTACTTTTACATGTAGATTTCAAATGTAACATCACTTTGACTGAATTTTGAATATTTATTTTAATGACGTAAATCAAGATTATTTCAACTCGCATCTAGTCTATTCCTTTAAAACAATATTACAGGGTAGTTCTATTTAGTTTCAGTTCTACGTTTTACACATCTAATCTGTTTGGTTTTTTGACAAATTTCAGAAACAATGCACTTTAATAACCACTTTTAATTCCAGGAAGCGTTTGACCGACATAATCATATGTAAATTTTCTATTTTTAGCTGAAACAGATCCACATGAAGGCAAACGTAAAGTGGAGGCCATGTGGCCAATATTCCGCATACACCACCAGAAGTCACGTTATATATATGACCTCTTCTACCGACGGAAAGCTATAAGTAGAGGTAAGAATATAACGCAAAATAATATAAATTTCATGTAGTAATGATAGCAAAAACAACATTATGCTATATTGTTCCACCTTTTGTATTTTTGGGTATATCCTGTAAATATACAGTCATAATTTATGTATGCAATCATAGAAGGAGCTCTGTGTTCTTTTATGTGCACTCATACATAGTCATACAAGTACACACCGTGGTCTTTTGTACAAGTTGTGGACCACTCAATCAAACACCCTGAAGTACTTACGCAAACAAGCAAATTAAATCTTTCCTGAACCGGGGATCGAATCCGGGACCTATTGTATAAGCAGTACATCCGCTACTGCTGAGCGATACAGTGTGCACCTTACCAATCTATTTTTTTATTAATATTTTTGAATATCATTTTTGCACATAAAAGATAAGCAGAAAAACAAAATACATGCAGTGTTCTCCCCAGCATTTCATCTTAAAGGGACATTCCTCCCCAGACCATTTCTCTTCTGATATGGTAGCTATTATTAATAAATATACTTTCCATATTTAGCAAAACATGGGAAAATGTTTTAATATGGTCAATATTGATCATTTAAGTATGTAGTGCTCATAATAATTTCAAGTGAGCTGCCATCTTTCAAGATTTCTAGAAGGAAGTGATGTCATCAACTCTCAACTTGTATAACCTTGCCCATAACAGTGTAGGAAAGTAGCACAAAATTACTTCTAGACAAGTGATCCTTAATTTCTGTGCAAAAAACATTTTCAGAGCTTGTCAACTTAGAATAAAAGAAGAGATTTTCAGAAGAATTAAATCAGATACAAAATTGAAAAAGAATATTCAGCTGTTTTTGTAATTCTTAATAGCTCCTTCCCTAATGCTATATGCAAAGTTGAGAGTCAATGACATCTTTTTGTGTTAAATGTTAAACAATGGCAGCTTACAGGAATTGGGTATCCCATTTCTAAGTGTTCAATTTTGACCATATCTAAACATTTTTGCGTGTTTTGCTAAACATGGCAAGTATACATATGGTTATAGCTACTATATGAGGAGAGAGATGGTTTGGCAAGGAATATACCTTCAACCTCTTTACTATCTGGAGTGACAAGATTTCTTGTCACCTCAAAAATGACCTTGAAACCCAGAGTGACGAGAAAGTTTGCCACAAAATTTTTCACTTAAATTGCTCTTATCTGAACAATTTTCATCCAATTTACACAAAAATTGTTTTGAAATGTGTAGAAATGATATCTGCCATCTAATTTTACTAAATTAAGCATCTAAAGTTGTAAAGATATGTAATAAAATGTCAAGGTGGCAAAAAAGAAAAATTCTCTGGTTTCAACCCATTTTAGAGCCTGGGATTCAAGAGGATAAGTTGGTGCAAATTTCTTATTTCACAATTTAAACCAGATTTAGTCAAAATAAACCTAAAGTGGGTGCAAATGAATTCTCAGGTGGGTGCATGCCTAATATTAAAATCTCAAGAGGGAGCAGTATCCACTTGCTTTAATGTTAGGGAGACCACTGACATGTAATGACTGTAAAAACATAATTTATTTTACAAGAAAAGAATTTGCTTTGAAATAGTATGATCACTTCAAATTACTTACAGAGCTGTATGAGTACTGTCTAAAAGAGAGAATTGCTGATAAAAATCTCATTGCAAAGTGGAAGAAACAGGGATATGAAAACCTTTGCTGTTTACGTTGCATTCAGACTAGGGACACAAACTTTGCAACAAACTGTATCTGTAGAGTACCAAAGGCCAAGTTAGAGGAGGTGAGTTAAAGATAGTTCTCCTTTCCTATATTTTTATATATATACAAGATATATACATGTCTCAATCCAGATTATGTGTTCAATGTTCTATAAAGGACGATTTTGAGTTTGGAGAACCAAATTCATCTGCATATTGCGATGTTATCAATGTCACCAAAAGTTTTCATATATATTTCAGTAACAAAAAGTTTCCGATAGCGTTGCTCACATTAATATTGCTCACATTACATTGCTCACATTATTATTGCTCACATTGCATTGCTCACATTATTATTGCTCACATTACATTGCTCACATTATTATTGCTCACATTACATTGCTCACATTATTATTGCTCACATTGCATTGCTCACATTATTATTGCTCACATTACATTGCTCACATTATTATTGCTCACATTGTATTCTTTCAGGGCAAGATTGTTGAATGCGTACACTGTGGATGTCGGGGATGCTCAGGATAGCAAACAACAAACAATAACATTCAAACAAACATTCAACAAACACCTTGTTTACAACAGTCAGAGACATTGAGATTAATAAGAATTAACTGATGAATGACTGCACTGTTTTGTACTCACCTACAGGTGTAAACTTGGTCTCTTAATGACACTTTTCGGGCCACTTCCCATCTCTCCATTAAAGCCTACAACATGTATCGGAGCTTGACATCATTAGAAACATGTTTCTTACAAGTTGATCATAACCTTTATGTATAGATGAGCCTTGCAAATGATGAACTTGGTCTGTGATATCATTGCAGTCTCTTTGTGTTGATATTGGAGACTTCTTCTGGCACAACCGAAACACAACAGATTTCAATATTTGCTTGAAGAATTTGAAACTTTTAACCCTATTTTAACAATCAATTTAAAGTTCCATTTTCAATGTCATAATTTGACTTGTCAGTTTAAGACAAAAGATACTGAGTGTAGATTTGAAAAAAAGAGAAATTGAAATTGATCAAACTTTGAAATTATACAAAAATTCAGCATTTGACTTGTATTAAAATGTATTGTAGATTTCACAAAAGATAAGATATTCAATATTAATTGATTTTGTTCATTATACATTGTAGCTCACTAAAGGTATTAGTGACAAACTCTAAATGAAAGGGGTGGTATCAATATGGTGAACTTTTTGAACACACGTTTCTCTTAAACCATTCATCAAAAATTTCTGAAAATTTTACACATCGTCAATTTAATGGTTATCTTTTGAATGGTAATAATATGATTTGAAAAAATATATACTTTTCTCTATATTTTTTAAGAAAACACATCAGACACTTCTTTTGTTCATATGTTCGGAATGAAATGAAACATCTATCCGAATCTCATTGGAACAAAACGACATTAACACAACGTGTTAAGGTCTCTCAATATTGTAATTGTACAAAGGAAATTTGGATTGATTTTAAAAAAGTATCTTGTTTATGAAATAAAAGGTTGAACTAAATGTACAATTTCTTTCCAACCTGGCCACAGTTGTGTGAGGTCATTCTGAAGAGCATGTGCTGTAAATAATGAAAAACATGATTGTATAAACAATAAAGAAACAAGAATCAACTGAAGTGTAATCTGTAAACTACTTCTAAATAAATAGTTCACTCAATAGCTGTGCGTGATCATCCATTCTCACACCAACTACCTGAAATCCTCACGAAAAGGCCCATGGGCATTTATTTGAAAGAGGGCTGTGTGAAGCCCATGGTATGTGGTAATGTCAGGTGGTGAAAACATTCGAGAAAAGGATCGAAATTGCTTAAAAATAACATGATATGTACGGTAATACGGGCAATTTTGGAAAAAGCCTGCTATTGATATTAAAGTTCTAGTAAACGGTATTACTCGATTTAGCGTATGAAGGACACAATTTATGATGGTGAACCACCAACACTTCCAAAAGTTCATTTTATCATGATATCTGAGATGTAAAGTAAGCACGTGTCTGTTTTCGCGGCAAAACTGATTTCATTTTCAGAGCAGAACTTTTATGTAACGTGACATGACGTGTGTGGTGGAAAGATCAACAACCTTTTAGTATAGGGACCCTGCAAACTGGAACTGTATTTGCACATGGTAACTTTCAGCTATCGCTATTTGATTTGTTTCAGGAGCGTTTGTATCACATAAGCAAGGGTGACTTCATGAATGTCTTGGAAAAAAAGTGAAAAAAATATTTTTGAAAAATGTTTTTTCTAATTTTTTGCATTGACTCATATACTTTGAAAATGCAAAGAAAGTACAAAATAGCACCTTTAAATTGTGTTATTTTCTAGAGGGAGTGGGCCACCCCTAACACTCCACCCCCACAAAACACTTGAAAAAATCTGAATTTATTTCATGTATTGTAGACACGTTTGTGCCCATACATCATCAAATAGCACCTTGATATTGTCAATGTGATTAAAAAAATTATTGACTCGTACTTTTTGCATTTGTTCGAAAGTGCCGAGAAAGAACCAAATGGCATCTTAAAATTATAAAATTGTCTACGAAAGCGTGCCAGCCCTCACATCGCCCACAAATCAATTGAAAGAATTCTGAATTTATCCCCCCCCACAAAGTAATTGAAAAGTTTGGAAGCTGCATTTGTTAATTGAAACATACACTTTTAAAGTGCCAAAGCACCAAATAGCATCTTAGAATTGTAAAAATTTCTAGGGGAGTGGGACCCTCACATCTCCCACAAAACAATTGAATGAATTCTGAATTTATTTTATGTATTGTCTTTGTATCAGATACTTTTAAAGTGCCCAGATATCATCAAATAGCACCTTTATATGGGCAATGTTTCTGCGGGACAAACACTTACACTCCCACCCCACACACCCCTCTGGTACACCCTTTGACACCCCCTTTGAAGTTTGAAAAAAGTGATTTAAAAAATAATTTATTAACTCATACAGTTGGCATTTGTTTGGAATTACCGAGAAAACACCAAATAGCGTCTTAAAATTGTAAAATTGTTTAGGGAAGTGGGCCACCCCTCACATCGCCCACAAAACAATTGAATGAATTCTGAATTTATTTCATTTGTCTCAAACGCTTTAAAGTGCCCCGATTTGATCAAACAGGCCTAGCACCTTGGTATGGTCAATGTTTCTAGGGGACAACCCCTTGCTCCCCCTCTGGCACCATACCCCACCTCAACCTCTGGCACCCCCTTTACACCCCAAAAAATAAATTCACATTTTTTATTGACTCATAATCTTGGAAGTGCCGAAAAACCATTAAATAGCATCTCAATTGTGTAAAATTGTCTAGGGGAAGTGGGCTACTCCTCACCCCCACAAAACAATTGAAAAGTTTAAAAGTCGCATTTGTTAATTATTTAAACATACACTTTGAAAGTGCCGAGAAAGTACAAAATAGCAACTGACATTACAATTTTCTCGGGGAGTGGGCATCTCCCACAAAACAATTGAAAAAAATCTGAATATATTTCATGTATTGTCTCTGAATATAATATTTTATTGACTCTTTAGATATCATGACCTGACCTATTAGTATTTATTTTGAAATGCCTCCGTATCATGATTTAGATTAATGAAGTTATGTTGAGCCAATTCTTGCATGATTGAGCTATTCTCATCAATTTTGCAAAGGGTATAATATCACTTGCAATTGAGTGCGGAATCAAACGAGCTGAGACGCTATTGAAAGCATGTATGTTATTTATGTGGCTATTGGCCATGGAATGCGTGCGAATGTGGAACTAATGTATATTTCTACTTTGGTCCAGCCTTCGTATTAGTCTGCAACAACAACTTTTCAATTTAGCGCCATAATAACTTGGCACACGGTATGTCATGGTCAGGTGACCTCAAAAAGTGCGCAAAATAACAACATTTGAGAGGTTGACAGTCTTATCTTAATAAATCGTGTTGTATTGTAGTATTGTATTGTATAACTTTTATTCCTTCATATATTGAAGAGTACAATATTAAGCTATTTAGTTAAAAAAGGAAAAACATGTATAATCTACAATTATTTACATTAAATCGTTATATACAGTATTTAATTTATAGTATCTACAAGAGAGGGGGCCAGTTCTTTTTCTACAAGAATTTATATCGTGAAGTCCAGTCAATTAAAGTTTATTTATTTTGTTATTGGATTTTCCTACTCGTCTATATATATAGTATATTTCTACTAACCCTACTATCACACCAAACTAGTTCTCACTACGTTCTCAAAAACGGGCTTCAACTGTGTACGAACGGACTGGACCTACTAAGAACCGTTTGGGATCTATTAACAAACTTCATCGAACGTACTCGAACGGGTAGGTCCTCTAGAACTTGGACAATGCTCAAAATATTCTCGTGGTCGTCACGTTCTACAATTAGAACGAGTGACAACGTACTAACGACGAGCTGGACGTACTACGAACGGAACCGTCGTACTTCAATCCTACTAGGGACGTTTTAACAACGAGTTGAATTGTCTGAGGACGTGTTGAGAACGAGGTAGAACTAATTGCAAACGGATTTATACTGATTGAGAACGTATTTAACACTGCTTATGAACGAGTTAGCAAAAATATAGCTATCACACCAAACAAGTTGCCACTGCGTTCTTCAAAACTGTGTGCGAACGGAATGAACGTAGCTGCAACTTTCTAAGGTCTATTTACGAACTTTACGATCGTTCTCAGACGGGAATGTGATTTTAGAATTTTGAATCGATTTAAAATTCGATGGCGACCATAACGTTCTGTAATCAGGTCATGTTGACCTTCTAGACTAAGGGACGCGTTCTACTACGTTGCACACCGACGTGGTGCGACCTGAACGAACTGCGAACGAGAAGGACGTATTGAAGACTGTTTAAGAACGAAGAAGCTAATTATTTCAGACATATTTCCCGACCACAGCCAGATTGAGCCCGTTTTACGACGTTTTCGTAGGACTGGCAAGAACGGGTAAGAACGAGTTTGGTGTGATAGGGGGGTTAGGTTCATATGTACTTATGTAAATGAGTATTACAATTACTACAGTAAGTATTTCAATTTCTCTCCTTGCATTAGTAAATTCACCATAAATGAATTACTTAAAAAATATTCAGTAGTTCAAGATTATTTAAGTAATTTTTGACTTAAAATGAGTAGTACAATTTCTCAATATAAGGAAATCCAAGTAATAATTTTTAAGAGTGCAAAAGTGATCACAATGCACTTACATTTGAATAAAGGAGTAGTATGCAGCTCCTTATATAAGTCAACGATTTTTCGAATACATTTCTTTTGAATCGTGTGAATTTGTTAAATCTTCCTTAAAGGTGCAACAATTAATGCAGATGAGACATTCAACGATCATGGACCAGTGTCAAAATGTATTTAAGTTTTGATATTTCATCAAGACTAACATATACTTTTATCTCCCCTGGATGAATGTTATTTTCAGCTGATATTCCTTTATAGAAGCTTTGAACTGAATTTACACTTCTTATTGCTGAGCTTGTTTATCATTACATTTTAAGAAAATAAGTATGTCAAAGATGTCAAGGCAAATGTTGCCCTGATAGCTCAAAAAAAGTGAGAAATTCCGAATTTTCCCTCTACAGGTCTTGTTGCCCCTTTAAAAACGTTCTAAAATCAAGAGGTGAAAAGTGATGAAAATGGCTTCGAAGCTCTGTAAATTTAGTGTTCACAAAGTAACTTAGCATCCAAAAAGGTTTAACAATTCAATTTTCTACATAGAAATATTTTTTGGATCTTTTACTGAATAGATATCCTGAAATTTAATTTGTCACGAAAACACCATTTCACATTGGTTACGTGTAAATCAGTATTTTCAAAAATAGTCAATTTTTCGACTTAACTTTCGGGTTAACCCTTTGCCTCCCATATTGTTATTTTTATTGGAAAAATGGTGGAAAATTTGCAGATAAAGACAAATTACATCTCCCATTTTATTACATATATACATATAAGTATTTTTATCGCAGGTAAGTAAATATGTATTCAAACATGAAAAAGCTTTAACATGTAATCCAATGTAGCAGCTAAGATTGTTATCCCACCGAAAGAAGTTCGAGGCGATATGGAAAAGTCGTTCGTCCGTCCGTTCTGTTCGTCAGTCTCTTCGGGCGATAACTCAAATGCCGGTTGACGGATTTGACAAAATATTTGATTTAAAATTTATAGGCTTATACCTTATGGGTGCATGACCTCTGATCATGAAGGCATTTTCAATATGGCCGCCATTTTTATAATAAACGTAATGTTTGATAACTCAAATACCAGT